TGTCTATTTGCCCCAGTACTCATTTCCTACTGAGGTTCCTCTTTTGTCTAATCCCTCTAGCCACCTCCTTTCGCATCCAGCCCATGGCTTAGTCTAGTTCATGGAAACAAAGTGAAAAGTGGTGCACTGTGGAGGGACAGGAAGGTCTATGTATTCCCCCTTTGCCAAAAATTTCCTGGGATGTCATTGCTCCTAAAAGAAAATAAATAAAAGAATTTGTCTGTGTAAGCCTTCAGCTCACCTATCATGCTGGCATTCAGGAGTCCCTCTCCTTAAGTATATTGGTCTCAGGGTGGTCTTTATCAGCCATGGTTGGCATTTAATTTGCCTGTATTAAGCATGGTGCTTTACTCCAGAGATGGCTGCTGAGTTAATGGGTTCTGTTTTTACCTTCTGGACAGCCAATTGCTCAGCAGTAAAGTTTGTGTAGACACTTCAGTCCCTAACCTCTGAAGATCTCAGGTAGAGGGCTGGGAATGAACTCTGCCTGAGGTGGTGGGGGCTGCTGCCAGTCAAAGCAGACAATACAGGCAGTCCCTGGTTTTGAACATCCAGGTTATGAACAACCCATACTTATGAATGCATGGTCTGCCATAAACACTATATGAATATCTCCAGCAAAAAGCCATGACTATCTCTAGGGAACTGCATAATGCTTTTGTGCATCATCAGTGGCTGTGTAGTTACTTAGAGGTAATCATGGCTTTTCTTGGAGTTAGAGATTTGCTAGAGATAGTCACGTCTATCTCTAAGAACTATGTAATGAATCTCTAGGGAACTACACAAAGTCTTTGACCATGTGTTATCAGTGACAATTTAATTCCCTAGAGATACAGTACTCAGAGCTTTATGATATTCTGATCAGCTCAAACATACCCAAACTAGTGTGTTTTGGGACATGTGTAGAGCATGTAGTTCTCTAGTGGTTTTTCTTTAGCATTTGCCCATATAAGCAGGTTCTCAGCTGCTACTAGGACATTTATGGTAAGAAAAAAAACATGGTTATACAAACAATCCTTGAGGCATTCTTCAAGAAAGCTACTCCCTACCGTTCCCTCTCCAGCAGCACAATCAAACTGAGTCTCCAGGTCCAGGTCCAACTCCATCTCCATCAGCTAATGTTGGTCTTAAGGTTACTGCAAGAATATTCTAACCTGTTTTAAGAACTGTTTCTTTTATTTGTTTTTTACAATACTTTGTACCTATACACATATATACAGTTTATCTCTCTCTTCGGTACCTGTAATTACTTTATTATTACTGCATTACTGTTATTATTATTACAATGCTATATTGCATTTAAGATGTTTTAGTGAATACAGAAGTGTCTCTTAAGTGTTTTATATTCTCAGAATGGTAAAATATATACATATACTATGACAAGCATTTGGCTTACTCATGTGATCCAACTTACATACAAATTTGACTTAAGGACCTTCTCAGGAACAGAACTTGTCTGTAAGCTGGGGACTACCTGTACTGGGATGAATGGACTCAGCCTAAGACTGGTTCAAAGCAAGGGCTGGGGAGAGGGCAGGGACTAACACCTTTAATGACAGTGATGGATATAGGCTAATGAAGAGTTTGGAAAGGAAAACATTTATCTTTTGAGACTGGCTGCCTGGCTGCCAAGCAGAGATGTATGTTCTTGTTTTGTGACAAAGTGGCTTGTTGTGTCTGATGACGTGCAAAAGAAAGAACAAATTGTGCTTTGGAAAGGCTATAGAGCCTAGGCTTCAGGAGATGAGTTGTGGCCCTGTGAAGAGTGCCAGGCAGGTTAGATTCATGTATTTGGCCAGTGTCTGCAGTTTGCATGAGCTACCTATAATAGTCAGATTGTACATTTGGATTTTAAAGCCATGTTGTTTCATTTTTCATCCCACACTGATAGCATGCACAAACAATAGACTGTAGCCTAAATGGATAGGCCAGGGGTTGGCAACCTTTAACACTCAAAGAGCCATTTGGACCCGTTTCCCACACAAAAGAAAGCACCGGGAGCCGCAAAACCCTTTTGACATCTAAAATGAAGATAACACTGCATATATCCTTTTTTACCTTAATGCTATGTATATCTTCATTATGATTTAGCTGCAGCTCTTGTTCAGTCACTAAAAACTGTTATTTTTAATCTTACATTATAAACTAGTAGGACTCCTTTCATATAATTTGAATAGGAGAACAGCTTCCTGAAGAGTCCAAGTCAGTGCTAAAGGGCTGCATGCATTAAACAGCAAACCCCATAAGTTCGTCAGCAGTAAAAGCAAGTGAATCTACCCACGTATCATTAAACGTTTGGTTTTCTTCAGAAACTTTTCTTCGATTTATCCATGGTTGGCCTACCAGGGGAAGTCCCAGATATAGGTGTGTTTAGTGACTGATTAGCAGATAAACAGTCAAGTGATGTGAATTGTGACAGGTTCCAAGTGCATCTTATATCATTCAGAGGAAGATTACATTTGGACAAAGAGAATCTTTTCAGCAGGGTTTTGTGTAGCATGAGAGCCTGCAGGAAGCTTGTTCCACTCTTTCCCTGCACAATAGCAAAAGAATGTAGCAATTTACTTGACCTGCTAGCCCAGCGATCCTGAGTGGATGCCTCATCATCTCCTATTGGTATTTTGTAACTCGGAGCCTCGGTCGCAGATCAGCGGCTGTGATGTGTATTTTAGGTGACGGAGCCGCAGCAGAGGGATTCAAGAGCCACGTGCAGCTCTGGAGCCGTGGGTTGCCAACCCCTGGGATAGGCCAAACAGCTCTTGGAGAAAGTTCTTAGTCCTGAACCTAGAAGATTTATCTGAGAACCCCCTCATCAGCCAATGATACATACTAGGATAGAGTCATGATGTTATTTTACAGGGCGAACATTTCTGCAGGGGGCCATTAGTCATGCATTATTTGAAGCAATGTGATCATGTGATATGTTACGGAGTGAGTGGAACATTTATACGTGAAGGGTACTGTGGTTTCCTGTGGGGTCTGCTCACAGAAGCATGGCCAGTTTTCACATAACATTTTCACATGCTTATGCAACTACTTTTAAAAGTTCCAAGTTTGATAATGGTAACCAATCAAATATCTCGGGACCAAACTAGATAAGGCAGCATCTGCACAAGAAGCAGTTGTGTGAATGGCTTTAAAAATATATCCCCAACTGGAATCAGGAACCTGTTGTGAGTGATGGACAGCTCTAAGTTTTGGTCCCCCAGAGCGGTCTTTATCTGGACTTCTGTGTCTGCTATTTGCATTGGGTGGGTGGGGGGGGGGGTAGCTGCTGTAATGGAAGCTTCCTTCCACTTCAATGCAAATATCTCACATTTGGGGCCCAATCCAGATTGGGAATGCAGTTAAGGCCCCTCCCTGCCCACCTATTCCCTACCATAGTGCGTTTTTCTTTTGAAGAAGCCATTTGCAAATTGCTGATATTGTGAATGGCTTCATATTTGCTTTGGAGAATGTTCATTTTCAGTTACTCTCATGATTTTTAAGTAGTAGATCTTGCCATCTGTAAGGCTTGTTAATGGAAAGATCCACCACCTGAAAACATAACAGAAAGGCCTTCACATTAATGTGAGAAATGGGTGGCATCAGCTACAACACACAAATAATTGCAGGGGGAGGGGAGAAGATGAAAGCAAAGATTAATGTGAGTGTTTGCTGACTGAAATCCATTTTACTCCCATAGCAGAACTTTGGGATTTCTGGTAACAGAATCAAATATTTGCTTCAGAATTTCAGGCACCAGACAGTTTATAGCCCTTGTACTTTCTGTGTAAGTGTACACTTGAGTAATGGGTAGAATTCATCCAGATGGCCTTATTCCTGATTTACAATATAAATAAGGAATAAATTTTCATGGGGAAAATTGACCATGAATATCAATGGCTGCAACAGAAGGTGGAAGGGAGAAAGTGAGAGAGCAAGCCAGTGTGATTTAATGGATTACATGTGAGACTTGGACTTGAGTTAAACATTCCTTGTCAGTTTAGGAACACGTTGGGCACATCTCTGTCTCTTCACAGCAACAGTGCAGACACTGAGGGGTTTCCTGTACATTGCCTTGAAATTCTTTTTGGATTGAAGATACAGTTTGCAACATTCTCAAATAAATAAATCCAGAACTACCAGCTCACAACCATTTTTACTGGCCTATTAATCCACGTGTGCTTATTATAAGTCTTTTATGCACAGCCTGAAAGTGCGGTTGTGGCACGGGGAAGGAGAATGCCATTCTTCTAAATTGCAAAATCATTCTGTAGAGACAGTTCTTACTTATCACATGCCAGTAACTAAATGATTACTTGCAAGCTTGGTGGAATATAGGCTTTACAGAACTGTACCAATACAAGGTAGAGATGTTGGAATATTTCCCTGCATCAAATGTTTCTAGCCTGTGGAAAGCTAACATTTCAGGGGGAAATATTCTGGATTCAGTGGCATGCTAGTTATGTTATGTGAGGGCAGAATTTTTATTTTTATTTTGTTGTTGTTGTTGTTGTGGGGGAGCATTGCAATATGCAATTCCACTCACTTTTGTTTTAAAGTGATAGAGTTGGAATATGCTTTTCTGAATATTTGGTCCCCAGTCTAGGTTCTCATTTTGAAATGGAATTATTACAGTGCAGGCCTGTATATGTCTACTCAGAAGAAAGTTTGATTGAATTCAGTGGTGTTTACTTTCATGTAAATCAGGCAGAAGATTTCAGCCATAACAGCATACTTTATAGGATGCTGTCAGAATAAATGAAAGAAGGAAAGCACTCTGTATATTAAAATTGCTGTGACATTATTAAGCTTATCTACATTTTAAAAAGGCAGAGAGCTCTCTACCTCAGTCTAGAAAGAAGCATGAGAAAGGGGGGAGAGAGAGAGAGAGAGAGAGAGAGAGAGAGAGAGAGAGAGAGAGAAATGGATCTCAAAGTTGAGAAAAAGCAAGCATGCTACTCTTCTGCTTATTCATTCAAACAAAATAGTTATTTTTCCTTCCCCTCTCCCCATAGTTGGGTCCAGGAGTTCCTGAATGAAGAAAACAAGGGTCTTGATGTGTTGGTGGACTACCTCGCCTTTGCCCAGTGCTCTGTCACGTAAGTCACTGTTGCCACTTGGCTGGAAAGGGGTATGTAGCTGAGGTTTAAGGAAGGGTTGTGATGGAGCCGCAGTCCCTGGTGAAGCATCCAGTTTTATTGTTATGAGACCTGAACCAGCATGTACCCAATAATACATGTACAACAAGGATTCAAATATCTTTATCTCAGTAGCTTGCATTTGGCAGGAGGTTTTTCCTTTGGACAGAGAGGTAAACCATTTTGAAACTTATCTCAGTTGGCAAAGAAGTTTTTTTATACAGCATTTGGGGAAAGTCAGCTTTGCTGTTTAAGAAAAGAAGTCTAAACATTCTCAGGGGTTCATAAAGCTATTTTTTCATGGCTTTAGATATCCATCATACATTTTATTTTATATAAGAACCTGGGTCCCAAATGGGCCTCTTAAAGTTCAGCTTTGTGAAATTTAACCCTCATTTTGCCCTCCTTCTCCACTTTTTCCACCTTTGAGAAATAACTTGATGTGACTCAGCCCATCTGGAGTTCTTCCAGAATTCTTGACACAAAATGATTACAAAGAATTAAAATAATTCCACCAAGCTTCCATAGCCACAAAGAAGACAATAATGGTTGTTCAGGCTGAAATATATTTGGGGATAGAAAACAAAATTTCATTTTATGCACAGTTCTTCTAGCTTCAACATTTGAAGCACTCAAGAACATTTGGGGAGCATAATTATTCTTTTATTTTAGACTGTTAAGAAGCAGCAAAAGGGAATCAATCCAATGCTATTAATGAATTAGGTTTCACACAGTCCTTGTTACAAGGCGCTTCCCCAGGCTGGAGACAACAGTCTGTTTGCTGAAAGAACTGACAAGCTTCCTTGTGGGCAGCCCTCAGCTTAATTTTGAAAGCCTGCAAGCAACCAGATCAGGCCTCCAGCAAGAGTGACCCCTGGCAGTTTGCTGTGTGTGGAAGAATAAGGCCTGGCAGTGAGAGAGAAGGAGGTGGCAGAAAGAAAGAGAGAAATGAGTTGACTCCATCTGCTTTTAGGTCTGCCCACCACTGGCATGTAGGCCTGGATGGATTTGCCCCTGAAGGAATGTGACCCATGGCAGAAAAGGTTTCCTCACTCCTGCTTTAAACTATGCCACACTCATGAATAATTTCATTGAGGAGTCATTCCTGGGCTGGAAATTCTTGGAGAGCACTCCTAGAAACCAGTCCTAAGAGTGCTTCTAGGCAAGACAGAACACATTTTACACAGGGGCCCAAGAATGTTGGTTGCCTTCCACTTGCAGTCTTCTTATGTTTTACCTCTGCTTCTTCCATCTCTTTTCCTGCCACAGAAAAGCTGATAGGGAGGGATTGATGGAATAACCACATAATGTCATTTGATTGGTGACACTAGAAGCACTCTATTTCAGAAGACACCAGGAGGCAATGAAGGGATTTATCACTATTCCATGGAGGAATGAGTGACTAGTTTCCTCTTGGTTGCACACAGGCTTCCTACCCATTTACTTCTCCATGGCAAAATGGTTAAACAATGGTGAAGTAGCATTCAGTTACAGTTCAGCAGTGCTACCTGCTTATTTTGCACAATCTTTTCTGCTTCTGCCAATCATGGGAACCAGCAGGCAAGCAAACACCACCTGCACATTTCCCCTGACTGCACATTTTCAAAGTATGGGAAGCAAAAAGCTCCTAGAGGAAGCAAACAGAGTATGAATAAGGTCCCAAACTGTGATCATAATCAAGCTAGGGCAGCATGTTGAAGAGTAAGCCAGATAGAAAATGGGATATCGGCAATGTTTGAAAAGGGGAGGTGCAGGGGAGAACAATTCAATTCAGTCAGTCTAAAACAATGTTAGTGTGTAGCGTTGACATGTTTTTAGTGGCAGCCCTGCTTTCCCCCTCGGTTTCAGGGCTGCCCTCTTGAAAAGTCTCTCCTGCCCACCAGCTGACGCACATCTGTTTTCGTGTGTGTGGCTCCAGGTATGATATGGACAGCACTGACAATGGGAGCCCAGGGTCCGACAAGGGAAAAGCCCTGGACAGATCTATGGAGGACCTCAGCAGAAGCAACTCCTCCCCCACGCAGGGCTCCACCAAAATGAGGCACCTGACTGTCAGGTAACAGAATCGCCACTGGCTGGAATTTCTTGGGCCCTTCCCACATATTGGGATGCAGCATGTGGGCCAGGAAGGGAGGCTGTTGCACCACAACCCTCTCCAAAAACCTGCTTAAATGAAGTTAGGCTCAATGCTTTAAAATATGGCACATACAAGTCCAATAGATTTTAAATTTGTTAAAAACTGATTTGCTTTGGCTGATGTAAAGCTTCTGTAGAAGAGCTTTTTCTCCTACAAAATTAGCAACTTCAAAATGGAAATCCAGTTTAATGCAAGTAAATCAGTCACTCTACTTGCCTCCTCCACAAAATTACGTATCTGGTTAAAATAAGGCAATGGTTAAGCACTGAGCTATGAAGGAGTTTCTCTGGCAAGTGTGGTGGCCAGGTGGAGGCTGCTTGCCTGAGGCATTTCGAGTCTCATGCAGATTCTCAAGTGTATGTGTGTGCAAAGCTGCATCTAAAACTATCAGAAGTATTTTGCAGTCAAAGTGGCTTGAAATTTAAAAAACAAAAGCAGTTTTCTGCCTTCTAAATATGGAGATCATTAAAAAGTGGCCCTCACTGTATCAAAGTTTATGAACTATTTGGCTAGTTAATGTGATTTACAAACTTTCTTTGAGAATTTTGGGGCCTTCTCATGTCAATGGCTTACTTTCTTGCTGACATATGACAGGTTCTGTTTTTCTTTTCCCTATCTTGCATTTTCCTGTTTCTGTCCTTACTCTTTCTCCGTATTCTAACCCCATACTTCTTTTGCACGCTTTCCCTGGGAAAACACCTCATGGTAGGTACCCATCCAATGGCCTCCTCAGGACAGTGGGAAGAGGAGTGACAGTATGATAGCACTTGGTGTGCTTGTAATTTGGGCTTGTCAGATCAAAAGAGAGATGGAGAAGAGCAATGCAACAGCAACCATGGTCCATTAAGCCATGCTATTTTGAAAAGAATGTTTGTTCTCTCTCTCTTTCTGTCCTTTAGCAAGTCATAAATTGAGACATCAGTCAATATCTTTTCTGGCAGTTCCATTTCTTAGAAGCCCACTTGGGGTTCAGCGTTCAATTAGCTAACAAATGCCCTTATAGATGAGACCAGATCAGCCCTTTTGGGCAAGGAGAGTCCATGGCATAAGGTCCTGAATGGAATGGAGCTTTCCTTGGGGGAACACCATTACAGCTAGAAATGACTGACCCACCACCCTACAAACAGAGATTTCATCCTTAGGCCCAGTCCAGCACCAGAGAAACCACAGGGGAAAAGTTTCCTGCTACAAGCCACACAGGAAACTTCACTGAAGAACATAGTATAGGAAACAATGTTGTTTTGGAAAGCTGTGCAGGAATGAGCCACAACTATTTTCTGAATTTAAACAAAGATTGCTAAAAGTGTTTCAAGTTTATTTTAAAGATCATAGTGAAGTGTCCCCTGTGGTTCCAAAACTGCCACTTTCCCCCTTTGTTGGAGGGTGGAGGGGCAGGGAAGTATCCACCTGAAGCATCCTATTTTTCCCTCCTGTCCTGCAGGGTTGCAATCTTCCACCTCCTTCAGGTGTTGCCATTTGAACCAGCAGATCCAAACATACTTTCAACAAGTCCACCCAAGCGTCCCCTCCTCCAGCACCCCCGGGAGCGAGCAGGACTGTAAACCCAGGCCACCTCTCAACTCCTACTCACCCCGGTGAGCCTCTCCCCAACTTAACCAGTAACTTCCCCTATGAATGCAGCTGGAGGCTTGGCTAGGCAAGGGCATGCTTTCCTCACATAAGCTATTGTCCTAATTGGAAGGCAATCCAGATACGGAATATGAGGAGCCCTTGAAGCCCTGAGGTCTGGAAATCTGCATTTTTAAAATCCTGGATTATGTAATTCCCACCCGCCAAAATGGTGTACTTGCAATTGATTTCCTAAATCTGGGATAGTTGCAGATAGTTGCATGCTTTCATTTTTGTTCCACAATGATGTTTTGGTACTGTGTGCATGTGTGCGCCATGTGCATGTTGAGGCTTTTAAAAATAGTTCCAGTTTTGTTGCTGTCATATATAGGAAATTGGAACTGATGTTCAGAGGCAGCAGGAAGGGATGTGGTACATTCATAAAGGAGGCACTAGACCATGCTGAGTGAAGAAGTCCCAGCTTCTGAAGCCACCTCAATTTGTGCTTATGTCTGTGTTTCAGTTTCTTGAAATCATGAGATCTAGAAATCTTTTCTAAAGTCGATGGAAGGTTTAGATTCTTAGGATCCTGAAGAGCAACTACCACATTCAGCACATGTAGCCACAATCTGTATTCTGCTGCCCAATCTTACAGAGCTTCCCAATAAATACCATCTTTCTGCAGTACTTTAAGCACTTATAGTGCCCACTTTCCAGGGCTTGTTGAGTCCCCCAGCACCAGCCTCTTTCTTATTTATGCAGAACACCAAAAACTGGACTTGAATTTTTCATTGGTGACAGTACCTTCCAGACAAAATTTGAAGTGGTGCCGTAGAAGCAAAGGAGATTTTATACAGCAGCCCTGCTGTCCAACCTGATCCCCATGCACAATTTCTTGCTCCTTGAATTCTTGCATTTGTCTATACAATTAGATGGCAGAGAATTGTTTGGCATCCTTTCTCATCCAGCTATCTCTGCACCCTCACCCCTTACATTTATCTCTACCTCAGAATGAATCTGGCACACAGCAGGAAGGCGCTGCGGAACTCACGCATTGTCAGTCAAAAGGATGACGTTCACGTTTGCATCATGTGCCTCCGTGCCATCATGAATTATCAGGTGACTGAGAACAATGATTGGAAACGTGTTGTACAACTTCGGGAAAAGGGACATAGCTGGGACTAACCAATTAGAAACTGCTTCTGAAATGTCCTTGGGTGTTAACCAAGCAGGGTATGTAAATGCTGCTGTGGAGAGAGGAGACTCAGAAGCTGTGTGGTATACAAGGAAATTGATTCTTAGTATCTCAGCCCTCCAAATTCAGAGGGAATAATTGGAGCCGTAATCCAACAACATCTGGACGGCACCACCTTTTCTACCTCTGAATCATAAGTCCTATCAGAGCCATAAGAACTAAATGTGACCTACACATTCAGAGACTGTTTGTTCCCAAATGCCAGCTGCTGGAAAGGCGGGAGCCCAAATACTTGTGTGCCTGGCTGGTGGGGTTGCTTGGAGACTTCTGACCAGCCAGTGCAAGGGAACCAATGCTGAACTTTATGGATCAGTGGTGCGTGTTTTTCCTGTGGTGAGCATATATGCCCCAAGAGCCCAGAATAACTCTCAATAAATCAGTCTTGTATTAATGCTTACCTATTTAAGGCCATTTTATGGCATTCTGTATGTGACAAAAGTGTCGCCTGACGGCGCTAATCCTGTCTTGGATGGAGTGATGTGACTGGGGAGTGTGGGATGTGCATATCATAATAGCGTGCGGACAGACATGTGCTTGAACCTGGATGAAAGAGGCTTGAGAGAAGTGTTGCTCTGCATGATGGGTTCAGTCATTTGAACTGTCCTGCTGCCACAAACGGGGCAAACAGATTTGCAGGTTGTAGAATAATATAAAGACCTTTTGGGCAGAGATGGAAGTGGGATAAACATAAACGCCAAATGCGTCACCTGACAAAAGCGTTGTGTCCAGTCTTTCTCTATGCCCAGACCCAAGAGAGGAGAAGCTACTATTCTGCTGCGAGTGGCTACAGATTTGGCCATCTGTTCCCACTCATGTCCTTGTGGCATGGCCTCTGCCTAAGAAAGGATGCATTCTCTGAGCCAGTGTGGAACACCAAGAGGCAGTGTGATATAATGGCTAACAGCACAGCTCTGGGACTCAGGCAATCTGAGTTCTAGTGTGCAATCAGCCATGCAGGCAACTTGGTGACTTTGGGCCAGTCACAAACATGCAGTCCAATCTACATCACAGGCTAATTGTTGTGGAGATAAGATTGAGAGCGGGAGGAGGAAAATGATGTAAGCCACTTGGAGTTCTTTAATGGAAGAAGGCAGGATATAAATTTAATAAATAGATAAACAAATGGGGCACTTAACTGTGCTCCATCTTCAGCCCATCATGCTTCTAAGATATCCAGATTCACTTTCGCTCATAATATCCTCTCTTACCCTCCTTTCAGTCTGGGTTCAGCCTTGTGATGAACCATCCAGCTTGTGTCAATGAGATCACCCTGAGCCTCAACAATAAGAACCCCAGGTAAGCATTCTGACAGTCTATCCTTGCTCTCAGGAATAGATGGTCCCAGGGTGTCATCAGACCTGGACCACCAGATCTAGGTTTGAGTCCCAGCAGCCTGATGGGACAGCAGGTACAGTCTAAATCAGTGCTTCCCAAACTTTTTCGGTCATGGAACCTTTCTGAAGACATTTTTTCACATAATTCTTTCTTTCATCTGCTCCTATTGCCTGAGTGCTTTGCATAATGTAGTAGGTTTGGAAATAACAAGAATACATGTTAAAGATAATGAATGAATAAAGCAAGTATATTGTAATATCCAAAATAAATTCTTTCAGTTATTCCCAGCACTATGCAACAGAGTCCTAAGAACCAAATGACATGATGCATTTCCTTGTTTGCTGCTTGGATGCCAACTGACAATTGAATAGTTGGCCTCATGTGGTTTCATTTTAAAATCAGTTTTAAATCTGATTTTTGAGATTATTCATGGAACCCCTACAAGGCTTTTGGGGATTGCTGGGGTTCTGCAGAACACAGTTTGAGAATTGTTGGTCTAGATGCATGCGTTTTACTTATTACACTTTTATACTGCTCAAACCTACTATGGGTGGTTCACAACAATTAAAACCAGGAAATGTAGCACAATAAGACATATATAAAACTTTTAAAAGTTAAAAGTTACAGTGTAGAACCAAAGAAAAAACCAATATGAGTGTAAAGAGTTGAAAATACAATAACAATTTTACAAACAGAGAAACTGAATGACTAAAATGCTTGAAAAATAAGAAAGTATCCTGCTCCTTTATCAACAGTTGCCTAGCCCAGCCTAAGGTATCTTCAGGATGCAACCAAAGGGAGGAACCAGTCCAGTTTAGATTTATTGAGCCAAACGTTCAAGACAGGCAGAGGTGTCTAAAAGGGTGGTCGATGTGGGTAGTTGAAGTCCAAGGAACCCACCCAGTCAGAAGGCCATGCTAAAAAACACTGAGATGAAACACCATTGCCCATGACAGAGAGCAAGCTCCAGTGGGGCTAATTTGCAACTGGTTGTAAATCAGCATAGCTGGTTAATTAGGACAGGAAGTTGCTTTTAAGGGAGGCTCCCACAGGCTTCTCTTTGGACTTTGGATTTTTCATGCTTGATCTTGTACCTTTCCAAGGGCTGAATTGCATCTGGCTCTGCCTACTGTACTCTACTGGAGAGGATCTTAGAATCCAGGATTGGGGGTGGGGGTGTATTGAAGAAGATGATTTCAAACTGGCCCCAAATTGTTTAGGGCTTTAAAACTAGCAACACCTTAAAAAAAGACTGCAAGGACATAGAAATGCACACACACATGCACACACACAATTCCTCCCCCCCCCCCCCACTCTCTCTCCATTTTACCAGATAGCAGCACCCTTTATTAAACTTCCTTTTATGCTTCCATGCTCATGCTGCCTGGAGATCATACTCAGCACCTTCACTTCTCTCGGGATTTTCCAGGTGGCTGCTGGTAAAAAGCAAGATGTTGGGTGTGGCTGCAGTTTCCTCTGTTGCACATCTAATTTTTTCTAACAGTAAAGAGAAATGAAGGATGCTATTGCCTGATCATGGAGATGGGGTGCTTTGGAAAGGGGTTGGGGGAGAGAAAGAATGAACTGCCTCCTATTACCTAATTCAGCCCCTGCCTCGTACTACCTAGTGGCTTTAGGAGGAAAGTGCCCCATTCATACCTCACCTCCCTGTTCTCATTGCAGGACTAAAGCCCTTGTCCTTGAACTGCTGGCTGCTGTTTGCTTAGTCCGAGGAGGGCACGACATCATCCTGGCAGCTTTTAACAACTTCAAAGAGGTTTGTGAACTCCACCCCCTTTCCGACGTGCTGGTTCTAGCTAGAGCAATCATTCACCAAATGCGTGGTGCTAATGTGGCAAGGCAGGAGCCTGAACAATCTGATGAGTCCAGACAAAAGTGCAGTTAGGTCAATTTATGCTCTGGAATTAGGGCTTCTCTTCACACTTAGAATTTTGTGGGGTCATTTCAGAATGTTGTAATCTTTCATGGCCTTTTCTGTGTTTTCTAGCCATTTTTATAGATTTCCTTTTTTTTTTTTTTTTTGAGAGAGAGAGAGAGAAAGTCTGGTGTTAAATTTTAAATGGGGAAAAAAGCCTCATGGAAAATCCTGAATCTGCTTTACTGCAGTTCTACTGCAGCTGCACCTTTTGCTTGTTTAATAAAATATATACAAAGGCAGAGAAATATAAATCCCAGAGGGAAAAAAAAGCATGTAAAAGACACATTTTGCCCCCTGCAATGAAAATAGAAGAAGAAACTTCAGTAAAATGACAGGTTATGCAGAAAAACCCTCTTGCAATGATGACATGTTTTACTTCTCTTGATCAAAAGGTTTAAATCCTCCTCTTGTTCATTCTCTGAGTGAAACTCTGGATTTCTGGCCCAAAGTTCTGTCTTAATGGTCCTGCTGAGCTCAAAGCACATCCACAGAAGAGGCTGCCTGCTGAATCCCCACATGAATCACTGTTTGGGCTTGTGTCTCCTCCCAGCCAACTTTTTCTGATGGAGGGGCAAATTTGCACTGGGCCTGATTAGTCCACTGTATTGCTCCCTGTGCAGAGATGCAGAGGAATTGCATGGCATCAGAGACTTTAAACCTGGAACAGTATGTCCTACCAAAACACCACCCCTGAGCTTCCCTTCAAGTACAGAGTTGTTATTTTTACATTTCCTAAATGTGAACCTTTTCAGGTCAAAGTAAAGGTAATTCAGTGAATAGTGTGCTTGAGCAATCAGAATTTTGGGAACACAGACCTAGTAATATAAGGGTGTGGTGAGTGTCTCAGAGATGGAAGCAGGCTCCCTCTGCAGAGTGCATTTTCCATTCTGTCTCCACATGACCCTGAGTACTAATAATTTGCCTTGCAATAAAGGTGCCATTTTTAGGGCTCTCATATGTTTTGCTTAAATATGTCCAATTTCACTGCAGTTGTACTCCAACTTTCTTGGGCTTAACTTTGATAGATTTGATTATTCATGGGTTTGCCAAAAGTAATTAAATGGATTTTTTTAAAAAATTTTGTGCCCTACTGGGGAAAATCATCATCACCTTAGAGAAAGTGAGGAAGTGAAAGGAGAGGGGGCCTCCAAAGCATGCCTTCTTGTCCCACTCATCCAGAGAGGGAAATCCCTCCCAATTTCCTTGGTGCAAAGAGGAGGTGCTGGTGTGTAAAAGGGAGGGCAGGGCATAAGAATATAATAATGTGGTAAATGAAGAAGAGGTTCCCCGCTGGATCAGACCAAGTTCTGAGAGAGAAAGAGAGGGAGAAACAATCCAGTATATGTATGGTCAGCACTATTAAGAGTTAAGGTTTGGGGGTAGGCTAGAGATATTTGTGGTTTTTCCACTTTTGTGGGGATCCTGTGCCCCTAACCCCCTCGAATGTGGAGGACTGACTGTATATAATTTCAAATAGCTCTTAGAAATAGAAGCAGAAGCAAACTTGAGGGAATCCTCTCACTGCAGAATTGTGTGTATTTGAATTCTAATAAAGAAGGCATTCCTTCTCGTCTAAGGCCAAACTGCAGTTAAAGTTGAACCAGCTGGTGGGGCTGCAGGTGATTCCTAAGACTAGGGTGGGCATAGAAGGTGAATGCATCCCTTTTCTCCCATGCTGCGGTATTGAGCAAAATTCCTTCTTTGACACTAATATTTGTACTGGGAGGAATCCAGCACAGATGCCTAATTTGATCCTTATCAAACACCTTGGGAAGACCCAGAACCCCCCCCCCCCCCCCCCCCCCCCCGCCGGAACTGAGATGTGTTAGATGAATAAGTAGGAATAGACAGGAAACTTGTGCCTTTGGCCTTCATAAACTGATCTCCAAATCTGACAAAGGGATAGCATTTGCCCATGGAGCAGATGGTCTGCACCAAAGCTTGGGGAGAGAGGAAATGGAATTGAGACACTGAACATAAAGGCACAAATTTCATCTAAATTCCAGCAGGGTTGAGCAAATTGGGCATGGAGGAAGGGAGGAACTTCGCACAGGATCCGTTTCATGTGAAATTCTACTTTCTTTCAGGCTTTTATTCTTTTGCACAATTCCATGCCTGCCATTTCATAACTGTTTCTCAGAAATTATTACCTTGTCTGTGCTCTGAAACAACTCACTCTCATTACTGAGCATTTGACAAATAATTTTTGCTGTTAATATATTTGCTTTTGTAATTAACTTCTTGAGGTGTGTCTCTCATTCCCATTTTACAAGTTGGAAACTGAGGATGCAATTTGGCTAGAGTTGCATAAATAATAGCTGACAGAACATGGCTTTCCTAGATCCAGGACCAGCTAGCTATCCACAAGATAACCTTCTTTATACCTCTTCATGTACCTTGTCCTTCCTGTATCAAATAGCTCAAGGAAGGAACACTTATATGCATGCATACAATAATCCCTGCCCTAAGTCATTAAACTCTTCAAGGAAAATGACCTCAGCCCTTCTGTATCCTGTGACTGTCTTTCCTTGCAGAGTATATGCATTAATTGATAATTGGGTGCTAAAGGGCATGGTCCCATAGGCTCAGGAACTTGGCCAGTGCTGTTTCCATAGTCAGGAATTGGAAATTGCCCTCTTTGGATTGTTAGAGATCAGTGTTATTTATGGAAAGAATTTTCATTTGCATTCAACAGCACATCTTGGCTCTTCCACAGGTCAGTGTATTTCTTAATAGAATCCCACTTTGGCAGTGCCAATATACAGATGGAGAAGGGGAGATGCCGCTTTTAATTTTGTTTTCAATATGAGAACTGTAAGTGATTGTTGAGGGGGTTAGCCTTCATTGGCATTAACTTGTGTAAGGTGTGTTCTCCAGAGGTGAATGTTCATAAGTTCTCTCCTTGTGGACAGAAGTCATTCCTAGATGGGCTGGCCAACCCTCCAGAGGGCAAGGCTAAAAAGTCTAATTCCTGCTTGGCAGATAGTCACCAATCTCCAGTTAGCTTTTCTTCAGTGCTTCTGGGGGCTCTGCATAAACAAAATTGTTTACTGTTGAGTGAAACACATTTTTGAAAGATATTTCCTCAGTTATCTCTCTTCTCCCCTTGCATCAGCTTGGTGGGAGAGGGCCTGAGAAATTGCAGCCTAGGTTCCTGCTGATGATGTGTAGGTACTGGGGCCATAACTTCATTGTTTGAGAAACTGACAAAATAGGAGTATTGTTGATGAAAGCAACATCTGCCTTTTGTAATAAAGTCTGTCCCAGAGGCATTCATGGGGAAAGAAATGGGAGAAACTGGAGCCCACAGCTTTATTTTGAAGCAGTCCCTGCTGCTAGTAAGAAACTTGATTATGTAGAAGAACAAGAACTGGTGCATCATACCTTTGTGGGCACAGAGGTGCCCCTGGGTACCACATTGCTGACCCTTGCGGTACACCATGCAACCAAGCTCCTGTCCTTTCCAGCCAGTGAGTTGCACTTTTTTCCTGACATGGCACAGAAAACATCCTAAGCAAGCAGCAGGGCACACATCTCAGCTGCATCGGTTCCCTGGAGGGTCGTGTTGCTGCCCACAGCCAGCTTGTGCCCTGGTAATGCTGTAGACAGCAATGAGGCAGAGAGTAACTCTGTCTCTAAACCTCCTTTTCTACATCATCTTGAGGGAGAAACTGTCCAGCTTGAATTTGTCCTGTGCTTTATGCTACCTTCTTTTGAAATCAGGGATGAGCATTCAAATAAAAAGTACATCCCCTCCATTTTCAAGAAATGTTATTTCTTTCCCGGATGTATTTTACTAAACTCACGAGGTGCATGATACCATGTCAGCTTTGACCTTTGAGACAATTTTGCTGGTGGATTCTGATGAAATGTGAAAACCAAAATGACTGATGAGCTGGAAACTTGGAGGTACAAGCATGAGACCTTTGGGCTTTTTCTGATCCTTTCTTGATCAGCTGATGGCTGAATTATGAGCTTTCTCTAGGAGAGTGGGTGGGGGCTAGCAAGGAAGTTCCTGGGTGAGTCAGCCATGCTTACTCCTGAGTAGACACACAGAAGCTTTGTCCTGATATTTCTCAAGAAAGCTTAAAATTGGTAATACTCACACTTTGGCAATGGCCAGTTTGCCTTTAGCCATGTCCACAGATAGAAGGTCTCCTCACCCCTTGCCTTATGAACTGTTCCCTGGAATCCCCTTATGTACCTTCAGATTGTTTCATTCTGTCTCCATGATCAAGCAAGCTATCACTTCATCAAGATGCAAGCCACAGCATCAGTTCCAGTGGACAATCAGTTCTCTGGAGTATTTTCTTTGTCCTCCACAGCCCCAAAAAAGTCAAGGGCATGAGAACTCTAGATCTAAAGAGTAAGCAAATTAATCACTAGAAAATCCTCCCAGCATTCTGTCTTTGTGAACTTGAACAGTTGAGATATCTTAGCCTCCTCCTTAGACCTTATGGACATGTACCTCACTGTTGTAATTTCACCTCCTCCTCACCACTTCCTGAGGTGCAAACTAACCATTTCATTAAGTATGTATTATGAAGCTCTCTGCAGTTGTGGGATGACCGATCAGAATCCCAGCATTTGAGAAGGAAAAGACTAATGTGTCACTCATCTTACATTCTCCTGAAAAAAAGTTGCATTCACTTCTGCATGCTAAAGACCTTTGTTACTTTTCTGATTTGGCATTTGATGATTTTTTTAAGGAGAGCAGCAGGGAGGCAAAAAGCCTCTCCTCCCTGTATGCTGCCGTTCTAATCCAGTTCAGGGCTCCCACAATGTCTTTTAAGTAAACCAAAACAAACAAACAAGCAAACATTGTACATGTTTAATGTAACATGTAGCTCGACCCTCACATTCAGTTGTGGAGAAGCTCACTTATTTGTTCTGAGCCTTTCTCTTCAGCTGCTCCCTGGCTCTCAGGTAAGATCAGTAAAAATGGGCTAGATACCAGAGGAAGGTGTTCCACCAGGTTTGAGATACCAGGCATGTGCCTTTTTACCAGGAGTGCAAACAATCAACTGTTCTTCTGTACAAGCCATGTCAAAAAAACAATTCTGTCTTCCTGGGCACCCTACAAGGACCATGGCCAAAAGGACTCTCACAGGCCTTCCTTCTTCCCCTTCTCTTTAAGGCTATAAGGAAATCAGACAACAGAGGGTGAATATAATTCTTATTGACCCAGGTAGCCAGGGTGACTATCATTTTTTTTTGGAATAAGTTTTATTTTTAACAAACCTAACAAAAAAGGAACTAAAAAGTCATCAATCATCAAAAACATCAGACCTACTAGGTCAGCCGCCCACATTTTTTTCTTTTTATGTTAAACTATAAACATATTTAGATCTATGCATAGTCCCGTTTCTCTAGCCAATACTAAAAAGAGGCCCAGGTTTGATAGAAATCTGTATCTTCCTTCTCCTTCAGAGACAAAGTCAATCTGTCCATTTCTGCACAGTCCAAGTTCTTTTTTAGAATCAGTTTGTCAGTAGGTGGCTCTTCACTCTTCCAGTGTTGGGAGAGTGACTATCATTCTTGTTGACCCTTTTTTAACTCCTGCAGTTCCTGATCTAGGAACATGCACAGTATTCTGGTGAGATGTGCAAAGCTGCTTAATTCAGAGCAGAGCAAGTTTATCTATTCTTAAGGTTTAGACTGCCATTAAGAGTGGCTATCTTGAAGGGTGGAACCCTCCTTGAATAAAGGAATGAAGGAAACAGTAGAAAACAACGGCCATATTGAGACATCTTTTTAAAAATCTGTGTTGATGTGTGCAAGTCAACCCAGTCATTCTTGCTTGTTTCCTCCTGCTAGTGAGAACAAGCCAGGGACTTTGGTCAGCATGAATCTGAGAGTCTGAACCAGTTACCCTACCTCATGTGGTTGTTGTGAGGATAAAATAGTGAAGAGGAGAACAATATAAACTGTTTTGGATTCCTTACAAAATCATAATCATCCCTGTCCCTTTCCTATCTCCCCACCAGAAAACCAGAGTTGTAACCCAATAGTTTTTTTCATGGGTCACAACTCTGTCTCACTGGGAATTCTGGGAAGAGGCTTTCTAGGAATGCCTGACCTGTTCAGTTGCTTCTGCTGGCAGGAGGAGCCAAGCAGGTGCTTGGGTGTGGAAGTGCACAGAATCAAGCAGCATATGCTGGCATGATAAAATTCAGTGATTGGGCCAATAAGATGAAATGAAAGTAGTAATTACAACCAACAAGCTTGAAGTGTAAAAGGCCTACAAAACAGGGAGTCCTCAGAGCTTTTCTGAAAACCTGCAAAGAGGGGACCTGATGAACCCATGATGTTGTCCATTTCTATCCCACTATCTTCCCCCCACTCTCCAGTTTATTATCTTGATGTTAGCTGATCTATTTATTTTTTGATTACGTTTCTGTGTCATTTTTTAATCTGCAGCCTACAACAGTCTTGAAAACAGAGAGTGTCAAATGAAAAGTAACAAAATAAATCCAGAACAATTAAATTAAAACAGGAAATATCAAGTATGCGCACATATGCACTCACACACAAACATAGTAGAGACGGCCCCTGGGTAGAAAGCAGCTGCATTTACCTAAACTCTATTGGGAGAGAGGTTACTAGTGTGTTTGTAAAATGTTGATGTTTGCTTGTAGATCGCATGCTTTGGGGCTTTCAGGCTGCCAAATATCTTACTTCTGCTGGTACCAAGTTCTCATACCTTGGGCATAATATTCATCATCACTGATGGCTCCAAGTTGCAGGTGGGAACTGGGCAAAGCAGAGGCAAAGAGTCCACAGGGAATGCATTTCTTCTTGTGGGCAGTTGCCAAACAATACCTAGCAAGAATGTGTGGACACTAGCAGCCTAGAGAAGGTGGAAGCATGCTAGAGAAGATGAAGTTAGTAGACACATGAGCTGGCAAGTAGTCAAGCTGGCCAGTCGGTAAGCTGAGAAACAGAGAAGCAAATGGGATGGTCCAGTGGCAGTTTTGGTATTAACCATGACAGCTTTCTCAGACTGACTAGCCATGGCTTTCTCAGAAACATTACAGGGTCTGGTAGAAACCAGTGAGTCATGTCATCTGAACCCCAATGAGCTAAGAGCTACAGTGCCACCCTCTGGTCATCTGCCATGCTGGTGTCAAGACACAGAGGATATCAGTACCGTAACAGCTCCTTGTAATGGTAGAACCAGAGGATAAGCTATCTGAGTCCTCAGTTTGGCATCATGTAGTCCTTTTAGACTGCACTATGTCAATGCACATCCTTGGTACCAGCCAAACTGACTGGTTCTCTTTCTCTCCTTACAGGTCTGTGGTGAGAAGAACCGCTTTGAAAAGCTGATGGAATATTTCCGAAATGAAGAGACCAACATAGATTTCATGGTAATGGATGGAGCAGGGAAGGGGAACCTAGATTTGCTTCTTGGTTGCCCTCAGTGTCTCCTCCCTAGTGCATTTGCATGCATGCAGACATGACTAGTAGTGTGCCTAGAAGAGGGAAGCTATTGCTAGCAGTGAGAAGGCACAGTGCAGCGATTCTGCACTTTTCTCCTTAACAGATTTTCCATAGTAAGAGCAAAGACAGACAAAGTGGTGGGAAAACACAATAGGGTTATGCCTTAAACATCCAATTCCATGAATGAGGCAGGATGATAGCACGTTAAAGACCTTTTATGGAAACACCCTACCTGCCTTTGTGAGTAGGCTAGCCTTTCCCCTAGTCTCAGAACTGCTCTTGTGTATTCCATAATTGCCTAATAAATGGTACATTCATGTTGGGAAAACTGTAACTTGTTGCATTTCGGTTCATCTGTCAGGCAGTTATGAGGTGCAGGTTCAGAGGAGGCAAAGAGGTCATAAAGGTAGACTGAGACAGCAAGTTTCCTTTCTGTTACAGAGAAGCAAGCATCAAAATCATTGAGGGATTGATTATCCAAAGGGCACCGAGTCTAACTGTGGACACTAAAATTTTTGCAGCCGCTTTTTTGTCATTTTCGGAGGGCTAAACTAGTTGTTTTTGTTACATTGTTATGTGTCATCATGTTGTTTCTGACTTTGGCAAGCCTATGAATGAGTGCCTTCCAAAATGTCCTGTCCCTTGTAGTCCTGCTCAACTCTTGTAAACTGAAGGCTGGGGCTTGCATCCTTTATGGAATCAATACAACTCACATTTAATCTTCCTTTTCTTCTCCTGCCTTTGACTTTTCCTCACATTATTGCCTTCTCCAGTGAGTCTTCCCTTCTCAGGATGTGTCCAAAGTACAACAGCTTCAATTTCATTACTTTTACTTCCAGGGCATGTTCTGGCTTGGTTTGACCTAGGACTCCCTTGTTCGTCCTTCTGTCAGTCCAGGGTATTTGCAGAGCTCTCGTCCAGCACCATGTTTCAAATCCATCTATTTTCTTCTTGTCAACTTACTTCACTTTCCAGCTTTCACATCCATACTCAGAGATCAGGAATATAATATTGTGGATGATCTTGGCTTGGTCTCCAGTGAAACATCTTTACACTGGATGATCTTCTCTCATTCTTTTTTCCCCTGCCCTTCCAAGTCTTTCTTTTTCTAATTTCTTGCCTGCAGTATCTTTGAATTGGTGATTGAGCTAAGGTGTGCAACATCTTTCACAATATAAATTTCTTCACTGTTGACATTAATGTTGCATAATTCTTCCGTAGTCATTGTTTTTCTTTTTGTTCAGCTACAGTACTGCTATTGCACTTTCTTCTTTCACTTTCTTCAGGAATCAGTTCAATTCTATGCGGTAGTTGCTGAAAAGGTGCATTCAGGATTCTGGCACTATTTCTGTCATCTCCTGCTTTTGCTTGTCAGCTGTCCTTAGCAATTGTGACTGTTTTTCCATCATCCTTCCAGGCTCCCTGCCTTTTTTGTCTTTTACACTCTTCCCTATTAATGTATCTGTCCACAGTTCTTCTGGTTCATGCTCAACTGATGCGTTCACTAATAAAAATCTGTTGTGTGTACTTTAAAGTCCTCAGGAATGTTATTTAAGTTGTATTTTGGTGATATGCTTCTATAAGTAATCTTTTTCAGCTGTACTAATTTTTGATATTAAGAGTTCATGGTTGAGATTAAGAATTCATACTGCAGTCTGCTGCTGGTCTCATTTTGGCAGCGATGATATAGTTTCTCCGCCTCTTACTTCCAATTACATAGTCTATTTAATTTCTGTATTGGAAACTGGATGACATCCACGTGTGCAGCCATCTGATTGGTTGCCTAACATGTGTATTTGCAATGAACAGATTGTTCACTTCAAAAAATTCTAAGATTCATTCTTGTGTTTCATTTTTGACTCATAGTCCCAATTCTCCCACCTCATTTGATGCTCCTTTGTTTCCTTCTTTTGCATTCCAGTTACCTAGAATTATCAACATATCATAGTTTTGTTGTGTTATCAAGTTCCTCTTAAAAGCTTTTGATTTCTTCTTCCTCAGCATCTGTTGTTGGAGCACAGATCTGAATGATGCTTATGCTGATAGGTTTTTTTCCCAAGAATTGCCTTATAGACTCTCACTGCCTGTACTACACCTTGCCTCAGAGCCACTCCGTTTCTTCTGAGTTTGTCATTTCCAGAATAAAACAGTGTTTGACTGAAAATTTCCTATTCCAGTCTACTTTAATTTGTTCACACCAAGTACTGTACCATAATGTTAACCATTCCATTTCTTGCTTTATAGTTTCTGGTTTGATTCATCCTTCTCACGTTCTAGATTCCAACTGTAGATACAGACTTCAGTTGTACCTCTGTGCATGTCAGCCCCTAGACTTCCTTTCAGCTTTGCTTTGTTAGCAACAGGGCTATTTATACTTGTATTTGCTGTTCCCAATAGCTTCTTGAGTGCCTTCTAACCCAGGAGTCTCATCTTCTGGCACCATCTGTTGTTTCATTTGGATTGTTTCATTGTAGGGCTTACAAAGAGATAATATTCAGAAGTGGCCTACCATTGTCTTCTTCAGTGCAGTACTATCCCGATTACCTTGAGTGTCACATGTCACTGCTGTTGTCTGTGAAAGCCTCTCCACCAATGTTGCCATCACCTATTGCTGTTGCCTAGCAGCTGCCCTTCAGAAGTTTCTCTGCCCCCATCACCATGAAAGATACCCATTCTCTTCTGCTGATGTGATTGCTACTCCTGAAAAGGGTGGGTGTGTCCTAGTTGGATGTCTCTGCTTTGACCATTCTGCCTTTGGCAATCCTGCTGGGAGACCAGCCTAGTGAGAAATTATGGCCTCCTGGCAGCATTGCTCTCCTCTGACAGCCTGAAACCCCCTCACCACAATTAAGGTGTTCATCCAAGGGGTGGGACAAACTAGATACAACTTTAAATTAGTGTCTGTTGCCAAAAATGTGTCTAGCCTCCCCCTCCCCTTCTGTATGGTCTCACAGAACACATCTATGTCCTGAGGTTAGTATAGTCTTCATTTCTCTGGGCCAGCTTCACAACAGAGTGTCGCTTGGCAAGGTGGGGAAACAAGGAATCATCAGAATGTGAGGACGTTAAATGAGATGGGATGGGACGGTGGTCAGGGGAGCTAGAGCTGCAGTTGCTCTGAGGTTGGAAAATATCCTTTTCCTTTTCATGTAGCTTCTGTACAGTCTGAACAGCCTGATCCTGCCTAATCTCAGAAGCTAAGCAGGGTTGGGCCTGGCTGAAATCTGGATGGGTGTGTTGTAAACTGCCCCGAGAGCTTTGGCTATGGGCAGTATAGAAACGTAATGTAATAATAATGTAGCATTGCTCAGGGCATATGTGAACAGAAATGAAGGAAGGGATTAGAGCACAGATGCTGTTTTCCTGGAGACTGTGTGATCTGGCTACACGCAGCACTCTGTTGCCTTATGTGTAATTTTGGAGGCTTCAGAAGAATGCCATGTGCAGATAAGAAGCTTCCCCCACCCCCACAGCCTGCTCTCCCTGCCCCATCGAGACCTCATTTGGCTCTGACTCACAAGCTACAGTAGTCTGTTCCTCAGCTGCAACCCTGGGGATACTCTGGCTACAGTAGGCCAAAGATATGCTCCCCCTAGACAACCCATCAGATTTCCTCACTTCCCAGGGCAGCAGTTGCTCTTCTGAGGCCACCTGTAGCCAGTGCCAGCCTTTCTCTTCCCATTTGTCTCAGCCATGGAAAGGCACTCTTACTGGCTAGCTCATTGTTCCTGGCTGAGAACTACAGGCTGAGAGCCATTATACACTTGCCTTTGGCTCAGGCAAGAGGCACACACCTCTGGCAAGCTGGAGGCTTTCAGATGGAACATCCAGTTAAGGCATCTTAAAATGCATCCTTAAAAGCAGCTCTTGTGCTATATGAAAAGGAAGAGGGTGGCATCCCAGCACTGGTCAGCACCCTAGACTACTCATGCTGGGAATGGAGAGAGGAGGGTGTGACCCTGTTGGTTTGCCTGAACCCTTCAGCAGGTTTCAGTTCCATCAGCTGTGGTATCTGAGACAGCTCTTCTGGGCTAGGCATAGGCATAGCAGGCATGGTGTTACAGTGGTTCTATTCCTTCTTGGATAAATGATCTCAGAAAGGGGCTTCTGCTGCCCCCATGACTACTGGCCATCTCAGCCCTTATACTTTTCAATATTTACATGGAGATGGGAAATGTCATTTGGAGATTTGGGTTGAAGTGCTATCAACATGCAGATGCCACTTAGCAGTGCCTTAATGATCCTAGGATGACTGTTGAATGCCGGAACTGGTGCCTAGAGGTGACTTTAAAGCGTATGAGGCAAACAGATTCAGACAAGGCAGAGGAACAGTGGGAGGGAACTTGGAGGCCAAATAGTCTGGGTAGAGGAATGCTTTTGGTTGGTATTGCACCTCTGGAATCAGCGCTCATTAGTGGTTCATCAGAACTATTTCTGTAGGACTTCAGAGCCTTTCTGAAAAGGATCCGCAAGCTTTATTGCTGTTATATGTTTTCACACTATTCTTATTGAATAATTATTGAATAATGTTCATGTTTTATTTAGTTAGCCAAGCTCTTTAGGCAGTTTACAACAAAGGCCACTTTTTAAAAAACAAAAGTAAAAAACAGCACAGCATTTTTCCAGTTTTCAAAATCTGAAAACAATTTAACAGCTAGAACAATTTTAGTACAAATCAGACTTGTTAAAACAGCTGATAGGCAAGCCCCATAATGGTATTCAAGAGCTTCAGATGTCGTTAAATATCTAGGAGAAAAGAGTAAGCTCACCCTGGCACCAAAACGATGGCAGAGATGGTACATGGTGGGCCTTGGTAAGGAGATCCTTCAGTGGGGAGTTCATCCCACTGGAAAGGCCTTTTTGCTCATTGTCACTTTTCAAGCTTTCCTCCAAGGTGGCATTTAGAGGTTCACCGTAGTGTCTGGATAGATTCAGCTTTAATAAAGAACTTTGCAGTAATTCCTTTTTTAAAAAAAACCCTAAGAACTACATAGCAATAGACTTCCTTTTTAAAAAATACCTAAAGACTAAGTGGGCAGTAGTTTGTTTAAGAGACACAGATACCAGCCAGAGAAACAAATAAAAAACAGATAATGAAACATTATTCAAATTCATTCATGCCAGAATAGTTCTAACCACCAAAGAGCAGCCCAAGAAATTATAAAAAGAAGTACCTAACTATGCTCTTTACTTCTCTCTCCTCCTCAACATCCAGGTGGCTTGTATGCAGTTCATCAATATTGTGGTTCATTCAGTAGAGAACATGAATTTCCGTGTCTTCTTGCAATATGAGTTCACACAACTGGGATTGGATGAGTTCTTGGAGGTGAGGAAGATGTAATTCTGCGTGTGAGTGCACATGTATGCGTGTATGTGGCTTAGTCCATATGTTTCAGAGAGCCCTGCCTTAGCATTTACAAGCAGTGCTCTGGTACATGCTGCCGGATGGCCCCCACTACAAGCTGAAGTACCTCAGAGAACCCTGGACCTTCCACTTCTAGCTTTTTTAATGTCACATGTTGGGGTCTCTCCCCAGACAAACCAGAGCAATAACCATATTTGTTCTTTGGTTCTCGCAATCGCTGATGATTCTTATATATTGCCATATCTGCTAAAAAGCCATCAAGGCCTTTTCAACAGTTGGAAACAATGAATCCTTGCAATGATAAAAACAAGAACATTACAAACTTCACAACCTTTTTACTTACATACAAAAGCTGAAACTGAGAAGTTGCCTTTTACATGCTGTCCAAAGGTGAAGAGAGTAGGAGAAAATGGTACGCGTCGTCCTTGAGGGAGTGCATTCTGTAATTTCTCCTTTCATATGTGTCTGGCAAACAGTCTCTGTGGGTGATAGTGCCCTCAAAAGGGGACTGTCCTGCACATCTTAGTAGGAGCAGAGTGAGCCAAGCAGTTTCTTAAGATAGCCAGGCCCTGATCCATTTAAGGATGCGGTCCAATGCCTCCCACCCTTGATGCATGTGAGCCTCCAGACTCAGAAGCTTGCATACATCCAATGCACAGAGCAAGGCACAGTGGCAGCAATCTCTGCCGCCACCTTATCTCTCACAATGGGTTTTATTTAGGGGACTGTTTTTTGACATCTTAATGAAGCACTGGGGTGCGGAAGGAAGGAGGTTGGGGTGCCCGTGGGAACTGGCATATGTCCTTAGCTGCACCGCAGTTCCTTCCTACCCCTGCCATGCCTCTTTCCCTCCTCCCTGAGATGCATTTGCAACCTCAGAGAGGCAGCCAGCATGGTTCCTTCCACACAAATGCTGGGAGCTCAGCCTTCAAAGTTCCAACATTTTGCTCACAGGACCTTGGTGCTGGGACTCCAAAAAATCCTTTGCTCCCCAAAAGATGTCAGGAGGCCATAAGATTGTCCCCTTTGGGCCTTAAAGGTTAAAACCAAAATAATTCAGCAACTAGTGCAGACCTTTCAAAACAGGTGGAATATAGTCCTGAGAACTTGCGCTGCTTAGCTGCCTGCTATATTTTGCACCAGTTGACACTTCTGAACACTCTTCACAGAGAATATGTTGCAATAGCTTTTCAACTTGTCAACAGAGACAAGCCTGATTTCCAGGTTCCCACATCACACCCATGGTTGGAAAGTTTGTAGTTTGTTGATCTACTCCCAGTTGCAGTGGAAATGTTCAGCTGGTGTTATTGTGACTTGAGTACAAGGCTTGTGTGCATAGATCCATGTTCATTTACAGTGGTTATTTTAATTGCTCTTCACTTCCATAGCATTTTCAATTTGCAGATTGCTTGGTGAGACTGCAGCAAATGTCATGAAGAGATATGAAATGAGATGGGTTTTCCAAAGAATTTTTAATTGTAAAGAAATCTGGAAACATTGCTGCTGCCCTAAACTAATTGAGAACTGATTTAAAAGGTTTATTTGATAAACAGAACTTTAAATGTATGTCATTATTGATGTTAATATGATGTATAAATATCTCATTTTTCCCAGTAGTCAGATCAGCTGAACTGAAGTATGTAAGGGCAGGAGGAATATCAATTGTATGCTTCTGATGCTTGTAGATCGATCACCCTGAGGGCTATAAATCAAAAAGCATTATTCAGTCAGTCCATCTTCCCAGTCTTAACAGATTTTCTGTCTTTTTTGGTTGCACGTTTTGTTGTGTGCTATCTTGGGAGGCTTTACTCTAAGAAGTGGTTTAGAAACCATTAAAATAAATTAGTGGAATACAGTGGAAAAACAGGAAAGAGTGGAAATGGAAGGTGACACCTGGACTTCCATGCCTCCATAAAATAGGTGTTTGGACCTGCCCCCCTCAAGAAAAATATTCCACAGATTAGTCTGTTGTACAATAAATGAGTTGTCTCAAAGCACCTCTACTGTGGCTTAAATATGATATTTTTTAAAAGCTGTCATGCTAACACTACTCCATAGCATACTTTTTCCTATCATTATTTACATGTTAAGGGATAAACTAAAATCTTTGAAAATGGTCCTAGGTGAACTTTAGCAGGTGCCAAGGAAAATTTCTGAGGGTGCCATTGCACCGATAGACACCCAACAAGTTCTTTGTTCTCCTCCTGCATACCGCTGGGTGTAAGCTAGCAAAGGAATTTTTTAAAGGTAATTTAAGTGTTCCCTCTCTAGTGTGTATGCTGCAGGCCTTAAGTCTCTAGACTTAAGATTCAAATCCCTGCTTGGCTGTGAAGCTCCTAGGGAGAACTTAGGGGCTGTCACTGTCTGTTAGCACAACCAATTCTCACATCGTTGTGAGAATTAAATGGAATAACCTCCATATATGCTGCCCTCTGTGCCTGTAGTGGGGCACTTTGGAGGCTCCAGGGAGGCAGTTTTAACCCATTCTGGACTGTGCCCCCCACAGGGAAAATGGATAATTATTCTTCAGAGACAGGTGGAGTCATTTATTGAATTTCTGCCCCCGGTTTCCTTTACAGACAAGGTGAGCAATATATGCTCTGCAGTTTCCCGCTGTTGCTCCACCACTGAATTTGGCAGCAGCAAAAAAGCCCAGTGGTGGTAGTGGCTGTTTTTTAACTGCATGTGAGCAAGCCACTATGGAGCACTCAGCAATGTCTTGTCAACAAATTTCAGAGGGAAGACACTTTTTCCTGTTTGACCACTGCTGCTGTTTAGGGCACTGCAGGGAGGCACTGCAAAGACACACCAGGGGCAATCGGACTTCATATGGTCCGCAGGCTGCCTTTTGCCTGCCCCAGCTGTAAATGAAACTGGGGGTGCAAATAGGATTGATGAATAATTGCAAATACTGTTTAATGATAGCATCTGTTTCCTTAATGAAACATTCATTTTGGACAATCAGTCCCATAGGGTTTTTCCCCCCCAAGGCTGATGTGCAACTTTCAAACTAACACATTGTTACCCTCAGCCCTTCAAATGTGTGTTCATTAAATGAATATGCCTTCAGTCCCTAAAAGGCATGGCAGAAGTAGCCACCTCAGCTCTGCTTATTGCCAGCACAAGGCATTTTGATGCCAGGAGCCGAGCCCAAATGGTACCCGTTTTTTGGTACCAACATGTTGAAAAAAACATTAATGCACCATTCAAACATCATTTTTTGCTTTCATCTATCTTGTTTCACCTTCATCCCATTTTCTTTGTAGCTGCTTTACCTTGCTATGTGACAGAATAAGTTCTGGTTCTACTTTTAATATCAAGTTCTCCCTCTTTTGACTCATCAGAAACTGCGTGATACAGAGAGTGACAAGCTGCAGGTGCAAATCCAAGCCTACCTGGACAACATCTTTGATGTGGGTGCCCTGCTAGAGGACACTGAAACCAAAAATGCCGTTCTGGAGCATGTGGAGGAGTTGCAGGAGGAAGTTGGACAGGTGCGGGGGCTGACTAACAATTCCTTTAGGGGTGGATACAATAACGGGAGACACTGACTTAGGATGGTGGCTTGATGAGTGAGGAAGACCCTTCCCTGTTACTTGGTCACAAGGAGGAGAACAGATTCCAGATGATCTGTTTACTGTTTCTGAAAAATGGGACTGTATGGATTTGCCCCCAAGTTATCAGGTTGTTGTCCTCTCTCTTTTCCCCTTCTGTGTCTAGCCCTCTTGCAATTAACTTTCAAGACAATGCTTCTCTTCACAGCTCACAGAGAAACTTCAGAATACAGAAAATGAATCCATGGCCAAGGTTGCTGAGCTAGAGAAACAGTTGTGCCAGTCACGCCGTGAGCTGGACGCCCTGAGGGCAAGGACAACAGGTGATGAGCAGGTATGACAGCAGGCAGGCACTGACTGTGGGGGCTTTTGGTTGGAACTGATCCCAAAGGGAATTGAAAGAACCCTGTTTTATCAGACTGAGTCATGGCTTATGCAATATCCTCTTTTCAGCTGTGGCAAGAGCAATGGCTCCAGGATGTGCACAGGAAACCCACAACTCTCCAGTCCTACCATCATTATTGGTGTTCCTTGTCCATTGCCTGAGATGGCAGTTTCACTTCACAGTAATGATGGCACGACTGGAAACATTCAGATCTGGTATGTGGAGCAAAACACAATGGAAAGTTGTCTTCTTGTTCCATTGAAATGCACAGGATCTGTGTGCGAGAACAGAAGCATAATGGTGCGATCATGAAGGAATCTGATCCTCATACTACCTTACTTGCCGAAACTGGCATGAATGATTTGGTTGTTATTAAGCAGTGCAGAGAATGTTTGTCTGAATTCTAAAAATCCCAGAGTTGGTTTTTTAAAATAGAAAGGTTAGATTTCTGATCTGACCACCTATGATGGCAGCACTTGCATAAAGCTCAGAACCCAGATCTGCCCAAATTCATGCGTTTTGCATCCAGACGTTATGGTCTTCTAATCTCTTTTTCAGAACAAACAGGAACAAGTGAGTCAGAGGACCCCAGCTTTGCTACAAATGCAGCAGACTCAAGCGACAGGACAATCCCCAGAGTATTCTGCCCTGGAGCGCAAACTGGAGGAGCTAGAAGACAAGGGACTAATCCGGATCCTGCGTGGACTTGATGGCAAAGCCATCATGGAGATTGAGGTCATCCCTGTCATTGTGGAAACTGTGGCTCCATCCTCGGTTCCCACTGAAGCATCGTCATCCACCAGCACAGGTATTGTCCCACAGAACAAACAAGGGAGATCATTAGTTTAGCCATTTTGTGGGAGGAAACAGGGAATCTGGGGAGACCTGTCCTAGTTTCATCAAACAGCAGGTGTGTGCGTGGGGGTGGGGGAGAGGATATCATGTTTTTGAATGCTCTCATGTCTGAAAATAGCTCTGTGTTCTTCACTTTCGAGGCACAGGCCAGGATGGAACTTTTTTCTTTCAGTATGTTTGAACATACCAGGAGTGTGAAATGGCACACCTCATCCACAGCTCTTGAATCTAGCATTTGCATTTGCTGAGGAATCCCCACCTACCATGCAGGAATGTATTTCTTTACAGAAAACAGAGCTACTCATTGTAACAGTCTCAAATGTTCTTTTAATGCACTTCTGTTGATTCCCCTTTGTTTTTTATGCCCAGAATGGATGAGATGAGGAAGCCATCTGTGCATTTGCTTTCTTCTTTCCTTGCAATCACACAAATACTTTATGAGATACTATTTTTTTATACCAAAAGAGTTTTTGCTTCTTTTCTTTCCAGATTTACCTTCACCATCCACATCTCCTGTTCCTTCTGCTCCAGAAATTCCACCACCCCCACCTCTGCCCGTCATCGGAGACAGTGGCTCCACTGTTCTTCCAGTCTCACAAGAGGAAAGCTCACCACCTCCCCCTCCTCCTCCTCCCCCTCCTCCTCCAGCGCCACCCCTTCCTGTATCCAGTTCCCCACCACCTGCCCCACCACTTCCTGCGGCAGAAAATGTGCCCCCTCCGCCACCCCTCCAGGTGCTAGATGGCCCAATTCCTCCACCCCCTCCCCCTCCACCAATGGGTGATGGAGCAAATCTGCCAGGAATCAGAGTTAGTCCAGGTGAGCAGAAATTAAGGAGAGCCTTTCTGAAGATGGCATTTGCTGTGCCCAAATTTTGTATAAGCAATGTATGAATGTGTACATTTACTGATTAAATCATGAGTTTTAATGAGTTAATTAATCCAAGTATTCAATGAATGAACCAATAGTAGTTCATTTCTGTGGTGCTCCACAGCTGAAGCACTCTGAGCAATTCACAACACTCCATGCAATAAAAATCAGAAAATCAGAAAGAAAAACATTAAAATTTTGAAACAGCTGAAAGGGACAACAGCAAAGAATGACTCTTCAAAATGGCTGGGATGGGTGTTTTAAAATGTACCTTCCTAATTTGGGCTGGGGCCTGTGTGGTCAAGCTCTCACAGTCCTTCTTATGCCTGGGCAGCTGTCAAGATCAAGAAGCCAATCCAGACCAAATTCCGTATGCCTGTCTTCAACTGGGTGGCTTTGAAGCCTAACCAGATCAGTGGGACCGTGTTCAACGATCTTAATGACGAAAAGGTCCTTCAGGTAAGTCCATGACCAGATCTGTCCTCCCCATTTTCTTCTCATTTGCTGGTTGGCAGGAGGAGGTGTCCGCGGGGTGGGTGATCCACTATCACAGTCCAGGAAGAGACGGATTGCCTGATTAGTGACCTGAGCGCTCTCCAGCACCAGCTCCGCTTCCTTCATCCAGGATAGCCATTGCTCTCGGAGCAATTCCGTTCCATATTTCAGAAGCAAAAATAATTCCCAAGTCACTCCTTTTTCCATTCTGTTTGTGACTTAGTTCATTTTCTGATGACTCCTGCTCGTCCTCTCTCAGTGAAACGCCTTCAGTTATACACATGGGACTGACTTCAAACTGCTGCCCTGTGCAGACTTCCTCCACCCAGCGCTTGCTCCTAGCATTCCTCTTGCCACTCAGCCCAGAGCACCAGACCAAGTCTTGCAAGAGGAACCATATGGCAGCAGTGATGGTACCTTGGTACAGTGGTCACAAACCACCACTAAATGCCCTATCAATGAGTCATTGCTTTGGCATCTATCTGGCAGGTCTATGGCTCTTAGGCTGCATCTAATTTAAGCAGAAACTTTTGCTTCATGTCCAATAGTTGCCTAGTTAATAAGAACACTTTTATGCACTTATAAAATAATTTAGCTGCTTCATGAAAATTAACAAATAAGAATAACCCTTTTCATTCTTAAAATGGATTACAAAATTGAAAGCATAAACACTTCTTGCATCGCAGTCAGTTAAACTTACAACATTTTTGATATATGAACAGGTGGTATATCAACACCAACTTCAAATAGATATTTGGATATTTGGTCTGCTTTTGTTGAAGCCTGTGAATAGTTGCTAGAAAGTGGAATGGATTTTATACAAATCTCTCTCTCTCTCAATCTCTCCCCCACCCCTCTGTGTGTGTGTGTGTTTTAAGGAAATGTTTAAAATTAAAATTTCAGGAGTCCTTATTTCCTTGTTTTATTTCTTGATGCAGGAGCTTGATATGAATGACTTTGAGGAAAGATTCAAAACCAGAGCTCAAGGCCCTAGCCTGGAGATAAGTTCCTTGAAGGCAAAGTCCTCTCAGAAGGCCCCCAGTAAGGTGACACTGATTGAATCCAACCGGGCGAAGAACCTAGCTATTACACTCCGTAAGGGACAGCTCTCCATCGCTGGCATTTGTAAAGCCATTCAGACGTAAGTGGCGTATACTCAGGAACCATTTTCTCACTGATTTCCTTTCCCAATAAGGTGGGTAGAGGAGATGACACTTTCTGCAGATGTGCACGCATAAGAAATGAAGCCTTGAAAAGAGTGTTCACCTGACCATCAAGTCTGTTGCTAGGCACTTAAAAGATTTAGGGACCAAGCCCACAAAAGTTAAACCCACATAAAATTTTCACATGTCAATTTATCATTATATAGGCAGATGTAGAAATAATTACTAGGATGATTTATTTATTTAAATTTCACAGGAGGGCAAGCCAGCCAATTATGTCTTAAACAAAATATGTTGTTCAGTTCATTTGTTCCCTGCCCCAAATCATCTAAACCAATGGAAAAAGTTTCTTCTACACTTAATGTCCTTGGAAGAGATCATTTGCAAGGGGAGGCATTTTGAACACATTGAAAGGGGAGAGTTAACCATTTCTTCCCCATCTGCAACCCCCCTGAAACCTTTCTATGTAGAACAATTAGACGATAAGGACCTCCACACACACACCCAGTTCTCACCAGTGTACACTCGAGTCTCCAGAGAATAAATCTGGGCTTAGGATCCCATGAGTAACACCTCAGCCTGACCTTAACTGAGTGGTTTTATACCTGGCTCCCAGCCTGTTAGACATGCAGGCTGAGGAATACCCAAAACTAGAAGAGAAAGGGAATTCTGATCTTACAGATGATACCCATTCTTGAGGTGAATCCTTCAATTTGTTTAGGATGGGTGCCACATTCTATAGCACTTCAGCCAATTTGCCCCCCCCCCCCTAAATATACATCATTTCTCCCTGGTTTAAGGGCTATTTAATAGTGCCACCTTTTATGAGTCAGACCATCAGTCTGTCTAATCCTCAAGCCAACTTGGCTTCCTGAGATAGCAGGCAGGTATCCTTTGTAGCTCTGTTTTCTGAGATGCTTTTCACTGAATATGCCACTGAATTATGGTTCTCCTCAAATTTTATTGACAGAAAGGCTAGATTTAAATTTAGCCACAAATGGCTGCACTCATATGTCATCTTTGCTTGAATCTCAGGTGATGTTTCTTGTTCTTTTCATAAAGTGATTAACTCGTGCTCAAAAAGACTTTGGAGCATTGTTTTTAACACTTTTGAGAAGCTGAAAAGTGCATTTAGTTTCCTCTTTGTGGAACATGGAACAAGGATCTGGGTTGACTTAGTTACAGGAGTTTACTGTTTACAGAAGAGTCTGTGTACTCTTCTTCCACCCAACTTGATTAGGCCTGGTCTGCCTTGTTTCCATTCAGATATGACCAACAATCTCTTAGTCTTGATTTTCTGGAGTTGTTGATGCGCTTCATCCCTACGGAATATGAACTGGTGTTGATCCATAAGTATGAGAAGGAGCAGCGTCCACTGGATGAGCTTTCGGACGAGGACCAGTTCATGATTAAATTCAGCAGAATTCCTCGGCTGACAGAACGCATGAACATCATGATCTTCCTTGGCAATTTTGGAGACACAGTGCAGCTCCTCCTCCCGGTAAGGGGCTGAAGCAGGCAACCATATGGTGTCTTGGGCAAGGTGATGCCGGGGGTAGGGCTGTAACAGGTAGGTAAAATGGGCATAACACATTGACTCCTAAATGTTGGGGTTGTTTTTGGATGAAAGATGCTAGATGTAAAGATAGTTGCTCTCTTGCTTGATGACTTAGCAAGAACAGAGGGCTGAGTGCAGCTTCGCATAAGCTGCAGACACAGCAAAGCAGATTCGGTCGTTCCATACTGCTGGGGCAGGGATGTGAAAAGCACATGTGAAATAAGATAGGAGCAACAGCTTTTAAAATGCAACAGTTTTGGAATAGGACCAATGTCTTTGAGTAGAACGTGTTTAAAATCTTCATCAGTCAAGTCACTCCTGATGACCAGTTGTGGAAAATGTCTATGTGTTACATTTAGAGCCTGTCCTGGATATTGAAATTACTGCCAAGGAGCTGACCTCTGGCCAACCTGTGCTAGTGGGTGAGGCATCTTTAGGCCTTGCCTAAAGTTACCTCCATGTGGGTAACTATCTATAGTACCACAGGGCATCAGTGAAAAGTTCCAGTGTGTGTTTAAAGCAGAGCAGGGAAAATGCTGCCTTTGCAAACACCCATGTTCAGATCCCTGTAAGATCATGCATATTGCCCCCAGCAGCAATGCCTAGGTATTTGAAGTAATTTTCCTTCCCTGGTTGTGTACAAAATATGAAATATAATATTGATTATTCAAAAGGGAGAAGTTTCAAGGGATGCATATAAAGGGAAAGTGGGAATTAAACTTAAAACATTTCAAGATGCACCACTGTATCCCCCCACACTATCCCAGAATCTAATATGTACACAGTTCAAAAGTTAGAATCTTACTTCAAGATTTGTAGTAAAAGATCCAAATCCCATAAGTGCGATGGTTAGAATGAACGTTGAACCTTGCAGCAAAAGCTGTTGGACAAAGCAGGAGATCTGATGATGTTGTTACTGTGCCTCTTTCCCACCTTTAGCAGCTGAATGCTGTCATCGCTGCTTCGATGTCACTCAAGGCTTCTACCAAACTGCGCCAGATTCTGGAGGTGAGTATCCTTCCTTCCATGAAGGGTCTCCACAGACACAGGGCAGTGCAAGGACAGCTTCTTGGCAGGAAGCCCACCCATTAAAGCATTAAATCAGTAGTAGCTCAAAGTGCTGGTAGCTTCTTTTCGTGTATCTTTTCTTTTTTACCTCTGGATAGCTAACTTTGCTCTTAGACCAGAAAAGATTGATGTTTAGTACATGGAAGAGTAAGGAATACCTGCTTTTACATGAGTCACTGATACGGGAGAAGGCCCCCAAATTGTCAGCTTCTGGTGAAAACAGTCTTTTAGAGAGAAAATACATTATTTTATTTGTTTGTTTGTTTAAAGCTTTTCTATACTGTCCTCTTACCAAGAGTCTTAGGACAGTCTTACAATAAAAGAAAGTAGAGCACAGCATCATCTTCTATAAATCCCAATTAAAATGAAAATTTAAACCTTAAAATGTTGGGAAAATAAAAAAGTTTTGGCCTGGCACTGAAAAGAATGAATTGTTGGTGCCAGGCAAACCTCTCTGGGGAGTGTATTCTATAACAGGGGAGTCACCACAGAGAAGGCCCTTCTCTGGGTAGCCACTCTTAAGGGGCAGGCAGGCACATTAAAGCCAAATGTCCTAAAAATTTGGCATTTTATAGGAGAGTCATATAAGATAGGAGAAATGAATTTCATAACTAGTTCTTATCTTCTTCCTTAGGGCCACGCAAGGATTGGGTTCATACATTTAAGCTAGTGCTCCCAAAATTTTTCAGCTGCTACCCACTTTTCTCTTGAGCAACAACCTTAGCACCCCACACCTCTTTCTTTGTATTAGACCTATTGCTCTACTGCAAATTTAAAATAATCACCCCCCTGAATCTTTCCATAACTCCCAGGGGAGTAATACTGCCCACTTTGGGAAGCACTGATTTAAGCAAATAGTTACAACCATTTATGCCTGCTTGCCTCCCCATAGATTGTCCTGGCATTTGGAAATTACCTGAACAGCAGCAAACGGGGAGCAGCCTATGGGTTCCGGTTGCAGAGTCTTGATGCGGTAGGCATATACGTGTGTGTGTGCGTGCATTTGGGGTATGGAACATGGGAGGTTTGGTGCTAGGGCTGACCTTACCACTTGTCTGCTGATTTTGGTTGTCATGTGAAGAACAGCACATTGTTCATTATTTCTTTTATTGGGTTTATATCTTTATTCCTGGAGAAAGGTGCATTGAGGATTTTCCATTTCAAAAGCCAATATATCTTGGCCAGGAAACACCACAGCCTGGGGAGCAGGGGAATCTTTGCTGCTCCATCTTGGGCAGAAAAATGTCTTCAGTTGGCCATGCTTGATAGTCTTTTATGACAACATTGCAGGGCCGACATACGAACAAAAAATTGTGCCTAGTAATGGCTGTGTGTTATTTGCTGGACCATTATTTAATCGAAACAGCCACTAAGCCTGACGCTGTCTGCAGTGGAATACCATTCCCCACAAAGATCAGCCACAGCTCCACAGTGGGTGAAGATGTCACTCAGTTCCTGTCCTTCTGAGCTTAACAGGGTTATTCCTTGAGAAAGGTCTAGGAGGGTTTACACAACCTTTCCCAAGCTGCTGTGGTCAAAGTCTTTCTTCACCTTTTTCCAGCCTAAGATCCCCAAATGTTTTCGGACCACAATTTCCATCTTTTCCAGCCAGCATGGGATGATGGGAGTTGATCTGGGGACTCAGGTGTCGTGAGTCATGGTCCTTCTCCCAAGTAAACATGCTACTTGGGAGTTCTTTTTCACAATGCTTTATTGTTACACATCCTTATTGTCCAATATCTCTGAGTTCACCCAGAGTGAAGTGTAGCACTCTCTCTGAACACCCCTAAACTTCATTCTGTTTAAGAGGCTTTCTCTGATGCCTGCCCAGAGGCAGGCAGGGCATTGAGATTCCTTGCTTGCCTTTGTTGTTCTGACAACTGCATCTCCCTCCTGTGTTGCCTCCTAGCAACTGGCAACACCTCCTCAGGGGGAGGGGCCTCTGCATCTGACAGACTACTCAGCTGTTGGTGCACACCCTGGGCAGACCCTGAACCCACCTCCTGTTTTCATCTTGTCGTCTTTTAATCACAGCTATGCCCCTTGCTAGGTTATCTCCCCATTCCCATGGGACAGTGGCTTGTCACCCCCATCCTCCTGGGGCAACTCTGCTTGTTCTGCAGACATTCCTTGACCTTGATCTGATACTGTTGTTTGCTGACATTCCAAAACTGCTTTGTCTTCACTGTCTGAATTCCCATTCCCATCAAATCTATAAATAGGCTGCAGCCCTTCTGACTGCTCTTCCCTGTACTTGTGCACAACATCAGAGTTGGGATATAGCTGAACCAGCGGAAGCTTCTGGAGTGTAACCTTTCCCTCATGATCTTCTGTTGATGCTTTCATGATAATAAGAAAGACTGTCCTCCTGGTTTCTCATGGGCTGAACCTATTGATCAGTGACATTAAAAAGGCCAGTGCCATTGGTTATGGGTTTATAGAATCATAGAATAGTAGAATTGGAGTCTTCCAGTGTGTGTGATAGAAGACCCAAACTAGGGGACCTTCTGGAAAACAGATAAGGGCAAATGTGAGGGAAATATACCAGCAAGCGAAAGAGTAGGGTCATGTGACAGTTTGGGACCTTGAATTTTTCCCAGTTTGATGGCTGTTTTTCTTTGTAGCTCCTGGACATGAAATCAACAGACCGGAAGCAGACGCTACTTCATTACATAGTGCGGGTGATACAGGAGAAATATCCTGAACTCACAAACTTCTCCAGTGAACTACACTTCCTGGACAAAGCAGGGACAGGTGTGGAACCAGTGGTTTGTGGGCAGGAAAAACAGTGAACTACCCTCATGGTGAAGGATGGATGGGAAACCACTCCCTCTTCACGGCCATAGGAATTACAGGGGGGTGGAAATAGGAAATTGAGCCTACCCTGCACAAGTCATTCTAAACTTCTCTAAGGAGATGGATTAAGTGGAGCTATGCCAGCCCAGCTGGGCTTCCTTCTCCTCACTATCCTCTTTCTCTTGCCCTTGCAGTATCACTAGACAGTGTGCTCCAAGATGTTCGAGGCTTACAGAAAGGCATGGAGCTAACACGCAAGGAATTCATGCGTCAAGATGACAGTGCTGTGCTCAAGGATTTCCTCAAGGTGAACACAGAGGTGATGGAAAAACTCCAGGCAGACAGCAAAACTGCCCAGGTGAGGAAAATGGGGGCTTGTCCCAAAGGGGTTGCTGTGGTAACTGGGAAACAGGGTGGGAGGCTTTGACTTGCCAACGTCTCTTGGGAATCATTCTGTTTTCCAGTTAGCATTCTAAGGGCAAGATGCTCATTTTGCTGAACAGTCCATTAATGAATTCTTATACTGTAATAATGTTTCCAAATTGCTATGGCTATGATTTCATGCAAACTCCTAATAGATATATAATTTCTGGGATACCTCTTTCTATATGCACACATATACATGCATGCACATACACATGTATCCACATGTGTGTGTGCATACCCACTTATAAAATAACTTGTGATTTAAATCCCTCAGAGCCACCAGCTGCTTGTCGCTTTCTTTTTAAAAGGGTAGAGGAACGATGGAACTGAGCATTAATGTGTCTTGTGGCTGGACTGTACTAAGTTTGCATGCATTCAGGTTATAATTGAACTGCCAGGGTCTGTGTTTTAGATATCCCATTTTAATTTGACTCCACGTTTTATCAGTGATACTGTTTCTAGCAGACTGAGAGCCATCATTTTGCCTCAGCTGGAGGGCCCCCAAACATTTTGAAGCCTCACCTTAATAAATGTAGTTTTAGGGGCCTCACTGCATGAGGCCTATAACCTGGTGTTTTGAAGAAGCTTCTTCCATTTTCTTTGCAGGAAGATTACAATGTCCTTTACATAAGGGCTTTTTTTCCAGTGGGATTTCTTTGCTGCTTTTCTATATGTTCCACTACACAACGCAAGGTGATGCTCTGGTGTATAAAGGAATTGTGAAAATACACAAGACTTCTATAGTGGAAAATGTTACCATCTAAGAAAATGCCAGATTTCCTTGCTCTAAAAAAGGTGGGGGAAATGGCCAGAAAACGCAGGAAATTGTACTTCTATGGCTTTTATTTTGTGCTCCTGTAAAACTGATCACGTGCAGTTTCAGCAAAGGTTTTTCGGGATGAATTCCTTCCCCAAGGCAATGGATTTAGAGGGGTACTGATCCTGTGTGCCAGCTACTGGCAGTTTAGATGCCGCCACCTCAGTGTGTTGCATATAGTGGGTGCATACTTCAGAGAACCTCAGCAGCCTCTCTTGCTGCAGCAAATCCTGCAGCTGCTGCCAGCACTTTCCATAAAGCATAAGTGGCTGGCTGCTGTGCTGAGTTGTGCTGACTGCAGCAAGAGAGCATCCAGTACAGCTCTCCACACAGCCTAATCAGCTGGATGTCTTGCCCTGAGGCGTCCTTCCCCAAAGTGAAGTATTGACAGGGAGCTGACACTGTGCTGCCATCTCCAGGGATCTCCACCTCCCTGCTATTGCCCCTCTCTGGAAAGGGTCACCTTAGGGAGAGGTTCTGAGTGGAAGGTGGAAGTGGCATGCTGTGAGTCCTGCCTCAGGCCGTGGGAGTCTCATATGTGTATTCAGAAATAAATCCCATGGAATTCAGCAGAATTCCTTCCCAGATAAATGCACAGAATTCCCCTTTCCTCTTAAGATAAGCTATTGCAGCAATAGCAGCTCCCCATCTCCAGTCTTCTTTTCTTTCAATGCTAGCAGCTGGTTTAAGGCAGTTACAGAGGCGCCTTCCCACTAAGATAAATATCCTGGTGATGTTATTACCAGCCCAGCATTCCTCATCTGCATTAACTGGCTGCTTGCTTGTCTTTGAACTTGTGCAGCTCTCCTAGTGCATTTTTAGGGTTTTATATCAGAATTCTGGGGCTGAAGCTATTTATTGGGTTATTTCTTTTTAATTCTTTGTACATTAATTATGTATTTTCCTTTTCAGCAGCAAAATGATTTTCATTCCCAAATATTAAGGCATTTTAATGTTTAGCATTAAGGCAGCAGAAATAAACTCTGGTTTATTCCTGTTGTTGAAATGGTGTTACAGTGTAAGTGAATTTAAAATGCCAAATGTGCTTAAAGTATTTAAGCATGTGCTTGAAGTATTTAAAGGATTCTTTTAAAAAGTTAGTGTTACCAAACTGCAGAAGTGGTTTTGGCTTTGGGATTTTTGTTGCTCTAACATAATCTAGGGTGGCTATAAGTCAAAGATGACTTGTCAGCACATAACAAGAGCCATATAATCAAGGATATGAAGCAGAAGGAGGGGATGTGCCTCACTGGCAGAACCCCTGCAGGACATGCAGAAGGTCTCCATTTCCACCTTTGCATCTCCAGGTAGGGTGAGGAAAGGATCCTGCCAGAAGCCCTGCAGAGCTGCTGGAGTTAGTTGACAATACTGGGCGAGCTGGACCAAGGATCTGACCCAGTAGCTGGTTTGCCTAATCACCCTGCCTTGTTGGTGGTTACCCACTAGAAATAACTCATAAACCCAGGTGTCAGGGTTCAGATAACCCCTGGGCTGTTGTTGGGTTATTTGAGGGTTGCCGCCCACCCCCAGAAGCCCTGCCTTCTCACGCAAGCTGCCACAGTCCAGCTGGCACATGTGGCTGCTGCAACAAGCTATGGCAGCTTGATTCAGCTGCTATGACCACACGAACTGAGCCATGATAAGGCACATTCCATGAATGGTGGCTAAGGATGGGAAGAAGAGAAGTGTTGCCTCTTTACACTTGAAGAAATAGCCATGGCATCATAATTCCATTTCATTTCATTTCTATACTGCCTATAGCCAAAGCAGTCTGTGCAGTTCGCAACATTTAAGTCACCCATCCAGATTTCAACTGCCCTGACTCTGCTTAGCTTCAAGGATTAGGCAGAATCAGGCCATCAAGCTATACAGAAGCTACATGAAGAACGCATCTCCCGTAGGACCATTAAATCTAGGATCCAAAATGGCCAGCTGCACTGCTAGCTTTCAGCATTTTCCCCACTCCTTACCTGTGTGTACATTGGACCTACTCAGGAGAATCCTTCAGGCTTCATAAGTTGTTAAAGCTTATGCCATCCTCCTCCAACCTGGTGTTTTAGACAGTTCCCAGCATTCTTGATCATTGGCTATTATGGTGGCTAGAGCTAATGAGAGTTGTAGTCCAAAACTTCTGGAAAGCACCAGACTGGGGAAAGCTGCCTTACAGCATAATGAATATATTCATAATAATTAATAATGCACAGTAGTAGTTGTTGTTTTTGTTGTTGTTATTACAATGGCGATGACAACAACAACAACGACTCTGCAAAGTCTGTATTGTTTTTGCTGATAAAAAGAAATAGGTACTCCAATCCCCATCAGTCCTACAGCATATGCACACCATGAAAAAGAGGATGAAGGGTTTTAGTGTTGGTATTGCTGCTATGCCGATGGATGTGACATGTGGAGTTTTTGCTTGCCCCATAGGAAGCCTACGAGTCAACAGTGGAGTACTTTGGGGAAAATGCCAAAACCACCCCTCCAACCATGTTCTTCCCCACGTTTATGCGCTTTATCAAGGCATACAAGGTAAGAGACCTCCTGCTGGCCAAGCAACTGGTGAGCTGAGAAAGAAGCCTTAGTATTCAGAGCTCAACTGAGGCATGGTCTTGCAAAGCGGGTATTTTTTTCTCACAGTACTCCATGTTTATTTAGAGTCCAATGGGCTCCCTGGGCAGTTTACAAAAGTTACAGTTTTAAAAAATTAAAGAAACAAAAATTAAGAACAACAGAACCATAATAGCAATCTCAGTTGAATCAGCATAGAAGCATGGCAACAGTACAGAACAAAATACAATATAAAAAAAATTCTAAAAGTTAAACTGTTAAAATGCTGGAGAAATAAAAAGGTTTTCACCTAGTGTCCAAAGGAATACAAAGTGTCAGGCAAACCTCTTTAAAAAGCCTATTCCACAACTGGGGTGCCACAACCAAAAAGGTAGTCTTGGTAAAAGATTACCCACCTCTCTTCCTTTGGAAGGGGTTCCCAGAGAAGGATCCCCAAAGAGTTCAGGGTACAGGTGGGTACATCTGGGAGGAGGTCATCCTTCAGATAACCTGACCCCAAGCCATTTGACGCAGGCCTGGTCTTGTCATAGTGTGATCTTGCAAGCCGGTTCCCATAAACAATCTTGCTCCTCTGTTTTGGATCAATTGAATTTTCCAGACCATTTTCAAAGGCAGCCCATGTACAGCACATTCAGTAATCCAAACAAGAGGTTAGCAGAGCATGGATAACTGTAGTTAGGTTTTCTCTGTCCAGGTAGGATCATAGTTGGTATAGCAGCTTAAACTGAGAAATGATGTTTCATGCCACAGAGTCCACCTTGGCCTCAGGTGACAACTCTGGGTCCAGGAGCACCTCCAAACTATGAACTTTCCCCTTTAGGGGAGTGCAACCCTGCCCAGAACAGGCTAAATATCACCCAACCAGGCAGATGAACCACTTGCTAACAGCACCTCTGTCTTGTCTGGATTGAGTCTCAGTTTGTTGGCCCTTATCCAGTCTGTTACCATGCCCATACACTGATTCAGAGCAGCCACTGCCTCATCTGAGTTTGATGAAAAAGAGAAGTAGAGCTGAGTGTCATCTGTATATTGGTGACATCTCAGCGCATAGGAGGTTTCATGTAGCTGTTAAACAGTATAGGAGAGAAAACAGAACCCTGTGGTACTTCCTGGAATAATTTCCATGGCACTGAGCAATAATCCCCCAACACCACCTTCTGGAATATGCCAGCTGAGTAGAAGCAGAACCACCACAATGCAATGTTTCCTGTTGCCAGCCCTGCCAGCCTATGCAGAAGGATACCATGGTTGATGGTATCAAAAGCTGCTCAGAGGTCCAGGAAATTCAACAGGTTTACACTCCACTTGTCCTTCTCCTACCAAAGGTGGTAGTCAAGGCAGTCTCTGTTCCAAAACCAGACCAGAAGCCTGACTTGAAATGAATCTAGATAATCCATTTCCTTCAAGAGTGCCTGGAGCTGTTCAGTCACCACCTGCTCAAGCACCTTGCCCAGGAAGGAAATCTTGGCCACTGGCCTATAGTTATTAACTTCCTCTCAGTCCAGGTTTGTTTTTTTCAGGTGTGGCTTAATTACAGCCTCTTCTAGAGAGGCTGGCACCATCCTCTCTCTGTCAAGGAGATGTTCACAGCCTCCTGGACCCAGGTAGCAATCCCTGCCTTAGTTGCTGTAATGAGCCATGAGGGGCAAGGGTTCCGCACACAAGTGGTGGACCAGACTTGACCAGGCACCTTGTCAATATCCTCAGGCCTCGATAACTGAAGCTCATCCAATAAAACTGGACCAGACAGTGCTCTGGAAGCCTCTGCTAGTAACTGCATTAATTATGGAGACCAATTCATGATGAATCCAACTACTTTATCTTCAAAGTGCTGTGCAAATCAGTTACAGCAAACTACCAAAGGCTCTGCAACTTCTTCTTGCCCAGAATATAATAGGCCACAGACCACTAAGGAATGTTCCATTGGACAACACTGAGAAGATGCCATGCTGATGGAAAAGAGCTGCCCTTTGGCTACCCTCGGAGTAGGCTTAATAATGTCTTTGAGTTTTCCTCCATCGGTGTTCTAGCCCTCTCCCCTCTTGCTTCATTGCCCTCAGCTACGGTGTGCACTGAGGAGCTGCCCAAGGAAAGAGGGCAAAGGGGTGTCATCCACCGGAGCTGTTTTTGCATTCCACAGAGTGACCTGGGCTTCAATGGGTGCACCAGCCGTACAGGATGAAAGCTCCCCCAGAGCCTTCTGGAAACTTTCAGGATTCATTAGCTTCTTGGTGTGGACCATTTTAAATGGTCCTCCACCCTTGCAGAGGGGGAAGGGAGCTGGAAGAGATCCTACAGCTCAGTAGGAAGTGATCTGACCATTACAAGGAGATTCTTGTTTATCCCCCGACTTCCAGATCACAATCCCCCTGCCCAGTTGAGAAAACCAAATCAAAGGGGTGTCCTTTTACATGTGTTGGACCAATAACATGTTGAGATAGCCCCATCGTTGTTGTGGCAGCTGGGATAGCTCAGAATAAAGTAATGATTTCTGCATAGTAGGGAGACCCTGTAGATATGTGGACCTATTAGTAGCTTGTAAATTAAAAGAAATATATATCTTCAAAAATCCTCAAAGCTGTCAAGAAGGGCTCAGAAATGCCTCAGACTGAGAGAGTGCTGAGGGCATCAGTTGTAGTGGGGCTGAGAGGGAAGAGGAAGTGGGGAGGAGCTTGCCTTGCTTGAGCACAGCTCATATTTCTCACCCAGAACAGAAGAAGTGAGGTCACCCTCTGATTATCTATGTGCGATGGCTTTGCATGATGTATTGTCCTCTCTTTCCCTCCCATAAACAGAAAGCAGAGGAAGATATCCAGCTGTGGAGGAAGCAAGAAGCAGCAGCCAAAGAGGAGCAGTCGGAGCCTGCCAGCAAAGAGGAACCAGCCGCTCCCAAGGTATGTGTTCCTATCAGAGTTGGCCCACGCATTAGACAGAATGAGGCAAGCTGTGGAAAGGCACTGGATTGTGGCCACTCCCTCCCTTGCTCCCGCTTGCCACAGCTGCCTCTCCTTGCCTTGGGATGCTGCTGTTGGAGCCCTGCCTGCTCTGCTGGGCCACGAAGCAAAATGCCCATAAGCTCTGGAGGACTATGGGGCATTCCTGGAGCAATGAACTGCTCCCCCGTTCATTGCACCCCCAACTCCCATCTGCTTTCTGGTTTCCCCATCACTGGTGGCATCAATCGTCCATCACACCCATGCCTGAGAAAGAATTAGTTTCCCACCAGGCTGGTAGCTTCTGTGCCAACCCAGCCAACTTCCTGCCTCAGGATGAGGCAGAGGAGCAGGGAGGGGACGCCCCTCCATTGCCCCAGGAGAGAAGAGGAAACCGTATGCTCCTTCTCAGAGTCTCAGAGCAATCGGCAGCCAGCACTGGCCCGTCCGAGTCTCCTGCCCTTGGTCCCACCCTCCCCCTCCCATTGGGTATGGCTGTAGTCCTGTGTCTTTCTTTGCCTAATGCCACCGCTGCCACACACGCTGCTGTCAGACACCCTGCTATAAAAAAGCAACGAGCAGGCGGTGCTTTGCTTCTTTCTTACATCCTATATCAGTGGAGGCTTCCCCACAGGAGGCAGTAATCATTATCTACTGTACAGTGGCAATTCATCTGCGGATTGGTTTTGATCCTTTAAGTGCGCAGTCCAGTCTAAATGTCCAAACCTGCAGGATCCTGGGCATCCCATGCAGGGTGGGATGAGTGTAGATGCAAAGGACAACTCTGCACTCCTCCTGCCCTCAAAGGCACTTTTGAGTTGGTCTTGCCCAGTGTAATGTCAAGCATCACAGCACAAGCAAGGGAGGCTGAGGTGCCACCCATATATCCTATATGTCCCATATATTGTGCTGGCACAGGTCTGCTGCCCTCCCCACCCTCCAGAATACCAGTGGCCTCAGAGATAGAGCCAGAGCAGTTCTTTCCACACTGGCTGCAGAGCTAAGGAGACCCCGCTGCAAGGCCAGAACAATTGGAAATCACATAGCTGGGTCTCCAAAAAATCCCTATGGCTATCAAGATGCTGTCTAGCAGCCATAGGATTGTGCTATTTGTGCTGACTCATCAAAACTAAAATTAGTGTTTGCCAAACATTCCCCCCCCCACCCCCCAGAAACAGATCTATTAATTATAGTTTAGTCAGGCATCCTACACTTAAGAGGATGATTTTCTATTTTAAGGCATCCTTTATTTGATGGATTATTTAGTCCAAGTCTAGTTGAAAGTAAAAATAAATACAAATGATAAAGGAAGAAACAGGCCACCATCAACCTCTTTTTATTAGTGCGCCATTTTTCCAGAAAATTGTGCCCAAAGCAGCTCACAACATAGCAAATGAAAAGCAGTAAATATAATTTACCTGATATCAAACAGCTATAAATATAACAATATTCAAATGCAATAAAAACAGTTACAAATAACTGCAGTGTGGCAGTTGAATACATAGCAGAAATATGAGCACATAAAATAGCAAATAAAACAGTGTAGATAAACCAAATGAATCCAACAGCTAAATACTAAACAGGAGACGGAATAAAGCACAATACAAAAGTATTACAGTATATAAGTAAAGGACACTCCACCATGGTAGCCTTCCTTCCCTCCAGCTTTCTTTCACCTGTGCTCTCCCATCTCTCACCTTGGGTAGGGAAATAGCCAGTCCTTCAAGGGTCAGATACCCCCAGCTTTTGTGTCTTTCCACTAAGCACTCACTGGTCTTCAGGTGGCAGGTGTTACTGGACTCCCCAGGGTAAGACAAGTGGAAGTGCTCAGCTCAGATGTTAAGTCCCCCTCTATCAAACATTCTTTCCTTTGACATTACCTGTCAACAATTGGCACCTAGCCGCAAACTGTATTTCTAGGTTAAATTACAGTAATTATTTCAAGATGTGCATCTGAATCAACATATATTCATTTTATGCAAAGCAATGTCCCCTCTGCTGCCTTCTTTACTGATGCATGTCCCTTCTCTCTCTCTTTGATGCCATTCAAGTGGCTATTCTGTCCTATCTTGCTTTTAAGCTTCTGCAGAAGACTTGCATATTTGGGATATTAGGCATTTCCATTCCAAGACCCAGTGCAGTGAAAGCATAAGGCTAATCCTCAGGCTTGGCAATTGTTTTGGTGATTGTTCAGTAAGGCCCCCACCTTCTCCAGTCTCCACCAAGATTGCCTGCTAAGCACAACACAGATGAGGGTATCAGGTCTGGCAGAAAGCACAGGGGTAATTTGGCCCTACAAAGGGGTCCACTTGACAAGAGTCTCTCCAAATTTCTGTTCCTCATCACTGCAGCCTGCTTCTTCCCCGCCCTTTGCGCTGGTCCAAACAACACTGTTGGTGAGAAAGAGCAGCAGCAGATGTGGCTGTTGCCTTACTGACCATCTCTGTGCCTGTCAAGCAAGCCAGAGAAACAGGATGAGGAGAATTAACAGCTGGTGGCAGTAGCAGTGGGGAGGGGCCCACTGTGGCCTCTTGCCCAAAGGCACTGAAGAAGCTGGAGCTGACACTGTATCCGGTTTACATTGCAATCAAAAGGCCTCCCAGCTTTCAATAGGGACTGCAGCTAACTTATGGACGAGATACGGTGACTCCTGCCCCCATATGGTATTCTGGCTTGGCTGGTTGTAGGATCAGGGGTGAGAAGTGTCAAGAAACAGTGATGGCAAGTCTGCTGGGGATATAGAGTCAAAGAAAATTAAAGTTTATTCAGGTAAACAGGACATACATGCAGCATGTAGGTAGCTCCAAAAGATGCTTCAAAGATGGCTTCTGTGCAGGGTACGTTCATAATCTGCTAGTCGAGTAGGTAATTTGGAGGAGGGTCGGGGATCAGGTAGGCAGTTTGTTGGAGGCACGGGTGGAAACAAATCAAGACAAGGGATAAGACTGAAATCAAGGAACAAAGAAGAAAAAAAGACTGAAGATTTTAGGGCAGGCATACATCAGCATATGTGTACAGGATTACCTGAGGAGCAGGACTTGCAACATGGTTTCCTGACCTTGACGATTCCAAATCTGTTCTAGTGGGAGCCATATTATGGAGCTTTCACTCATTTTGTCTTGACAGGCATACCTGTAAGTCAAAGGAAAGCCACAGGATTACCACTTCCCCCTTCTGTCCCTGTCTAAATGTATCCCTATACAGAGTCAGACACAGACCTTGACTTGTGCTTATCCTACCCAGCAAGGAATGTCAAAAACTTTCTCTAGTGGCCACCATTTTCTTCAGCTCTTAAGTGTCTTTTCCTTGCTCAGCCTTATGGTTGCACGGTTAACTCTCTTTCAGCAGGCAACTGAGAAAAATAACACAAGGCAGGCACTCAACTCTTCTCCCAGCAATTTAGGCAGGGCCTGCTGGTTCTTCAGCCTTCCTTTTCCAACATTCCCATCTTCTCTCAGCTTATAGCATCTGCAGTATGTGCTCAGAGAGACTCCCAGACTCTTCCTGAGTCTAGACAAGGCTTCAGCTGTTTGGCCCAACAGAGCACAAGGCTTTACTGGCTAAACTAGGTAGACTACAGAGGCCTTCACAAGCCTCCAGACAAACTGAAGACCAGTTCATTGATATTACTAAGTCTGGGGATGGTGTAAAAGCTTGAGTGGAGCAACCACCCAAGTCCATGAATGCTTATGGACTGAAGGTTGCACAATCTTCTTGCACATCATCTGTGCATCGCTCAATTCATGGCAAGTTCTGTGCAAATGATCTTCCTCCTCCTCATGTGCAGCAGCACGCACAAAGGCTGCTGCACATGACATGGAAGAGGAATACTGCTTACGCAGTATTTGTTTTCTGCCCCTAAATATACCTGACTGTAAGCACACACCAAGGCTCAGTTGTATTCACTAGTTTTTCTCCAGCCGTACTCAAACTACCTGCTGTTTTGTTTCATTGTTCTCAGCTTAGTGATATACCAAGAGCTGTACAGGATCTACTCCAGAGAGTATGTGCAGAAGCATGTGTGTTAATTGTCCAGATCATCACTGTCTTCCAGAAATTATCCAGGGATTTGACAGGCCTGCCAGCCATATCAACTGGAAAACCCCCGAGGACTCTCTGGAAATTATCTGGAATTCATTAGTCTCTGGAGGTGGACCTCCTTAATAACTCTCCTGTGCTTGTAGAGAGGAAAAGCTGTTGGCTGTCTGAATCTCAGTCAGTGATATCTGATCATGACAAATGGACTAATTCACTTCCTAACGCCCAGAACCCATCCAGAACAGAATGTCCTGGAATGGCAGCTTCCAAGCAAGTCAAATTCATCAGTCACCTATAAATTCAACCAAATTCATCAGTTACCTATAACTGGAAGGGAGTAATGCAGAAAGCCACAGTATGTCCATAGAAATTATGCATTGGTTCCTTTTGGGGCAATAATCCATATTGCAGAATATGGCCTGAACCAATCAACAAAATCCCCCAGCCACATATAAGTACATGAGAAGGATGCAGTGAGTTGTAAAACTCACACAGAAACCATGCTGTGATACCCATTTCAAGCAATAGCACATATTCCAAAAAAATGGCTCAAAATGGTGATTTTCAAGGTGACCAAATCAATCAGATTCACCAGCCAGACATAACTGGATGGGAATTGTGTAAGAACCCACAAAACTTCCATAAAACCATGTTCCCATACTTGTTTCAGGTAATAGTCTACAATTCTAGCATTTATATTGCATTCATATCTCACCTTTTTTTGCCCTTGTCAGGAACCCGAGGCAGGTGACATAGCTCTGTTTTTAATCCTCCTGACATCATCTCTGTGAGGCAGGTTAGGCTGAGAGTGAATGACTGACCCAAAGTCACCCACGGAGCTTCATGGCTGGATGGGAACTAGAACCTGGATCTCCTAGATCTCCAGACCAACACTATAACCACTATACCACCCTGCCCATGCATGACCAATCATAAAAAAACACTACCGCTCATCTGGTGGCTCACGGATGCTGTGTTTCACATTAGCAACTCAACAGTGCATTTATAAGCTATAGAATTTGGAAGAGCCTTTGTTTTGCTCATTGTATTTAATCCAGAATGCTTCCAATGGAAGCAGTTAGTCTTTAGAGGAGAGGGAGCATGGACTGAAATAGGTTTAAAAAAGAAGCACTGAGTGTGCTAGTCACATGCAGGACAGGTATACGGCATGTACAGCCATGCTAGGACTCTCATGGGGTTCCTGAGCTGTTGACGTGATGTTCTAAATCGGAGGCGAGGAAACACTTTTAGATTGAGTGCCAGATTTCCTCAGGGGAAATCTCTCCAGAGCTGAATACCAAGGGAGAGAGTGACAGCAGTCAGCGGTAAGCATGGCCAAGGGCAAAAACAGGCAACTCCATCTCCCCCTAATCCCTCCCACCATTCTGTAGGTAAGCTTAGAGTAAAGGTCACTGTCACACGGGGAGCATGTTGAAGGGAAATCAGAGAGGAATGCTAACTCTTCCCCAGTTTGCACCTCCCAATCCCCTCCTTCACCGAAAAGGCTTAGCAATAAAGTCCCTATTTGTATGAGTAAGAGGTATTTGCCTTTTGCTTGGTAAACCAAATTACACAGAGGGAGCACAGGAGGAGAGGCTGCTGGCTGGATCTGATTGTGAGAAGCAGCTTGGATATCCAGCCCTGAGCCTACTGTGTGAGAGCAACTGCATGAGTTCCTCTGTCACTGAGGTTTGTGTGTGTTCGTTGCGATAAACAGATGAAAGTAGGATGGGAGGACTCCCACCTGCCAGTGCTCAGTAAGCCTCTGTCACAACATGACCAGCTATGGCTGTTGGGCAAGCGCCTCCCCTTCATAGTGCATGTTTAATGCAGGAACATGTGCTGGACAGTGGCTGCCAAGGTCAGTCTCAGCTGTTGCCCGTGGCTGGCATGCTAGAACTGGTGTTTTCTCAACTTTGAGCTTTTTTTTGCTCCTTGAGATTTTGGCAAACTGAAGTCAGATTGTGCACAAACAGGATGGACTGTTGCAGAAACAAGTACTCTTAAAGCAGAGGCTTTATCAAGTGAATCGGCCAATGCTGTCTCTTGGGCCAACTCTCTCTCCTTCTGTCTGTGACTTTACCATTCAATGTGGGAACCATTGCAGTCCATTTCAGAGTGGAGTGGGAGCAATGCCCTCCTCTTCCTTTTCAGTGTGGCTCATCAGAAATACTAGCTGCTAGTCAGAGTTCTCTCTATGTATTAGAATCACAGAATGGCATAGTTAGAAGGGGCCAATAAGTCCATTGGTTCCAGGCCCATGCTCAGCACAGCACTCCATGTTACAGCATCCCGAATAGATTAATAGATGGCTGTCCAGCTGCACCTGGGATGCCTCCAGAGCAGAGAGCCCACAGACTTCATGGGTAATTGGTTCCATTGTAATACTGCTCTAGCAGTCAGAAAGTTTTTCTTGCTGTTCATCCAGAATCTGACTTCCTGAAACTTGAGCCCATTACTCCATGTCCTGCTCTCTGAAGATCAAGAAAAGATCCTGGCTCTTGCCTTTGTGACAACCTTTCACATACTTGAAGAGCGCTGTCGTACCTCCCCTCAGTCTTCTCCAGGCTAAACATGCCCAGTTTTCCAGTTTTTTCTCACGAGGCTTTGTTTTCAGTCCCCTGATCATCTTTGTTGTCCTCTGTACCTTTTCCAATTTGTCTGCTCTTTCTTATACTATGGTGCCCAGAACTGGTCACAGTACTGAAGATGAGGCCTAAACAGTGCTGTGTAGACATATGCTACCTGCCTGTACTGGTTGATCCTTTGTAGCCTGGCCTTCTTTCCAGTTTCTATAGGTGTCTTTTTGTCTTCAGGTCAACTCTGAGCTTTTTGTGAAGCCATATTGCCTTCTTTCATCTTCTTGTTTTTCTTGTTTGTAATTTTTTAAAAAAAAAATCGCACCAACCTTGGATTCCTTTTTTCATTAGAGTCACTTGCCAGGGATCATACTTACCTAAGTTTATGAAAATTGGCTCTCCTAAAATCCAGGGCATATGTTCAGCTGCACTCAGCTTTTGTTTCCTTTTGCACCAAATTTTCAATACAACATGGTCACTTATCTCCAGATTTCCCATAACTGCCCCTTTATTCAGTAAGCCATCCCTGTTTGTTAGAATCAAGTCACTCTGCATTATCCTGTCAAAGGGGGCAGGACTCCTTTTACTTATATTTGTCAGAGCTTTTAAAAAGTATTTGTATTTGTTGTCCTGGCCTCTTGTGACCAGACTGGGTTAAAAAAGGCCCCAGTTAATGAAATTATGGATGGCTGTAGCTACAGCAGCCCCCATACGTGGTTCCTTGGATAGCTGCCTGAATGCTCTTGCACTGAAGACATACACCTCCGCCTTTGGAGCGATACATGTGTAACCACAGCAACCCTTTCTCTCTCTTGGCAGTCACCCACCCACAAAGCCAAGAGGCAGCAAATGGACCTCATTGCTGAACTGAAGAAGAAGCAGCTGGTGAAGGAACCCCTCATTTATGAGGAGAAAGATGGTGCCATTGAGGACATTATTACAGGTAAGGAGAGGGGAAGCTGCTCGTCTGAGCAGGTGCTGTACTGTCTGTGCGTCCCACAGAGGGCTAATGGAGTGACAGCTGATCGGAATCTTACTGCTTGTGGAAGGTGGTCCTCCATAACTCTTGATCTGCACAAGTAAGCACAGCATCATGCCCCCTCTGCAGCCTCCTGGATATATCTAGGGGTGCAGAGGAGGGGGCAATAGTAGGCATCACTGCATGGGCCAAGGGCCCTGCCAAGCATCTCCCAGTATGCACTGAATTCTTTGGATGGAACCCATACTTTTGAGAGTGAATGTTTGCTTACCGGTGTTCGAACACTAAGCCCCGTGATTGGGTTCTATGCCAAATTTCCAACATTGTGGATGGGCACTAGTATTTAAATGCCCTCTAAAACCACCAGTCACAAATAAAATAAAAAATACGAAATAAAATTTAATAGCTAAACCTGCATGTAGCTTTACTGCTACTTATTTGTTATTTTACTAACATGGCTAAGTTGGCTCACAGCCTAGCCAAAACATAAAAATCAATACATATAAAATAATATAAAAGATATTATGTGGTATGGTCCCACATACCGAATTAAGCCTGCTTTAGATATAACTGATACTCACACCTCATGCGTTTGTGCCCTTGCAAACTCACATCTTGATTTCTCAATTTATGGAAGCTCAACTCCATGGATACACAGAAATATAACAGATGTTTCTGCTGCTGCTGCTGCGAATCAGCTTGCTTTTGACTCTGTTTCAAAAAGGCACTCTTCTGACTCTATTCTTTTTAGCTTTTCTGCATTTTTTTCCTGCAAACAAGATAATCTGCTTTTACTAATCACTGTACACGTCACACTTTAAAGCTCTCTAGTGTCTTTCCCTAGCATATTAAATTGCATATTCATTCACTCACTCACTCACTCATCTAAATTGCATTCTGGGTGGTCCCATGTGTGGCCCACAGGCTGCATGTGACCAGCCTCCCAAGGCTTTGTTCTGCAGCCCTCTTGGTGCTTGTCCCCCCCTGCCCCTGTCCCCATCTCCCAGTCTGGATCCCAGTGATGGGCACGGGCATGATTGCAGTGAGCTATCATGAGGGTGCCACCCCATCCTGCTCGCTTTCTTAGGCTCAGGAAGAGAGCGGGTTGGCCTGGCAGCCCTGTAAGCACTTGCCCAGCATGCCCCGCACCATTCCAGCTGACAAGTGCAAAGGTGTTATACTTGAGTTCATTGGCTCAAGTACAAGAGGCTTGGTGCGCCAAATCCAGGAAGGAAGGAGGGACCACAGGAATCACATGGGAGGGTTTCTGGTGGGGAGAAACAAGGAAGAAAGCAATGGGCCACTCCAGAGGAGAGGTCATTGTGCTTGGCTGTGGTCAGAAAAGAAATGTAATTCATTGTGGGTTCTGAGTCGATGGCTTCATGTAACCATTGAGGTATGAAAAGTTCTTTCCATTCCATTTTCTGATTCTTTCCATTTCTATACTACCTGGTGGCTAAGTGCTGGGGTCACAACAATGAACACTATAAAATACAATAAAATAAAACATATTGTAGAACTTTTAAAAGTTTAAAGTTGCACAATAAAACCAAAGTAAAAGGCAGAATCAGTATAAAAATCCAAAAATTCAAGAACAGATGTTAAAATAACAAACACTGAAGGACTGCAGTAGCATCTGCCATAGAAAAGGCCAGTTCATATGGGCAGGTGAACCTTCCTGTGGAGGCCATTCCACAGCCAGGATGCTAGGACTGAAAATGTCCCTCTGTGGTAATCAACCAGCCCATCTGCCTCTCTGTTTATTAGCCCTTATCCAGCATGCCCACATTTGGCACGTATCCAGACTGAAGAGCTGTAAGCAGAGCTGAGTGTCATCTGCCTATTCATGACAGATCAGTTCACCACTCCAGATAACCCCTCTCAACAGTCTCATGTAGATCTTGAAGATAGGAGATAAGCTGGAGCTCCCAGTAACCCCTGAGTGGGAGCAGAACCACTGCCACTCAAGACCTTCAACTCCTGACCCAAACAGCCTATCCAGAGAGCAGGTATCAAAATGGTATGCCTACCAGATGGTACAGAAAGCTGCTGAGAGGCTAAAGAGACTTTCCCTGGCCCTTTGTTCAGCACAGGTCACCCCACAGAATGGCCAGGGCAGATCTGCAATAAACCAACTGGTCTATAGTAGTCAACATCTTCTGGATCCTGATTAGGCTTCTTCAGAAGTGGCTTAATTGCTGTCTTCTTTAATTCTTTAAGAGGCTGGTGCAGCCACTAAATCAAGTTGGAATTTAAAATCTGCTGGACCAAATTTGACATCTCCTCCCTATTATTTATCATCTATTTAAGAGACTTGCATACTGCTTACCATATTTTAAGAACACCTCCATCAAGAGCAACTGCTTCTTGTCTCAAGCATGTTGGTATTAGTGACTGGGGGGATAGTTTGTACAAACCCCAGAATTAGGGAGACCTCAACAACTGGCAATTAACCAGTAAAAGTAAACTAGCTGGTGCTCTGGCTATGTTTCCAGTGTAACAGCATTCACTGGTGTCCAGATCAGACCAGATTTGAGTGGCTTGCTCTTCAAGATGTTGTTCACCATAGCATGCTGCTGAAGGTTCAGGGTTGTCCTCCTGTATAGAAGCATGATTCCTCTCCAGGCAGTGAAGTGTAAGAAGCAGCAAGTTGTATGCTCCCCTCCCACCACCTCCCACCCTTGCAGATACTGCCAAGTGAGTGGCTACATCAGAGTTCCCTGATGCATTTCCAGGGACACTTTTCCTCAGTGCCTACCTAAGAGGAAGGAACACATCAAAGCCGAGCATTTGGACCTGCCCATCTGGATAGATAGCCAGACCCAACCTGCCACGTTGGTTCTTTTTCTTGGAGGTCTGACATGATGTCAGTCTTCCATGCAGGACTCTGGGAACCTGTCGTCAAATCAGCTTTTCTTGAAGGTATCTCTGGAGTCGAGGGGAGGAAGCAAGAGTGCAGTAGGGCTTTGCGAAAGTAGTAGTGATCCCACACACCTGCTCAGGCCAACAATGTGATGAAAAGTATTCCAAGGCAAAAACCATCTCTCCTCAGGATCAAGTGATCCAGGGACTGTGAAGGGTCAAACCAAGGAATTCTTAAAATTAGTGCCAAGTGTGGCACTGCAGCCAGGTAAAACCAAAGTTGTTTTGATGCCTCTGGATTTCCAGGAGCAGAAGCTTGATCTAATGGGCAAGCCACGGGTCCTCAAACTATGGCTCACGGGATGGATCCAGCCCACCATGGCCATTCATCCGGCCCATGCTGCCGCTTGCCACCCACATGCGCGCTTGCTGTGCGGGCGGGGAGGCGGTGGCTTGCTCACTCGGAGATGGCTTCGGACTCGCTGGGAGATCTCCGAGCGAGCGAGCCACCGCCGCGCGCACTTGATGCCGCCTCGAGCGTGCCCGACTGCAGCTCACTGGCCCATGCCCCCAGGCACCCCCACCACAGCCCTTCAACTGGCCCCCTACTGAAAGAGTTTGAGGACCGCTGGGGTAAGCTATCAGTGATTGGTGTGGTTCTTGGAGAATCCAGAGGGCTCATGGCTGCTGGGCAAATTCAGTATCCATTAGATTGTTGGAGGTCCCCGAGTCTGCCATGGCAGTTGTCTGAGTAGTGGAATAATTTGAACAGTGTGATGTCATGTCCAGTTACAACAACAGCAGGCATGGAAGTTGACCTGGAGCTGGAGGACTGATGTTAGTCTCCCCCACCCAGTCCTAGGATCTCAGCTAAGGCTGCATCTGATTATTTCTCAGAAGTAAAGAACATGGATATTTTGCTGAACAGGCATTTCCAAAATGCCCTGCCTTCCTGCAGTATAGTCAGAGGCCATCTTGTTTATGCTCTTGTTTTTTCCTGTAGAGTTTGGTGTGCTTAGGCCTCACCTAACTGCATGAGCATGTGGAACTCAGTAGGGATCCAGGGCTTGGAAGGCTCAACAATGGAGTAAACACTTCTTGGGGTGGTATGATTCAGGGACCTTCCAGAGGTTCATCAATCATTGAACAGAGTTAGATCAATCTCATCGGCACTGAGGGCTGTTCCACTCTGGCTGGCTTATCCAAGATTTCATCAGCCAATCCTTCCTGGTACTGGTCCACCAGAATACCCCCACTCCAGCTGAAGTCCTGAGTTAGCAAACCAAAGCAGCTGGTACAGGAATCCAAAGGTCCCTTATTTTGTCAGAGGTGTCATAGCCATTGGTTTGCAATATTTGCCTTCTGAAGATCTTCATAGGTGGTCTGCAAAGATGAAAACTAGACAGGAAGAAGCTGGCTTGAATAGGTAGGGGAGCTTGTTTAGCTGCTCATCATGAACCCCACCTTGATCTCATCTTTGGGGAAATCAACAGGGAATGCTTGCATGTATAATTCACACTGAGTAAAGGAAACCAGGAGCATCTGCAAAACCTATCAAATTTCTCAGGATGTGCTGTAGGCCAGTGTTATTTGGGGAGGTGGCAGCTGGACCCTAAGTCACTATAGTGGGGCTTGTAATGTTGCTATCATGGCAGCAAATTGCTCCACTTGCTCCCAAAGGGTCTGCTTATCCTACAGAACAGTCTCTATTGTGGCAAGCAAAGCTGGAACAGTATCCTGTTTTGACCAGGTTTAAATTACAAGATGGCCACCCAGCTGGAAAACCAGCAAAGTGAATTGTTAACAAAGATAAGTTTGCTGCAAAAACGTGCTGTTAAAGATAGTCCCAAAGACATTTGATTAATGTAGCTGAGTTTTTGGGGGAGAGGCAGAAGAATGAACAAGCAGACTAGGGTCAAAGTTAGCAACAACTGGGATTGCCATATCCTGTTGGGGTTCAGTTACAGCATAGGCAAAAGCAGTCCAAGGTCATTCACAGGAATTGATCCAGAGCAAAGGATGCAGGAACATTGGAACGAGATGCAAGGGTTCAGGACCCCGAAGAGATGCTGTTTTCCAGCAACCTACTTGGCATGCTTGTGGATTATTGAGCAGGAACAGCCTAGATTCCACCCAAGGTCCCAACTGCTGCTAATTAGGAAGTTTAGCTTTTAACCTGGCACTTCACCTGAGAGGGAAAACCTGTGCTCTTCGCTTTAGGCGTCAGCATTCTTGGGGGCTGGGTGGTCGCACTATCACCTGATCGAACTCCAAGTCATCCTGGGGAGGGGGAAGACTCCCACTGTTTATCCCTGAGGGTCCTGCCTCCTCATCAAATGCGAGCCTGGCTTCTTCCTGAGTCACTGCTTCTGGTTCCTCCTCAGGGGAAGAGAAATCCTTGAAACAAGGTAAGCCAGGCTCCTTCTCAGAGGAGGATTCCTCGAGAGGGGCATGACACATACCAGCAAGACCCCCCCCCCCAAGCTCTTTGGAATCCACCAGAATCCATTAGGCTCCATGGGTGGACCATTTTAATAGGCCTCCCATCTTTACAGAGGGGAATGGTCACCAAGAGTCCTCATCTCATGGAGAGGTGTTGCAATCATAAGAACGGGATAGACCTTAATCTTCCCACTTTCATTTCTCCATCCTTTGGTTCAGTTGACAAAACCGAATCAAGCACATCTCTGTGAATTTGGCCAACAACTTGGTGGGATGGATCCCTGCTTGTTGTGGAGGCCACAGGCCACTTCAAATCTGACAGCCTCATTATGGAAGTTGAGGTCCTCCAGAACCAGCATCCTAGAGGTCCTCAACACCAAGTATGAGACCACTTCTGTCAGTTCATGCAGGGAGACCGATGGGCAACAGAGTAGGTAGTATACCAGCAAAATCCCTATCTAATTCTTGGAACACAGCACAAGAAACAAACACTCAAGATTGACAATTGAAGGGAGAGGAAACCTGGTGAGGAAACTTAGTGAGGGAGTTTGAATTCCTGAAGAGAACCCTCCCAACCCCCAAATGCACTGAATGCCCAGGAAGGCACTGCTGAGATTAACCCCTCCTAGTTACCCCACCCAAGTTTTGATAATACACTCCAAGTTGGCTCTCGTCCACAATTGAATAATGGATGAGGGGGACTTTTTTTGTAGAGACTGTCCAGCTGGAACTGTGAGAAAATGTTTTGTGGAATGGGACAGCAGAATGGGATGGGGTGTGAAGAACGTCTAACAGATGTGTCAGCCCTCTTGCCTAACTAGAGTTCCCATAATTCTTTGGAGGAAGGCAGAACAGATAAACTGCTCCAAGTATGCAATGCATATATTACCATTAGAAATCTGTACATGTTTGTAGAGAACACCCTCTTGTTAGCTTTAGGACTTCACTTGCCTGCTGCTCTTCCTTTTTCTTTCCTTTTCTTGCTGCCTTTGTTTTTTTCCTGGGACTATTCTTTGTTCAGCTCTGAAGACTGTTCCTTTCACTGCTCGGACGGGCAAACGCTCCTCTCGCCTCTTCTGTGATGCCAGCTTCAATGAAGAGAGCCCATTGTAGCTTGTGGCTCTAGGTAATAGTGACATCAAGGATGGGGCTGCATTTATTTGGACAGGATGTGTGTGGCTGCTAGCAGAGGTATGACAGACCAGTTCCTTCTCATGTGGGGATGACCTTTCTGTAATTGTTATGCCAACTTTCTCCTAAGAATCTCAAAATGGAGCACACAGCTCTCCCCCCTCTGTTTTTAATCCTTACAACACTTTCAAGGCTGAGGGAGTGACTAAGGCTGGATTAATCAGAGAGCTTCATGGCCAAGTGGGATTTGCTCCTCGGTCTCCCTCTTACGTCACTTTGGCATTTGGGTTCTCTGTCTTGCTCAATTGCCATGTGAACGACAAGTTAAACTATAGCACGTGCTTACCGTTAGGGTTGTGTTTGTCGTTTATTATTGCTATGAAAGTTCAGTAGCAGCTCATCTTGTGCATTAAACCATTAGGACCTCAGATTAATTAATGGCGATTGCAATGGTGCAGAGATAGTATTTAAGAGGGCATACTTGCCCAGTCTTGAGGATGGGACACAGCGGAACAAACCGCAAGACAGTGTGTGCTGACTGTCCCACATGCTGAGAAACAGAGAATTCTTCCCCCAAAGTACGGTATATGTTTTGCATTCTAGAACTTTTAGGTCATGTAGTTAACAGTGCAGTGTAAACACCATAGGACTATGTATCTGTGTAAAGGCACACTTTCAAAAATAAAACCTAGAATTTGTTTTTTCCTGTGGCAGGCCTGCGGAATCAGCCGTACCGACGGGGGGACACCGGGCGGCACAGTGGCAGGAAACGGATCACTGGGCAGACCCTGCAAGTGACCGCTGACATCTCGCTGTGACAGCCACAAATGGGAAGAGTCAAGATAATCACATCTCGGTTGGGGCAGTGTGTGAGACAAGAACTCGGGGTTCATCAACAATGGTCCTGGACCAAAAACTCCTCCTACCACCAAGGCATGAAATGGTCTCAGGGCAGGATGACTTTCCCTCTGCAATTTTCCAAGCCATTTGTGGGCTTTGCACGTGCAAGTCCTGCTGGTTATGCTGCCCACTGCTTCAGTTTGAACTTGCACAATGTACTGGATACATTTGATTTTCTCATCCTGGAATTACTGTGGGGAAAGAGCCTACACTCTGTGCTACACGGACAGGATATGGTGCTAGAAGGCAACTCAGGCCACTCCAAATCAACAGCAGGCACCTTTCAGTCAAGAATCTTTGTGACTGCGGCCTCCTTTTAAACAAGAGGAAACTGAACAAGATCTAGATTCCTCCTTACCACTAATCTTTTCACACAGCATATTCTGCTTTCTTTCCCCACCTCATTTAGCCAGGCCCTTTATTCTGCTTATTCCTCTTGCTCCAACTCTTGCCTAGAGATGTTGGACAGTTTTCAGGTTGATTTTTTTCCAAGTGAGATAAAAAGTACTGTTTATCAGTACCCCTATGTTTTTAGAAAGGTTGCTATTCAGGAATGTGTAACCTCAGGATCATTTAAGCCATTAAAAAAGAGGTGCAGGAGAGCTACCAAGCCCCAGAAGAGCTTTGAGTTGCTTTTGGATGATACCAAGTATCCCTGCAGAGAACAGCATCCAGCTCCAAAATACTTGCTACCTTCCCTGGAGGTTTCAGAGCAGTTTCAACACTGCAGGACTCAGACTGTGGGCAGCAACTCGGGTTTGATAACAGACTGATTTAGCATGAGTGGCAATAGCCTGTTTTATTCTCCCAAGCCATGACATTGCACAGTGAACAGGAGCCTACAGACAGGCCAGGCCTGCTGCTCCCATAAAATTGGAGCACATCTTAAATCCCCAGTGTGGCTGTTCTATTAGTAGATAGCTTAGGAAAGAGAAACAAGGATGCCCACTATCTGTCTCTGTCTAGCACACTTGTGTGCAGTTCATCTCTGCTTCACATCATGGCCACATTGCTGCCCTTTACATGCAAACTGGGCAGTGACTGAGCAAATGCAGGTGGCCTATTTGAGTCACTTGAGTCTCCCTCCTCTCACAAAGGCTTTCCAGAGCAGTCAGGAATCATCTGAAGTTTGCCTGGATAGAGTGCTGGAGCAAAGGTATTCCTGCTACTAAGGAGAAAGCAGGATTGGAAGCTTGAGATTTCCTCATGACAGTACATTTTATTTCAGCAGGAAGACCGGCAGCCATTCCTGATGTTGGTGGACTGCAGCTCACATCATCTTACAAGGTCAGATGAGCAGTTCAGTAACATCAGTGGGTCCACACATTCCCCACCACTGCATTTAAGTATTGAAATAATGTGGCTTCCTCTTCAACACAACCATCTGCTGCAGGGTGCAAGCTTGGTCAAGGGCACAGAATCTCAGGATTTAAGTATTTCGCACAGGTGCCCCTTGGCCACTTTTTAAACCAACTTGCTGTGCTGCAACGAGTCTCAGAAGTTTTGTGACAATCAAACTAAGACACTGGAGTTGTTCTTTTTCTTGCCACAAGGAGTTGCCCTTTTCTGTGGGATTCTCAACTTGAAGGCATTGCCCAGGGTACTGCCATTGAATTCATTGTGTGGGAACACGTCTGCATAAAATCCAGCATTAAATGAATTGTCTAAAGATTTCTACACCATAATGCCGCTGTACTTATAGTTAGACAAACTCCATTTAGCAACCTTACTCTGTGTAGATCTCACCATGTAATGGCTCTGCAGCCATGCACTTTCCTTCTCATTGGTCTTATGGCTCATTCCCCTGCTCCTTATTGGGGAGTGGGAACACATGATAAAAACAGCAAAAGGTCTCTGGGGGAAAAGGTGTGCCTATCCATCTGTGCAAAGAGCACATTCACTGAATGCAATCTTACTGTAGCCTGGCACAAATCCATCCCACTTGGGGCAGTGTGTACCTGTAGAGATAGTGGTATGCAAAGAGCTGCAGCCAAGTTGCATGCCTTTCACCCTCTTTCTGCATGCAGGTCTCAGCAGTAAGTAATACAACTGATGTTGACATACATTCCCAACCGTTTCTGAACATCGAGTTTCAGCTCGATGGAAGAAAACCCTTCCATATTACCCTGCTCAAGTCTTGAAACTACATGCCTGCTTAGTAGTCCTGATTTTAGATTTAGGCTACCATTGCTTTCTCCTGTAACTTAAAAGAGGCTAAAATGATAATAGCATAGGAGCATACACTCAGCATAGCAACCTCACACACTGATTTATCACACCATGAAGTGGGAGGGTGGTGGGAGGGGGGGTAGAGAATTGAATGTGCAACCTGTTGTCTTTTAAAATGCCTTGAACCATGGAGGGGAAGACCACAATGGCATATGATTGCTACTTTGTATACATTATTTTTATATTTTTTGTGAGTTACATTTACTCCAAAGCAAAACAACAAGCAAGAGTAATAAATATATTCAAAAGATGCAGAACTGTGTTTGGACTCACAATAGCCCTCCTTTGTTGAGACAAAGCAACATGTGAGCGGCGCTCCTTCAGCACAACTCCCGTTAGCGCCACTGTGGCCATAGCAACAGCATGCTAGTGCGGCTTTGGAGGCTGAGTTTTTCAGGCATCACACTCCAACATGCTGAGTAGGGACTGATGCAGAAGCAACTCAGTTATGTCACTGGCCCTAGAATGACTTCTTCTGCATGTGTAGGGAAAGGGGATTCTTTGCAAATATGAAGTAGGCACAGGCTTTGATCTTGGTATCTTATACAAGCAACACAAAGCTGCCACCTCCACTCAAAGCTGGAGATGATGCTGTTTGACACAGACGTCATTGTGATGAGCATTAGCTCAGATGGTTTTTAAAAGGAATTAAATTCAGATAGGAAACTTGCTTCCATCGTTACTAGTCACAACAGCTAATAGAATGCCCATATTCAGGGCTTATGTAACTGATATTACACAGGTAAATTAAGAGGTCTTTTGCCCTCATGCCCTGCTTGGATTCCCATGAACACCTGGATGGATTTTCTTAAGGTACCTAGCAAGTTGGACCCCGAAGCACATCCATCTTGTTCCAGACTGCTGTATGAATTTCTATCACAGTATGAAAAGAATCTATGATCGTTTCTGTATATTGCTATAAGGACCTGTGCCATTTTTGTAGCAGTTCATTGTGCACTGTCAATCTCCCATGTCCTTGGATGGCCTCCTAGCCTAAAAGCACATACGCCTCACAACTGCAAAGCAGTTATGGCCCGGTGATAGCAATTGTGAGCTGGACATCCGTTGTCTGCATGGGGCTTACATTATTGGGAGTGTCAGGCTAGGCACAAGAGAATCAAGTTGCCCCTGAGAATCTGGAGGGTTACCATTTTCACGAATTCATCTTCTGTGAAACAGCCCATACACATATTTATTTATTATTTTATTTATTAAAACATTTTTATGCCGCCCCATTCGCCGAAGCCTCGGGGCAGCTTACAACAATATGAAGATGGGTTTAGATTTCCATCACTAAAGTCCCTCACTAAAACAATTCCAATAAATGAAATCAATGGAATTCTTAGCTATGGCTAATCTAAATCCTATAGATTTCAATTAAATTAAATCTGTGATTAAATCTGGATCATCCCATGCAGCAAAATTCAGAATGGAATATATCTGTACTTATTAGATGCTCTTGTAATTGTGGGCTTCCCACCAAAAATCTAGCAAACTCTGGTAAGTGACAACATGAGTCAAATGGGGCTTTTGGCAAATGAGTGCACTTTTAAACCACAACATAATTAGTGGCATGTATATATTTTGAGTCTCACCGGCCTCTGGTAACAGTAATTTGGTAGCACTCTAAAGTATTGCACCACTTCTAGGCTACAGAAAGAGTTACATACACTGTTTACCTGCTCACCTAAAGCCCAAGGCAGCCTGACTTGAAATCAACTCAAATGGAACAAAAAGCACAAGCAGAGTGCAATGCACAACGCCACCTGGCAAAATAAAGTGGCATCCCTCCAAACAGACTGCTGGCCTGAAAGGTAACTTAGTTTCATTTCATTTCCTTGATAGAGACCTCTACATTAAGAATCATGGTACTCTAGACCACCACTTGAAGGCAAAATAAAGTTGACAGATTTAGTCCCACTGTGATTATTACATAACTTTGGTGATTTAAGATAGCAGCGCTGATGCTAACAAACTGGTCATAGATACATTCCCAGAACGCAGCTTTTGCCTGGTGAGTTCTGTAAGTGATGTATGGGACCATTACTACTACTACTACTACTTATCTCTGCCACCTATAGCCAAAGCTTTCTGGGTGGTTTACAATAGTCATAGAATAATATACTCAGGCCACTCATCCAGATTCTAGCAAGGCCTGACCCTGCTTAGCTTCCAAAGTTAGACAGGATTGGGCACTTCAGGCTACACAGAGGGTTTAGGCTGTGACCATATCCTAAAATAGGGCTTTAGTGCACATGCTCTTGGTTTCTTCCAAATTAGGACAATCTACATTGTACTCTTCTCAAAAACAAGGATACACAAAAGAATACAGAGTCCTGTTCTCATCAGTGCAGAGCAGAGCAGGTATTCAAATACCAGCTGAAATCTGACAGCAAAGCACTTGGTATGAAAGTAACTTGTAGCCCCAGCGCTCCAGCTGTGCATGAACTGACAGCACGCAGTAGATGTGGCCAACTATACTTCCCCTCCAGCGATACAAACCTTTTAACTAAAATTATCAAGGTGCTTAAGCTATTCCCTTATGGAGAAAAAAAACCTGTGGGCAAGGCGTGTACTATAGAGGTGTACAAAATAATGTACGGTGGAAGAAGCAGACAGGGAGACCTTTTTCTCCCTTGCACATGATACTAGAGTCCAGGCTCATCCCTTGAAGCCAAGTGATAGGAAGTTCAGAATTCATAAAAAATAGCATTTCACACAGTGCATAATTCCACAAGACGTGGTCGAGGCCACCAAGTTGGAAGGCTTTAAAAAGGGGTTGGATAATTCATGGGGGGAAAGGCTATCCATGGCTACTAGTCCACACTGGCATATGCTGCCTCCCATACCAGAGACCGTATTTCTTCTGTACACGATATTGGTTGCTGAGGAACATGGGCAGGAGGGCGCTATTGTATTCATGTCCTGCTTGCAGATTCCCATGGCCAGTAGGTTGGCCACTGCGTGAACATAATGCTGGATTGGATGGGCCTCTGGCCTGATCCAGCTCTTCTCATGTCTTTAAGCAAGAGGCCTGCTGAGAGGCTGCCTGTGACTTGATGACTCCCAAATGGTCACTTGGGACGAGTGACCAGTTCAATACGCCAGCTGTGCTCCTTGTAAGAGGAAGTAACAGATATAACCCCAAGTAGATTTGACTAAGAAGTGACACTGCAAGAAAAAGCAATCTCCTTATATGACCTCTGGTAGAGAGTTACCTTAAAGAAGGCCAAGAGGCCCACTTTCATCCTGGGAATGACCCCCAGCCCAAGTTATTGCTTAATTCAGACAGTGGCGGTCCAAACCTAAATTTATCTGTTTGATCCTCCTCTGACCAGAAAAGGCAAGGCATTCCAAGATGTACAGCTTATACAGGGTCGCTCAGGTGGCAGGCTCCACCACTCTTTCAGTTGCTGAAGCCATCTTGATTAAACTCTTGCAAATTAGCTTAGCAATAATTTGAGCTGACACCTACTGGGCTCTGCAGAGACTCCTTTCCCCTCTGAGCTGAACGGCATTTTCTCCAAGTCGGCAAGCAGCAAGCGATGCAAAACCTCCCAGGGAGGTATTGGCAAGTGTACCTGCCAGTCCCATGACCAGGCTGTCCTCCTTTTGGGGCTTTGCCAGCTCTCCTGAGTTACAATGAAAGGCTACTGGCTCCACCCGAGGCAAGCAGCTACAACATGTCACCAAGACGGACTTGAGCAAGTGAGGGAGCACATGCTTCTTGGGTACGACCCATTAGTTAGCAGGCCACTCCAGTCATTACAGCATCACCTCACAAATGTAGTGTTTTACTGACTCTTGAATTTCGGTGCTGAGATTTCTAGAAAGCATTCTTTAAGTTCAAGCTGGCCCTGCCCTGGAGCATGTAGGCAGAGCTGCTTGTTTTTCAGGAAATGGACTGTCTTCCATTCTCAGACCCTATTGGCAGAGCAGGCAATTCAACCCCTACTTTAGGAAAAGAAAGAGGGAACTGTGCCACAAGGCAAACTGACAAACATGGAGAAATCCCACAAGTCAGCAGGAAAAGAAAGAAAAGGAACGGAATCCAGGAATTGGATCTATCTTTTGGTACAAATTGCGGGGGGGGGGGGGGGTCTGTGTCTGTTGAGAGAGACCTATCATGCTATTTAGTTCTTCTGAAGAACATGGTAGGTTACGTATGTATAGGTAATTACATTTGGACCTCACCCTTTATTTGAACCACTGTTTTAAAAATCACAACAAGCCTGCAGAGATAATGACTTGGCTAATGTCACTGCATGAACTCCAAATCTGAGGGTTTTCATCTTAGGTTTCCCATAGCCAAGCCCACGATGCCTAGCTTATTGAGCCCTACATTAAGGTCAGGCCGGATGTCTAAAAATCAGATATTCAGGTTTTCCTTGGGGTTGGTAGGAGGTCAGTAAGGTTAAAAAACTGCCCAGGAACACAGCTCCTCCCGGTTTTCTCAGTCAGTTTCATAAACGCAGATACAATTATTCAATTTCTGTCTTCTGGAGCACAGAAGCTATGCCTGCAACCTTCACTGGAGTCTGTATAAGAGGGCTGGACCAGCAAAGCAGCAGAGGAACTAATTTTCATTCAGTAGTTAATCCCCACCAACAATATTGATCACTGATCTGGAGTTACCATTTCTGACTTTAAAGAAATACTGTAATAAAGCATGGGTGAGAAAAGGCAGTGATCCTTATTGCCTCTTTTCTAGACGACCATGTTTGACCCTCCATCTCCAGCCACAACTGCAGTCAGGGGCAAGAATGCACTGAAGCTCAATGCCTGGATCAGGGACCTCCATGTCACAACACACAGACTGGCCTTCTTTGGTAAAGAAGCTGAAAGCAGAGGCTGGTATCTGTGAAAGCAAAAGCAAAAAAAAGGAGGTGAAGGGAACCAATTCTGCTTCAGTCACACATGGACACTAATCTTACTCACAGTCTACATATATGACAGAAGAAAAAGTAGTGATGTGGCATCACATGCTCTAAAGGAACAGCAGCAGCAAGAAGCTCATAAAGCAGCCTTCCCCAGCCTTGTGCCTTCCAGACATGTTTGGACTGGAGCACCCAGAATTCCCAGTCAATTACTCTGCTGGATGGGAATTCTGGGAGTTGCAGTCCAAATGCCTTTGAAGGCTACCAGATTGGGGAAGGCTATTTTATGTCACATTTAAGGGTCGAACTCCTTAAAAGCGGCATACAAGAAAGAAGTACAAGGTAGATGCAATACAAATAAGTACATAGTTTAAAAATAATTTCCAAGTAGCCCTATTTTATAACACTGAAACCTACCCGCATAAACATGATAGTAGGTATAATATTAGTACCCACCTGGCTGCTGATTCCGATGGCAACATCTCCCACCTTGGCCCCACGGAATTCTCGGATGTAGAGACTCTCCCCGCTAAGTAAATGGATCTCAATTTTCACCCCTGAAAAATTGAAATGTTGTTAAAATTGCCATGACCTGGGGCCAGAGGGAGGGCCCTTTGCTTCAGCTCTAGGGTACATGTTTGTGATGTGAGCTCAGGTGTCTTCCTAGGAGCAAGAAAGGGGCTATGGAACTGCTACTGGTCTGTGCCTGTAGAGATGAGAAGATGGAACTATATGAAATGGTTTCAGCTACTGCTCTTTTACATATGCCAGGAGCTAGTTAGATAGTAAGGCACAGAGCAAGGCTCAAGGGATAGTGATACGGCTTAATGACAAACAAGAGCTGTGAGAAAATTAGTAGCAAAAACATACTTTAAAAAGTTGGGTCAGGAAAAGTTTTTTGAACATCACGGAAATCAGGTATCAATGAAGTTAAGGAAAAGGGTTGAATATAAATTAAGTGGGTGAGCAGCAGGACACTGTGGAAGCACCGAGGTGAAAATAGCAAGCCTGAGGGAACAGCTGGCTGGAACAGTGCCTGCAAGTGGAAGAGGGATCAGCCAACTGGGACTTAACACTTTATTTATATAGTCACTTCCTTTTTATGCTGCCCAATAGCTGGGCCTCTCTGGGTAGCTAAAAGTTAAAAACACAGAAATGAGAAAGAGAAAAAAATAACATCAGAGAAAAAAACCACAGCGATTGCGGCCATATCAGCACAGAGGTACAGCGGTGGTACAAGATAAAATGCAATATTAAAAGGTTCTGCGCAGGCACAGACCCCATATGCGTGATGCGCAGAGTCCACAAAGAAGTAGTTAACTGTTAAAATACTGAAAATCTCCTGGGACCCAGCAATATGGGTGATAAGGAAACATGCTGAGGAAGCAGAAATGTGCCTAAGACTAAGCTGGACAAGGACTACTTTCTTGCAAGGAAGCCAAGAAGAATGTTCAGATCTGGTGAACTGCCCTTGCTTCCCCATAAAAAAATCATGAATTGTATTGCCCTGAGAGGAAGCGATGGGCACATACACGAGCACTTTCACCACCTTCACACAAACTACAGCTCTCAAGACTGCCAAGAGAAAATATGCTAAATCAATTTGAAATCTTCCCCTCTGATTATAAAGGGGAAGCCATGTTGGTCTATTTGATCAAAAAAGCAAAATAAAGCACAAGCATGGTGGCACCTTAAAGACACAAGCTGTGGCACAAGCTATCACAGACTAGAGTTCCCTTTATCAGATGCATGAAATATATCCTCAGTTGGCAGATGCATGGTATTTATATTGTGTACACCTGCATGCTGAGAATAACAATTCATGCACATGACAAAATGGTCTCTTCCATGGATGCTCATCCCATAATAGTGTCAGAAGACCCTTTATGGTTTAAGCACGCCATGTAATAGTCACCTGTGCCCCTTTCAGGAACAAGAGTCTGCCAACTGGAAGTACTAGTAGATGGAGAATGAAGTTCATTCCAGTGTTCTTCTTAATTTTAGAATAATGAATAGCGATTAAATAATCCAATTAACAATTCACATATAATGTAAAAACAGAGACACCATACAATGGAACAATCATGCATTCAAAACAGCATGGAGGCATTACCATCAAAGTAAGTAGGCATATCAGTTTGTCTGCTGCGATGCAGCCAGCTGTTCCAGCTATTGCTCTGCCCGTCTGTTTGGCTGCTCCATGAATGTACTCCAGAACTCATGGTATCCTTCAGACTGTGAAATGTTTTCAACGAGCCCTGGAAAACCAGAAAGCAAGAGCAAATCTATTTCCCCTGCTGGCACACAAAGTCAAATGTTAAGCCCTGCATGCTCCCATCTAGAAGGGCACTGTCTTTGCTTCACATAGGCCCGTCCCTGGCACATGCTAAGGACTGGAAACCTGGATAGGGCATTTAGCAACCAGCATCATTCTGTGCAGAGGGCAAAGTGCACATGATCTTACAACCTTCAGAATGTATTCGCTTCCTTTTGGCATGCAAGTGAAAAAGTAGCTCAAAAACTAAGCCTGCCACTTTGATGATATTTCTGTTAAGTAACACAAGCAAGAAAAACTGGGCAGAAAAGGGTTTTGCTTTACTGCTGTGCAGGTGCAGCCTGGTCTGTTTGTATGAGCATTAGAGGCTAGGGGGCATTCTGGGTGTCTTTAAGGAAAAGAGGGAACCTGTGCAAGTGCCACTCTTCCCCGCTCTGAAACTTTTTGGAGGGAAAAGATGCATCAACCAAGACTTCCCCTATCTGTGGCATTTGAATGACCTGGGCAGTATCGCATTTAGAACCCAGTAGACCTAATGCATAGTTACAAATTGGGCCATTGAGAGAGAGCAGGTGTGTTTGTTTACCAGATTTATACAAGGGAACAGTCACTTGTATCAATCCCTGATTTGCTCACAGGATCAAATGCTGAACAGAGGTGAGTGTGAACCATCCCAGAAAAGCTCCTCACTATTCTTTCCTAGGATAAGTAATTATGAAAAGCAGGTGTGGGGTGCCTGTAACCCTACAGATGTTGCTGAAGTGCAGTTTCCATCATCACTGACCACTGGCCATACTGGCTGGGGCTGATGGATGGTGAAGTCCAACATTATCAGAAGAGCAACAGGTTCTCTTCCCTGTGATTGCTTAATTTTGATGAGTAGAATTTCCAGTTCTCCAGCAAAGCACAAGGATGTGGGAATAAATGGCTGTGACTGGAGAGAGTTGCCTTGAAGGTGCCGTGCATTCTAGTATAAGAACGGCCCTGCACCTCATCTTTCTTTCTCCCCCAATATTGTCTAATACAAAATGCAAGAAGCAATGACACCATGTTTCTGGATATCAGTCAAAGAAGTGAGGAAGGGATTGGGAAACTGAGAGCATGGCATTATGTCACATGCTGTTGTGTATTTGTTATTATTGCTATTGTTGCTAATATTAAATTACACTTACACCCAGCCTTTCTTCCTCTTGCAAGAAACCCAAGGTGACTTACAAGGTCTTCCTCCTCTCCATTTTATCCCCACAACAACAACCCTGTAAGGTAGGTTAGGCTGAGAGTCTGCAACTGTCCCAAAGTCTCCTAGTAAGCTGAGTGGGAACTAGAATCCACATTTCCTGAGTGCCAGTCCAACAATTCAACCACTTTCACAACACTGGCTCTCATTAATGAAACACTGATGAAAAAGGGGAAGTGGGTGGCTGTTATGTTTGGGGCAGAAATTGATGCCTAGGTTGGGCTGAAAAAAAATAGGACTGTCTTCTTGGTGATGACAGGGCACCACCTCAAAATCTAGCCTGCATAAACAGGGCAATAACATATTGCATAATAACCTGCATATATAATACACCAAAATGATATCAGATCCAGAAGGTGTTTCTGGGATGCCTTCACCAAAAAGAAATCTAGTGCAAAGCTTATGGGAATGCCCAGACCTGAGTCTCTTCTGCTCCACAGGGTCAACAGCCTATACTGATGTACTTGCCTTCTCATCGACCTCTGATGGGAGGCAGCTATCCAAGCTGAAGAATGAAAGCATTTGTTCCTGTTCCTCCAGAGAGAAGGGTTGAGAGAGGCTGTTCAGAATCAGCTCTGTGAGAAAGAGCACAGATGAAAAAGACAGTCAAAGACTGCATGTTCCTACTCTGGGTCCTTCCAGAACAAACTCCCTGCTCAATGCAACATTCCAGTTTAAAGCACCCCTGACATCTGACTGTCCAGTCTCTACCCGAGTACCTCCAGTGATGGAGAGCCCACCACTTCCCTAGACAGTTTGTTCTAATTCTCAACTGCTCAGACCTTTGTGAAGTTTTTCTTGTTATTCAACTAAAAGCTGTTTTCCATTAAGCCAGATATTTCATGTCCCACAATCTGGGAAGATTGAGAATATATTATGGCCCTCTTCTGTGTGACAACCCTTTAGGAACTTGAAAGGTATCATACCCCCAAAGACACACACTTCTTTCCATCTTTTCTCACAGGACTCAGTGTCTCGTCTCCTGATCACATCCCTCTTCTGAACCTTTTGCAATTTCTGACTCTATCTAAAATTATTTTTAGGTTACCCAAATTATTTCTAGGTGGAACCCTCTCAAGACAGTGAGAACCAGAACTGGACCAAATATTCAGTCTGCTCAGGGCACAATAGAGTGGAACTATTCATTCCTGTCATTTTGAAACTACAGCTTTTATTGATTTTCCTTTTCCTTCTTTGCAGCTGCTGATTCACATTCAGCTTTTGATCAGGGACTTCTCCAAGATCTTTTTCACATGTACTATTGCCAAGTCAAGTATGCTACATCTTGTGCCTGGGCATTGGATAAAGAACTTTTTTCTGTTAAATTTAATTGGGTTTTTTAGACTGTTCATTTCTGCCAGTTTTCCAACCTATCATTTTGAATTTTGTTTCTGTCTTCTAGGACAATCCCACCCAATTTTATCTGCAAATTTGATAAGCATTCTCCCACCTCTTCCTCTAAATCATTAATACAGAGTACAAGATGCAGAACTGAGCACAAGTTTGCCAACTAATAAACTTAGTTTTAAACAATTTATCATGCACATTTTAAATCCACATTTAATACACTAACCTCTAGCTCTCCTTTAATCCAACCCTTCTAAATTCAAATCATCCATAAAATGTCCTTCCAATTAAACATACTAACCAGGAAAACATGAAAAATAAAACAAAAAAGATAAAATACAAATAATCCTCAATACAATATTAATGTCAAACACAAAACATTTTAAAATATGTATATTTCAGTACAGTATTTCCTGTACTGTTGCATTTAATTGTACCTTTATTTGTCTTTATGACTGTTTTAATTATGTTTCTGTTTTACTCTTGGTTTTACTATAGCTATCTGCCTTGAGCATCTACTTAAAGAGGAACCAGAATCCTTTTCAGCTAAACGAGTACATACCAAAGACCTACATGAACAAAAATGCTTGCCTGCTGGTTGGAAGAGGGAGCCAACTGAGCTTCCCTTGGCAGAGAGTTCCACAGCTTGGGAGTCGCCACCAAGAAGTCTCCCATCAAATGTGCCACCAACAGCAGTGAGGATAAGAGAAAGAGCTCCCCCAAAGATCTTAAAACAGAGTCACGTCTGTATGGGAGAATGTGGTCTTTCAGTTAGTTTGGTTCCAAGCCATATAGAGCTTTATAGGTCATAACCAGGACTTTGAATAATGCCCATAAACGAACAAAACCAGTAAAGCTGTTGTAACAAAGAAGTCGTATGTTCCCTGTAACTAGTCCTAATCAACAGTGTGGGCCAGCTGATGTCCTGAAAACCTTTTGAAATGCAGCCCCACGAAGAGTCTACTACAGTAGTCCAAACAGGATATCACTAAAGTATGTGTCACCATGGTCATATCTCCTGGAATGGACAGACTAGCCTCAGCAGTGAAAATGTACTTTTGGATAACAGGGAATCCTGGCTATCAGCCTGATTTGCCTTTTAAATAGTCCTTTGCCCAAATCCAGCATGGATTTAGAACTAGAACGTCCTTGGATCTTGATGGAAAGGAGAGAGATTTGTATCTCATCAGCAAACTCAGGACATGGAACCTCAGATCTTCAGATCACTTCTCACAGTGGAATGGTTGTTAGACCATCATTCTTGGTCATCAAGAGGGTTTAGATCCATCTGCTACATCTGAGGAAGATGTGGATGCAACCAGGGATGGCAAACAGAATGAACTGTAAGACCAGACATCCAGATATGACATCAAGATGATCAAGAATAAGACAATGTCAGGGGCTGCATTAGCATCTTATTCACCCCATGAAGCTGATTATATGAGGTTTAGGACAAACAAAAGGAAGTACTTCACACAATGCATAAGTAAACCATGGAATTCATTGCCATGGAAAGTGGTGATGGCTACCAATCTTGATGGCTTTAACAGGGGATGGGTCTGATTCATGAGAGGAGGCTATCAATGGCTACTAGCCTTGCTGACTACCTCTTTAATAGAGGTGGTATGCCTGCATACAACAGCTGCTGAGGAACATGAGCAGGTGGAGGCCTTGCACCGATCCTGTGGGCAGCTGGTTTGCCACCAAATGTATGGAGTGCTGCACTTGATGAACTGTTGGTCTGATCCAGCAGGGCTTTTCTTATGTTCTTATGAGAGAATCCCTCATAGCATAGCACAGCAGGCTACAACTGTTACCTGAGGTCTTCCTTGATGCCAGCACAGTGGACATGTATCTTGCTGAGCAGACCTAACTGGTTAACAGGCCACATGCAACCTCTGGAAGGTCAGCTTCAGAAAAGCAGAGTACTGGTGGGTGATTGGTCTTTCTGAAGAGGAAGTTCTTCCTCTACAATAAAGGCTACTGGGTTGGCCATTGAAAAGTTAACCAGTTTGGTATATCATTACTGTGATGGCCCCTTTGGTACTATTAGTATGACTCCTGCTCATTGGTTTTCATTCTTCAGATCTCCATGGAGATGAACTGAAAAGGTAGGAATGCCTGAGGACCATTAGGTTGTTAAGGTATCTAAGAACTCAGCACCTTCTGCTTGGGAACAAATGCTGAATCTTGAAAGCACTCCTTCGTGTGGAGAAATGAAGAGGCTGAGGCAGGATAGGTGAAGCTGTATCACCAGCCCCTTGAAGGCCTCTAGATGCAGAGACCATTCTTCTGGGACTAGGGGCATTCTGCTGAGCCAGACAGTCAGAATGTTCAAAATACCTTTTAGGAGTTCTACTCTGATGGAATGGATAGGAGACCGCGTCCACTTGAACAGTTTCATGGTCTCTATATTATCATTATTATCACCACCACCACAATACATTTCTGCACCACCCATAGCTGAAGCTTTCTGGGCCGTTTATAACATTTGAGTAATCCATCCAGATTTCAAGCAGCCCCGACCCTGCTTAGCTTCTGAGGTTAGGCAGTATCAGGCACTTCAGGGTAAGGATCTTGTATTTCTGCACTGATGTAAGTCTTGGCTACAGTGTTATCTGTCCTGACTATGATGTCTTGGCCTACCTTTTGGAAGGCAAGGTAGCAGAGGGCTACACAAATGGCCCTCCAAGCACCCAAGAGCATGAAAAGCCCAGGCCCTTGCAGAGATGGTAGCTGATCAATCCCAGGAAAGCGACAGTGCTTTGGAGGACTATCATCACCTCAAGCAGGAGGCCAGCAGGGATCCCATGAAAAGGAATGCTCTTCTGCAAAGGAGCGCTCCCCTGGAGAAAGTGGCTCTTAAAGGCTCGGGCTATGGGCCTGAGTGGGGCTCATCATGCTATGATGCACAAAGTGTCTACCCTGGTTCCAGTGCAACTGGTTCTGGCAACAACACTGCTCATTCACAGCACCAGCATTTTCCTTCTCGTTTCCGGGACCCTGCCCTGTGCCCGATGCTCTATGCTCATGGTGTGAGGGCTCCTGGCTTAACTCTGCTTCTGGGTTGTGTAATGTACCTGACTGCCTATCTGTGCTCTGAACTATGCCTGTTACCTTGAGCATTCCTGCCCTAAGCTGCTCCTCACAGCACTGAAACTGTTTGCCTGTTTTGATACCTTCCTTTTTGGAGAGCCCCTTCATTCAAGGTCTGCTTCTTCCAAAGCAAGACATGGGGAACGTCAGATAAGGTGGCAGAGCCTGAGGTGGGAGTAAGTCTGACAGCACAGAAGCCCTGGTGCCAACCAAAGGCTAGCCTGGAGCCATACATTCATCCCCAGACTCAGGTGCTTACTGTAGGACTTCATCAGTGTGATCTTTGTGATCCTGTTGATTTCACAGGGGTGGGAGCAGACTGCAGCACAAAGGTTAAGGGAAGACCCTGTGGCAAGTCTGATGCTGAGGCCATCTGCAGGCTATTCTGCCACTTGGCAGAAAAGCCATGGTTTTTCATCAAGAGGAGACCTGGGCCAACCAGCAAGTAGACAGTCAGCCTCCGTTTATTGCAAACAGATGAGGAAGCCATATGAGGAAGCCACCATGTGCCACCACCATGTCTGTGGCTTTTAAGGCTGCTCCTATAATATGGCACAAAAGTGTGCCATCCAATTTCTTTGGTACTCTTTAGTAAAAGCGTGGCTGGAGTCAATCTGATATCCCTTGCCCAGGAAAAGGAAGCATAGGGAGCGACTGTTAATGGGCAGCATTTTCACACTGGAGACACATTATTGAACATCAGATACAGCCCTCCTGGGAACAGGTGGAAAAACACACACAAAAGTTGAGAGGGACAAGATGAAAACAGAAAATGAAAGAAAATCTCTGTCCAAAAGGGACAACTGATAAAATTGTTGAGGAAAACAGCAAGTGCAGAGGACATTCCAAATGCTGCTATTGCTGTGGTGGCTGAAAAGGAACTGAGAGGGAAGCCGCTCCCACCAAAGCTCCACTGAGCTCTTGAATGTTCCAAGGTATGCTCTGTGCAAGTGTAGAACCTGTATGTGAGCCACAGACACCAAAAAAAGAGGAAGGAATTTTTGCTACCTTTTCCAGGGCAGCTGCCCTGCTAGACTCAGGACTCCGAGACCAAAGCAGTATGTGATGATGGCAACTCGGACCTCACAATGGGAGCTATGCTGAACAGCTGGAAAGACCAGGTGTGCAGGGAGGAAGAAGAGGTTTCAAGGCAGAGCAGTGCATCATGAAGGTGCTTGAGCCTTTCCTTCACCAGCAGCATCAGTTTTCCAACTCCCCTCTTAGCTTGGCTCCAGAACCAGAAGGTGCTGCTTTTCTGCTTGAAACAACACCCCCATCCCCACCCGGCAGGTTTACAAGTTTTTCAGTGCAACGAGCATTTGCAGGCATGGATCTTAGCACTTACTTTGTCCCATTAGTCTATATTTTCTTAGATTCAAGATTTATTCCAGAATTCTACTCATTCTGGAATAAAGGTCACACCATCAGTAACCACACTTGATTTTAACATATTCTATTTCCTTCATGGGATCCTATTCAGTGTTTTAGTTTGTCTTTATTTTTTAAGCCACTTTATCTAATCCTATCAACATTTCCTTCTATTCTGTTACAGTCAATAAGGGCACAAGGCGTATCAGAGTCACACCCATCCTTTCCTTCCCTTCCCGAATGCATATGTACCATGTTTGATCCTCCAAAGAAGCAGTAAGAATCAGATAGTACTCTACAGGAATTCTAGTAGGAAGGAAACTATGCAAAGATGGGAGACCAGATAATAAGGTGGCAAACAACATATTTTAAAGGTCAAAAAAGCTTATGTGCAAATCTATCATTACCCAACTCCACCGGCTGAAGATCATGTTCAAAGGTGGTAGTTCTCCATTCTGTTGAACTGCCCTTCTTGGTACTGAGTGGAGCTGGGATGGAAGGCTGAAGAGAATCACACGGCCACAATAACTGCTCACACATGCTGGGGTGGCTTGATTGCTTTTTTTCGGTCAGACCCTGACTGAGGAGTAGCTGGCTGGAACTTCTGGCCAGTATCTTTAGGCTAGCAGGAGTTTCAAGTATTGGCAAAGGTGGCTCAGAAAGACTAGTATCTTGTGAGATCTGTAGGCACCTGGATTCTCTGCATACGCCTTTCAAGGGGCTCTTCAGGCCTCCCACTACAAAGCAAAGACACAAAGTCGGGAGAGCAGAGTTAGAGCAAGTTAGAGCAGAGGAGGAAAGGACAGCAACACTCCTCTTCAGCTACTGGCACACGTTTGTTCAAGACCAGAGTCTGAAAAGATTTCAGAATATAAAATCAGATCTTCTCCATCCCATGTGGCAGCCCAGTGAGCTGAGGAAAGATCACATCCTTGTGGGATTATCAGGGTTCTAGCAGTGCTTTACCCAAGAGCTCTCCAGGGGAACATTCTTCACATTTCCTTCTAACTTCTTATAAAAATTGGCAATGGGAATTTTGGAACGATAGTTTATTCTATGTTCAGTTTCCCTGATATGCAGGGACAATACACACATTACACAGAATGAGCTGGAGGGAGGAAAGGAACTTGTATATTTTAAATGCTGCTCTATTTTAATTTTTAAAAATCTCTGTGTGGCAAATTAGCATATCAGAAGGTGGTTTCGTATAACTGTCATCCTGCTGCTCCATGGAAGGAGTACTTTACATCAGCCAGCTGTCAGATGTATGATCCACCTGCACCTGCAGGACAAATGACTGTGGAATGTGCTCCTCAGAGAGGTTTGCCTGGCGCCGACTTTATATTCTTTTCAGCGCCAGGTAAAAACCTTTTAATTTACCCATTATTTTAAGGATCGAGGAATTTTAACTTGGTTTTAATATATTTACAGTCATATTTTGTTTATTACATGTTGTTTATTTATTGTTCTTACTATTGTAAGGCGTCCTGGGATGATTTCTGTGTAGGATGGGGTAAAAATATGATAAATAAATAAACTTGTACAGTTCAGAATTCTTCAATACATGTAGAGCTGTTCCTGGGCAGAAGAAAGCAACAGCTAGCTCAGAGGTAGATGAAGCACTATGGGCAACAGACCAACATGACATTGCTGTTACCATATCTATCCCCATCTATCCATCCATCCATCCACCCATCCAGCTCAGGGTAAATTAATGACACATTTACTGTTGAAGGAATCCAAGGGATGCCTGAACTGATCCTAGGTAATAACTGGGAAATACTGCTGCAAGGAAGCCACACTGAAATATTGCACATATTATCCAGGCTGAGCATTCTGAATGACAAAGAAATTGCTCTTTTTCTGTCCCAAGTCATTCCCCAATACCCTGCAACCTCAGTTCTGGAAGAAAACAAAGCCAAAATGTATATTCATTAACATATAAAATATGTACATTTTTACATATTTAACATATAAAATATGTACAATTGCAATTGTAACTTCTTCTGCACCATAGAATATGCAAAGATCTATAAATGCTATGTACGCACTGTCTATAATAACATTTGCTGCAGCCAACATTGGCATCTATCCTGGAAAGCATGGAGGAGGGCAAATACAGGAAGCTACCTAATACAGAGTCCAACTGTTATACAGAATATATCTAGCTTAATATTGCCTAGACTGACTAATTGGCTTGCCAGGGTTTCAGACTGATGTCTTTCCCAGCATTACCTGAAGCTGCCAGAGAGTGAACCTGACACATTCTGCATTAAAAAGCATGTGCTCTGCCCTTTGCCTAAAGCGATCACTCCACTGAGATGCGGAAAATTATCCAAGTGAGCCAGCAAGTCTTTTAAACCTTTCTCAAAGCAGCAGCATTCTGCCCAATGACTTCACAAGCTCTTTAAACCCCCACTAAATTCCAAATTTTAAAAAATTGCCAGTGAGGTACTATGAGAGGAGGCAGGATTTAGGGTAAGACAAGCACTGTTCTCTATCTGCACAGATAGAGAGATATCAGGATAGGGGTTGATATGCTTCACAGACAGAACATCAACAAAACAGTTAGATGCTCACATTCTAGAGAAACCAAATAGCATTATTGGGATTTGATAAGTGAGGACAGCAATTGGTAACATCTATGGTGGGACACAGGAGCACCTTCACCATCTTTCAATTAATAGCATGAGAACAAGTGCCATAAAACACAAGGCTGGTTTGCACAAACCAAACAAGTCACCATGGCTTAAAGAATCCTACAAAAGTCCATGGATTGATTCCATAAAGGAAGCCCCAGCCTTGAACTTAGAACAGCTAAGCAGGGATGTCATGGGCAGGACATTTTGAAGGGCTTTCATTCACAGGGTCACCATAAGTCAAAGATAACTTGACAGCACACAACAACAACAGTCCATACATTATTTGACGCTTGTTTAAGGATACAATGGGTATGTTCACACAACACAGAAAGTCACCTTGCAAATAAGCACTGTGGATCATTTACAGAAAAACCAGGATGTGCCCAACAGAAGACCATGCTCTTTCTTGTTAGAAGCCATCTTGCCTCCCTGATCCTGCTTTGATCACTGTTTGCTGCTGTTACTAAAAATATTTTAGAAGCTTTCCAAAAGTACAGTCGAGGTCATTTAAAATGGACCCTGAAATTATGTATCTTTGCCCATTAGTTTTTTTAATATTTTTACTGTTTCACAGATGTAGAAGCATATACTTACACAAAATGTCCAAAATGTGTAGACTTGCCATATTTGGGTGCTAAACCAGTGATGGTTTCTCTGAAGTGTTGCTTCAGATTGCTGAAGGGGCTGTCACTGATGGTGGCATGCACAAAATCCTGATGTGTAGCTGAAGTTTTTGTTGTTCTTGCTAAGTGATTTGCTAGTCAATCCCCACAACCTACAGAGGTATCATTCTCTTGTGGGTAGAACATCCCCTAGAACAAGACAGGGGTTGTCAGGGTGGCTTGTTGCCCCAAAGTGAGTCACCATGTGGGAAGCAGTCTACATTCAGTTAACATGGCAACCTAGCATGGCTGGTTATGCAAGGTGGGTTGTTTTACCATGCAAATCCAGTCAATAAGCCAGGTAGTGATTATGCACTAATCACAATGTACACAGCAAGCCACAGTGCCTTCTTTAAGGCACAGTAGCCAATTCTGATAGTGTAAACCAGGTCACTGACTTTCAAGTAGTCCTATCAAAGGCAACTGTGCAAACATTTGGTAGTGAAAACTGCAAAGAGTATGTCATATGGCAGAAAGTAAAATTTTGCCACCAGAGAGCACAGGCCGTCCTCACCCTGTTCAAGTGCCGTGGAGGCCTTCATTCTCAGCTCTGCTGCAGAGGACCGCTTTGTTGGCTCCTTCTCGAGGCCTGCCTTAATGACTTGGGCAGTGAATGGGTGACAGGAAGGTGGAATTTCCCTCAGTGGAGGCGGTTCTTTGGCTATCTGTAATACAGAAAACACAGGAAACTTAGAGGCAAGAAACATTGCCGCCCACTGGATAGGGAAAGACTTGACTTCTGTAACGCGCTCTACGTGGGGCTACCCTTGAAGACAGTCCAGATACTTCAATTGGTTCAAAATAGAGCTGCCAGGTTGCTGACGGGGACTGGGCGTTATGTTCACATGACTCCAGTCCCAAGCCATTTAGGGCTTGGGTCCTGGCTACCTGAAGGAGCGCTTATGTCCATATACGCCCGCCCGCCCCCTGAGATCTGCGGGAGAGGCCCTTCTCCGGGAACCCTCCGTGAAGGAAATTAGGAGGGTAGGTACTCGGAGGAGGGCTTTCTCTGCAGTGGTGCCCAATCTATGGAATGCGCTCCCCAGAGAGGTCTGACTGGCGCCGTCGTTATTTGTTTTTCGGTCCCAGGTGAAGACCTTTTTATTCAAACGTCATTTTAATTGCTAATACTATTTGCTTAATTCTTTGGCCAGGGCGACTTATTTTATAATGTTAATGTGTTTTATATTTTTAGTGTTTTATATTTTAACTGATGTTTTGTAAGCCGCCCCGAGGCTTCGGCGAATAGGGCAGCATAGAAATTTTTAAATAAATAAATAAATAAAACAAATAAAAAAACTGGCTGAAGAAGCAGTTCAACTGTTAAATGACAATGGGGGTAAAAAGTGTGCTAGAAATCTTAGAAAGACTGCAGGAAGGCAAATGAATTGTTTGCCACAAGGATCTACAAGGTGAGGGTCTTGTTCCTTCACACACACCCCTTTTGCTAGACCACTTTGTTTGTGTCAAGAAAAAGCAGTTTCCACATGAACACTTTTCTTTATTATGGAAAAAATCAGCTACTCCCAGAATAGTAATATTTTAATAACATGAGGTAAGAATTTCAGTCCAAAGAATTTGCTGGGGGATCATGAAATTAGTGGCTTCAGTATGCTTCTTGGCAGGTTCTAGGTGCTAAATGCATGTTTGGTAGTAACAGGAAACTGGAGAAATGTTACTGTTTAAACAACGGATTTCACAGTGGGTTTTGCAGTTTTAAGAGCAGATAAACTGTTCATCTTTTTGTTCCTATTTTAGGGCCAAAGGTGTTTTGGTACTCACCCATCTGTGAAATACATTTTGCCCCTCCCACTCCATGTTTGGTTTCTGACACTGTAACTATTTTTTGTATTAATCTTCACTGTGCAAGATGCAGAACAAAACTATACCCAAATGGACTTTTCCAAGAAAGATTGCAAAGAACTGTTGAGTTGAGGTGAAAAAGAGATAAAGTTCAAGGATCTATCAACAATATTTACCTTAGAGTTTTGAAATATTCAAATTTGAAACTGGGGTAGAAAACTCCAACAGAGGGAATAGTCTTAAATGTGACAGTGAAGCCTGTGTGGATAATCAAGAGGACCCACACATCAGGTGTGATGGATTCCCACATTGCTAGGAAGGGTTGGAGCTAGAGAATCAGCTGCTGATACTTCAGTACAATTCAAAGATGGAGCCCTCTCTCTTTGTACATTGACTGCACTTCTTCTGAAAGCTTCTCTAGGCTGAAGAACATTTGAAATGCTGGTTTAGATGGTGGGCATGTTCTGCTTTTGGATGTGGCCCCAAGTGTCATCTGTGGAGGCACTAAAAATCCTTCCCAGATCCTTGAACAAGTGGTCTTCAGCTATAAATCTGACTTCCTCTTTGAGTCAAGCATGGTGTGGAAGCTACATAGTAACTATAGTATATAGTGACTGATGTGGAGCCACAGTCAGATACATGACAGACTGCACTGCTCTGCTGGCTTCTCAATCTGTGGGTTTTGGCTTGAAGGAACATCACCAACTTCTTAACATCTTCCAGGGTTACATACTTCACACATTCTTCCAAATCCCATGGTGCAGCAGCACTCAGTCAATGCTCCAGATTGGGGCTGAGAGATCAGATGGAATGGCTAAAAATGTCTGATACGGCTCCAGCTCCAATCACTTTTGAAAATGACTGGGTGTAACTGTGTAACAGGGCTGTGTGCAGCGCGGCACTGTGGCAGTAAGCAAAATTACTTCTCTTGTTCAACCACTTAGGGTGAACTCTCAAGTCAGGAGATGTGACAGTGGCTTAAAATGAAGTCGGTGGTTGTGATGAATGGGCTTACTGAAACTGTTCTGCCTGGAAAATGTTTCATTGTTTAACTCAGTTGTTTAGATTATTATTAGTTATACACCTTTGATGCATAATACGTCTTTCTGGCACTGCGGTGGGGTGGTTATTACATAGACCATTTCAGTTAATCACTAACTGACATGGAAAATTGGACAAATTTGGACTGACATGGAATACATTGACATGGAAATTTGAGGTTATCTTCTTATCTTTTAGATTTCACATGTGAGCCCACAGATGTATTGGCTAAATTTGCATGGTTTAGGAACCATTTAAGCATGATCCTAGTTTGGCAAAAAATATTATGTAAACACAAACAAAGCGGAAAACTGTAAGCAATGTAAGCTAAAAGGCTATGAAATGTAAGAGGCAAAAGGTTTACAGAACCCAAATCTAATCAACTATGGATATTAAATTAGCACAGTATAGCTCAAAAAAGAGCCTTATCACCAATTACTGCAGCTGGGAATGTATTCCTCAGTTTTTACCTTTTGTGCATTTACACAGAAATACCACTGATCTATCACACTTCTCACAGTTCATAGCACTTTGACTGACTCCACTGTGTATGGTTATTGTTCTATGTATCCATATTATAGTATTTATCTGCTAAGGATACACTTCATTTATCTAATGAAGGGAGCTCTAGTCAATGAAAGCTTATGCCATTCTGTAACATAAAAATCTGTCAAGAATTCACCAGGCCAAGACACAGTTCCCTGTTAGTTCAATAGATGCATTTTACCTTGAGGCACAGTGGATGATTGTAATATCGGGTCCAAGGGTGACAACCATTCAGCAGATGTAGCATCATACAGCAGCTGCTCCAAATGTCTGCCTTGGAGTCACAGCGTTTTCCAATCACCACTTCAGGGGCCAGGTGGGTCTCTGTGCCAGGGACATAATCCGCTGGAAATACAACACAGGAGATCTCTCTCTAAGTTCTCAGTGGGAGCTCTTTCATGGAAACTGCCACACTCAGACAATTCTTAAAAGGTGTAATGTTAGATGTGCAGTTTAGACCCAAACTGAAGCCCAGTAGAATGTAGGAGATAAAATTAGATTTAATGATGGAGAAGAACTGAATGGCAGTCAACCGGCCTCAAATTACAGCTGAACTATGAAACTCATGGTGGGCGGGGTTGCACTTTGGTAAAATCATAATCGCTTGGCCTAGTTCTATAGCACAGCTTTGATGCAATGATAAAATGGAATAACCACCCAGGCATCTTCAGAGAAAAGTGGAATATAGTGATAAGTTTAGTGCTGACTAAGGACCTTAAGTTTGAAAGAACACGATTACCTTCTAATGGTCTATATTGTTTAGGATTAATGTTTCCTCTGTGTATGCTGGACAGTGTAACATCAAAAAGCCATAATTCCTGTTAACGTTTTAGTACCACTGAGGCTGCAAAAGACTACAGAGCCAGCAAGAAGGCATAAAGTTGAATGGATGAAAACAAAACAAAACAAGGAGCTAGCAAAAAGAGCTTTATTTTCAGAAAGGTTTGTAATTTTTCAAGACAGGTTTTGGTTCTGCAAAATGCAGAGAATTTGGATATATGCACACAGAGCTCAACAGAAGGAAATTGAGTGAAGATAATATTGGTGTCGTAAAAGAGAACAAGGTAGATTTAATTTATAATGATGATGCATTACATAAAAAGTATTTGTCTTATGACAGTTATTGTGCATGTTCTATTGGCACAATAGGTCTTAGCATGCAGTGAAGCAAAAAAGAAAGAGTTGGTGCTGAGCACATTTTTTGAAAATAATAATGCTATTGCCTTGCAGTTAAGGATTTAGAACCTGATCATAAAAACTGGGAATCTTGTTAGTTTGGAAGATTCTCAGATCCATGGATATTTCAACAAGTTAAATTTGTATAAAGAGTAACATACAGCTCTCCAGCAGATATGCATCTCTTTTCTCTGAAGAAGAGTATTGATACTTTTCTTGGACCCTGGGCAAATACTCAACAGCCTGGGCTAAGGTCCAAAGCAAATGCTTAGCCAAGCATCAACAGGATGGAGAGAATGGACAGCAATGCTCCTTCTAATAAGATAGATCAGCTGAGAAATTTCTCCTGCCTAAATAATGAAAGTTGATGGAAAATTCTGATGCCCTTCTAGTGCAGAGGAACTTAAATCAGATTTATATAAATATACAGGTCCAAAGGGTAAGAGTGTGATAGATTTTATGATCCTCTCTCCTTCAGTTGCTTTGCTCACTAGTCTAGAGAGTGACTGTATGCCAGTACAATTCCTGCTATTTCTAGTTAAAGGACAAACTCTTTATCAGCTCCATCAGAGAATTTGCCATCCAAAAGAGTACACTGAAATGGGAAGGTCCAGGAAAATAGAAACTTATACTTAATGTCTCCTAGAATGTTATTCCTAATGGGACGACACCTAACCTCCTCAGATCCTTTGGAATTTTTTGATAATTAGTTTATGAGCTTAGGCCTTTTAGAGTCGCCCCTAAAACCACTCACCCAATCAAATTTTTAAATGGAGGTTGTCGTCCGAAATCTGGGCTATGGTAGCAAAAGGAACAAGAGGTTATAATGGCTCTATTGACAATCAAATTACATCACCACAGTGGCATAGTCACTTTTCTTTACTTTCAAACTTTTCTCTTCTTGGGTTCATGACAGTCCCCTTTTTGATAGTTTCCTCTTATCTTGAAGGGGACCCTGTTATCCCAGTTGAAATAAATGTCTTAATTATTTACCTTTAAAATGCTCCTGGAGAAGATGCTTTTAGGAAAACTGTTCAAAGCAAACCCTAATTGATAAGAAGAACATTTTGGGACTGGGGAATAAGCATTGTGGAGCCAACTGATATGAAAGGTTCAAAGACTGATCCCAAAAATTTTAGACAAATTAGTTTTCTTGGTGTTATATCCAAATTGTAGTCTAAATATTAATTACATGGATTATAGAGTCCTGGGTTGTTGAAAATTCAATTACTCTTGAATAATAGGCCAGATTTATAAAGGGCATGTTCACAACAGACATGGTAGAAAAGAGTTATTTGCATCTTTTAAGTTCTGCTTTTGATCTAGTTGACAGAGACAATTTATGGGAAATGTTATGTGTCAGAAACATTGCTAGAAGGTTGCCTTAATATTTAATACAAATGCTCTATTCTAATATCTCTGTCATGGAGAGATATGGGGCAAGTGGTCTACTATCAGAAACTGAAGAAAGAGAGGTCTCCCAGGGATGCCTCCCTTCACTTTTAATTTCTATATTAATAGCACTGATCAAGAGCAAAGTGACCTGGAATTTTTCCCAGTTTCAGCTCAGGATGTCAGGCTCTTAATTCTTTTATATGCTGATGATATTGTTATTATTTCTGCTATATTGATTGGGATAAGAAAGCTATTGATTAAGTAACTTCTATATAAAATAGCACCTAATAATAAACTATACAAAAACAGAAATGGCTAAAAAAAACTATGTTTAGAAATTGGATAACATATCCACTGAACAGCAGCACAATTTATATGCTTGAGACTCAGGTTTAACGCCCAGCTCTCATGAACATGTCATCTGGAGGCAGTCCAACTGAAATCCTGCTAATCTATATTTTCTCTGCTGTGTTTTTTCACAACACGAATGGGAGGGTGATATTTTCCATTTAAATGCTCCCATAACTGCTGTATGGTACAGAGATAAGGGGTTATACTAATATATCCACCTTAGAGGTGGTCCAGAACTCCTTTAGGAGATTCCTGTTAGTTGTCCCGTGCAGCATACCCACCCCCTTTTTACTGGGTGGAAACACGAATACTTTCTATAAAAGCAAAGTTACACAGTACACTTGGCCCGTGTTGGCTGAAGTTGCTCTCTATGAATTACTTGGCAAAAATGTTTAGAACAACTACAAACTCCAACCCAAAGTTCTTGGAAAATTCAATAAAACAGATTTTACATTCTTTCGGGATTAGTATATAAGTTCTACATCCTATATTGGTATCCATTCTATAAAGCAACATTTGATTTACAGTAATACTTTATGGTTCTTACTGTTGCTCCTTTAAAAGGGTATTTCACAGCCTTCCTGTTCCGGTGCATGCTCTCTGCTAATTTGGATGGAAGATTTAGCAATATCCCAACTCAGCAATGAATATTTGTGAGTCTAGTGAAGTTGAGGATATTGAACAGCATTTACACTGCATTACCCCATGTATGAGTCCCCAGAGTATGTATTTCTCCACTGTATACTCCATTCTTTATCACACAGAGCTAAGTTGGACCAGATTTATGTATTGCTCACAGGCAATGGTGATACATACGTATCCAAAATCTGCCCTGTCTTCAAGAAAATTAAGGGTTAGGCAACATCTTGCAGCTCTTGTTTGATTCATGGTGCAGGACTGTTCTGCTATTGTTCCCATGGAGGGAAAGGGGATGCGAATTGTGCCATTCTAATTACTGTTTATACACTGTTTCTTTTGTAAAAGTCCATATTTTATTATATTTATATGTTTTTAAATGGTTTGTAATTTTGGGGTTTTAAATAGCTTTAGATTTTATTACATTTTATTCTGTTTATTTGGATTTGTGGTGGCCTTTGGTTATGAACATTAAAGACTGACTGACTAAAAAGAGTTGAGACAAAAAAAAAAATGCTTAGGAAAGGAGTAGAGAGAGCAAGATGGGAAGGGAAGGAAAACCAGAAAAAGAAAGAAAATTAGAGAGCTGCTTAGGAGAAGCTGAATACTTAGAAAGGCTGAGAACTCTGATAATAAGATAATGCAGGGAAAAACTTGAAAACTAGGGGCACAATCTAATTAGGAATACACTGGATTCATTTGAACTTTACTTCACCCTTATTTCTCATTTCACTTATGGTTTTATTGTGTTGTGTGTGCTGTAATCATTCAGATGTTAACTTTTTTTCACAATGATAGTAACATTTTTTCAGCAAACTTTTAAAATTGTGTTGTTAAACCTTGGGGCTTCCTTTCTTGTTAAATTACCCACTCTACACTTAAAACCTAAATCCCATACCATCTAAAATAGTGATTCCCAGAATGGGTGGTAGCATTCCCTGGGGGGCAGTAGAAAAATCCAGGGTGTGGTGACTGGTTCTTTTAAATTAGCACTAGAGCACCATACCTAAGAAGGCAGAGAAATAGCTGAATAAAATTTCCAGTGGTTGGTTGGTGGGTTTTCAGTGCCCTTCCTCTTTAATGGCTACCAAAATCAAAATAAATTATGTAAAATAGCTGAACTTGCATAAATTGTATAAATTTCAGAACCAATCTTTTTTTGACAAGCAACACAGATTTTGCTTATTGGATCCTGCCTAAATATAATGCTGAGGTAAATATGGTAGCATTACATGGTAGGAGCTGTGATGGAGACATATTCCAATGCAGGAGTGACAGGAGGTAGCCTCATTTCATTTAATTTCAATATTCAAAATATGTGAGGGGCAGTCTAAAGTTGGATTTGAAGGGCATATCCACAGCCTCATGGTTTACCTGTCACTAAGTACTTCCCCACGCCATCTGGATGAAGGTGAGCTGCATGACCAAAATCGCAGAGGACAGCATGGCGTCTGTCACCAGATAAGAGGATGTTGTCAGCTGGCAAAGAAAAGGTTGCAATGGTTGCATGCCATTAGAATCCAAGAATACTGCAATGACAAGGCCTAATTATTCTCCTCCGGGGTCAGTCAATGTTAGAACTCCACCACTTTGGTGGACATTCCCATGACTGAGTGTGCAACAATAAATGGCACCACAAGAGAAATCAGAATATTAAGGAGAATCCTTCTCCTTAATTTTTTGTTTTCAATGTGGAAGAACTTTTTGGTATGACATTAAATCATGTGATCCTCTGCCTATAATCAGAAGTGGTAAGGTCAGGCACAGGCTTACCCTGTCAGTCAGAACCATGCTAAACTTTCTGGAAGAAGGGCCTCTCCCAGCCACCCTTTTGGGAGATGCTACAGCCAAACCTGCTTTGGGGCAAACTTTATGCTGCCTAGAAGTCAGCTTTCTAGCAATGCACATACCTTTTACATCTCCATGGAGAACACAGTGGGCATGAAGGTACTCCAAACCCTCCAATGCTTGGCCCAGATAATCAAGAGCTCTGTCCTCTGGTAAGCTGCCACAACGCTTGAGCAGCTGACCAAGGGATCCACCTGCAAGACAGAATTCCCCCATGTCATTCAACCCATTACCTTCTTCAACTCTTCAAGCTACAAAGTCCTATATCAAGTTCTCAGGCTCCACCATAGTTAAGAAAAAAGTCCTGCATCAAAGACTCTCAAAGTCCTGCATCAAAGACTAAATACAGAAATATATAGAGCGCTGTAAGTAGAGCTCTGCACCCTTGCATAAGGCATCTCTTATGAATGTGAAGCATCTTTCCCCACCTTGAGTACAATTAGTTCCTAGTGCCTGCCTTTCCAGTTTATGAGTTGCTGCTGCTTGATATCCACCCCAGAACAATGGGAGGAATACATTGTGTGGTGGGCAGTTGTATTTCATTCACCAAGCATTGGTTTGTACTGGAAAGGGAAGATGCTGAGGCAGCTCCAGCTGGTTGTGGAAAGAGAAGCAGTGCAAAGGGAAGGACCACTGGCAGCAGCTGCAGCCACGGGAGCTTTACAGTGGATTGTTGGAGAGAAGGAGCAGGACACTGAGGTGCCTCACCAGTTCAGGCTCAACAGGGCAGGAAATCTTCCAAGTGGCAATGCACTTTAGAGAACATCCCACCAGCACCCACCAAGTGCAACACAGAGACAACCCCCTTCACTTCTCTGGGGAATTGGCTTGGTAACTGTCATTCACACTGCATTTGCCACCAAAGTTCCCTGTGCCTGGGGTCCTTCTCTGCAGGGCAGGGAGTGGCAAGCATACATTTTCGCTGTCCTTAGAAGATCCCCGACAGATTGGGCCAAAGTGCTGTGTAACCCAACATCCTGGTTCCCAACAGTGGCTAAGCAATTACCCCTACTAATCATTGCTAGACTATGAATTATTGCTGCTTCTTCACAATGATTAACAGACTATTAATACACACACACCCAACTCACTGTAATCCTTGATTACATACCTTCCATCACCTTCATAAAGACAGTAATCCACAGGCCTTCCTTTACTGCGCCATATAATGGGAGGACTTTGGCATGCATCATTCCAGTGCATGTTGTTAACTCCTCTGCACGGAAATGTTCAACACGCACCTGGACAGAGTAGAGTAAGCCAACACATCTCAAGCAATATAAAGATTTGCCTTGGCTTAGAAGAGACGCAGTGGCTTTCAGCTAGAATCACAGGCCTCAAAAAGCAGTATTCTAGCCCAGTGCCCTGCTTCCCCAATTGAAGTGAAGGAATTTTGAATCAGAAAGCATCCCTCCCAAGGGGCCTCCAAGACAGAAGCTGTGTGGATAGCAGGGAAGTGGCAGATCACTATATTGAGGAAGAAATGGTCTTCAAGGAAGCCAAAAGACAGATAACCCAGAGGAATGGGAGCTGAGAAAAGAAGCATGAGTCAAGAATAGATGAAAGAGCCAAATGTTGGAGGTAGGATGAACAATGAGAGAATACAGGGAGATAAGGGGGGAAAGTGGCTACTGGCAAGTGGTGTGGCTACAGACAAAGTTCACAAAGGCTTAAAGGATAGAAAAAAATGAGATGAGCAAGAGACTAACTGGGAGAGTCAGGGAGTCTGAAGCAAGCAGAAGCAAGTTGATCATGGGCTGAAAGAAGAGCCCTAAAGGGTCCTGGAAGGGGCCAAGAAGCAGGTGAGTTCATGAGAACTCTGAAGGTGCACAGAAAAAAAGAAAGTACTGTGAGCTATCTGCAGGGAGTAGGCATGCAAGGAAACCTTGGAAGATGGAAGACTAGGGAGGCAAAAGATGGCAGAGGGGAGGATTCCACAGAGTGATTAGTAACCAGTATTAATGTGTGTCCTCTCCAGTATGAATAAATTGCCCTGAGCCATAAAGACGATGACTACAAAGAAGCCCAGTGGAACAAGCTAACTCTTGATGCAACATTAGATCACCAATTTTCTTCAGCTCAGAAAGGCAGTTTATGTATGTTTTTAAAAATTATTTACCATAGCTATGTCTAAGAGAAAAATGCAAAAGAACACAGATGAATTTAGTCTGGACAAGTGCAGAGTCTACTGAAAATAAGGAAGAAAATAGGAATCACGTGCATCCAAGCTGCTGCATGTCAGTTAGAGTGAATTTTGATCAGAACATGAGGCTGGAAAAAGAAGAGGTGAGACTACAATGTGGAAGAATGTATTAGAAAAGAGGATGGTAGATAATCCAATTCCAGTCAACAAGTAATGCCTCCAAAGACATTCAGAACAGAGAAATGCTATTCTGTCTTCTAAACTCTCTAAACTAAGTAGCTCCTTACAGTTCTCCTAAGCAAAATGCCACCATTAACTTTCATAGTGTGATGGTGCCTGATCCAGCACTGTTCCTGATGCTAAGCAGTCTTGGGTCTGGGCAGATGCTGGATGGAGGGCCACCCAAGCACCACCGATACAGTGCTAGATACAAAAAATCAGCTAATACCGTTGGTACTAAGCCAAAGAAGCGTCGTATGAGCCTGTACAACCAAATATTGGCAGAATTATGCCACAAATTGCCCACCAATCCTATTTTGTAAGAAAATAGTTTTTACTGTCAGATTAAAAATTCCTCTAGCATTATTTAATATTGCTGTAATTTTATGTATTATCTCTCCCACCAGTTGCTCTCAGAAAGAGAAAAAATTAAATTGCCCCACAGGCCACAATTTTGGACTTCGTACAAGAGCAATTCTTCCAGCATAGCTTGCTATATCTAACTCCCACACACTGTAGAAGATTCCACTGTTTTGTGCATTCATGGCAATGCCTGCTGGCTTGATCTTGAGATAAATTATAGCAAAAACTCAGAAAAGTGACTGATCCAACACTCAGCAGTTCCAAAAAAAGGGAAGCAGCTCTCATTTCTCCCTTTTCATTTCAATTTCCTTTGCCGCAGATACACTTGAGCTCAAAACATTTGCATACCTTTTTGGCTGCGCACTGAAAACCAGTCTGTTTGTCCTCCATTCTGTATACTTCCCCAAACGATCCTGTGCCGAGTAAGCCTTGACATCTGGCCCAGTGAACATCTTCATGGTACTCATAATCCACTGCTTTAAGTTTCTAAGGATAAGTGAGAGCACCCCACCAAAAAAAAAATATATTGAGAAGATGAGCCAAAGAAAGGAGTAAGAACGGAACTCCAAAGACAGTGCCAGGAGCAACAGAGCTTTTGATTTAATTCAAATAATTTAGCTTAGAAACCTTCGACATGTTTACAGGGTTCTCTCTACTACCACAAAGACCAGAGGCTTCCTTTAAATAAACACATCCATCATCGTGTGCAGAAGAGGGATAATTACATGTTTTGAATACATACCTAACAGTTGGTGTAAAGGAAAAGACTTGATCAACTCCATGCCACCATTTTGCTACATAATTAGGGAAGGAGATACTTTTTGGAATGATTGTACACAGGTAGTTCAAATATGTATAATCTGAACTGGTAAGGATCAGAGGCCTTCTAGTCCAACCTCCTGCCTGTAAAGGCAAGACCACCACAGATACCCTTCCTGCTCTACAAATTAAGTTATGTGGACTATACAATGTGCACTACAAACAGAGATAATAGATAATAGATGTATTGCAGAATGGTACCCCAAAGCAAATTGGATGAAGTGCCCTCACTGATGGTGCTGCTTTTTTCAGAAGGAAGCATATTGCTGGGAATGGACGAGGCAGTTATTCTGGACACAATTTCCAGGGTCAGGGTTGCACCAACCCTTTTGAAGAAGACTGTGATGGCTGGGAAATGGAATTATGAAAACCAAGGTGGCAGAGAAGGGTAAGTTTATCTCAAGGTCGCCACCTCTAGGTGCTCAGGCAGACCATGGGGATATATAAGGTTCGAAGTGAAAGGAGGGGACAAGGGGGAAGAGGAAGATTTGCCCATGCCCTGTCCAGTCCTGGACCCCATTACATGGCATCAGGTTAGAAGGGCGACCCAATTAGAGCCTCTCCAGAGACGCATACCCAGAAGGGTGGAACCCAGGGCTTCTGAAAAGGAAGGTTTTCGGAAATAGCTTCTAGTTTGGGATTAACAAATTGCTTTGTTCATGCAGAGAGACTCATCTTTCAATGGTTATAGTTTGTTAGCTGCGATTTGGAAATAAAGAGCTATTTTGCAAAGAGACTATCAGTTGCTTGAAATGAATAAGGGGAAACTCAGCTTCTGGCAGCTAGAGTTTAATAGATGCTTGTTTCCAGTGTGAAGATTTCTAAACATTTCTGAGCAGCTATTTGTACCAACAAAACCTCCTTTTACAACAAGTGCTTTAAGCATGCCCAGATCAGACCAAAGGCCCTAGTTCAGCAACCTGTTTCTAAAGGTGCATTCATGAAGCCACACATTCAGAGAGTTCATATACTATAATAGCTATTGAGAGTTGTTGAGAGTGAGACCATTCTCAAGACCTACTGGCTGGACTTCAGAGGAGGAGGCTTAGAGATTCATTCTGGGTGTTTGTTCTTCTGGAAAACACTGTGGTCAATAAAAACTGTTTTGCAAGAAAGGTCTATGGCCTTGAATGTGCAAAAGAAGGAACCAAAGCTCACAACAGATGTACTCAATTAATTTGCCCTAATGCTTTTCAAAGCTTTTTAAGCTAGTGACTATTGACACATCCTGTGGCAATAAGTTTCATAAGTGAATTTTGTGTTGAATGAAGAAGCATTTTCTTTTGGCTATCAAGAATCCAAAAACCAACTAGTTTAATTGGATGACTCTGAGTTCCACTCAAAACAAAATTTTTCTCTCTCTGTTCTCCATAGTATTCAAGATCTTTCAGCTGCTCCTTGTAGGAAACACATTCTAAATTCTTGCAGAACTCTTCCCATGTTACATACAGTATCTGAAGTGGCGGCCTTTCTCCAATGCTGCATTGTGATGGCACTGTGCATACAATGTACTATAGCACCGGTCCCTTTGGGGAGGGAGTCCTGGCCACAAAACAGCTGAATGTCTTCTCAACATGCAGTCTTAGTGATTATTGGATAAATAGCCTCCCTTCTGGAAGCACAGGTGGCATGGCGCTACAGGCTATTTACTTCCAGCCTCTTCTAAAGTCACTGGCTTTCAGAAGATGCCTTTATTAGGCAATTGTCTTGCCTCAAATACAGAATTTTAGAGCGGGTCCATATAACACTTGCTACCCTCCTGAGTTTTCCTATCACTTCTGTATTCATTTCTTACTAGGAAAGTAACATTAAGAAGAAAAACAGCTCCACAGTGCCTTTTATAATTGGTAACATTAGCAGTTAGTTTTCCACCTGACAGTATCCTAAGTTGCAAACATACTTTTTGCATAATTACTTGAGCAACAGTTTTTTTTCCATTTTGCAACAGTGTTTTCAAAAGTTTCAGCAGGACTGAAAAGGCTCTCATAATTACATGTTCAAACTCCTCGAGGTTAATTTAAAAGGGCACAATTTATCTCTGTACTGTTCCTCTGCATCAACAGCCCTCCCCTTTTTACCCCAACAAGGAAGATCATAACCACAATAACACCTTACAGCCTTCTTTCCCTGTCCTTCTGAATTAGTTAGCTATTTTTTTTTCCAGAGGTGAAGAAACTAGCCCTACTAATGTTCACACAGAAACAAATCAGGATGGGGTGATTTAAGTCAAGGCAATTCAAATTATGGTTTTTAATCATGACTTAAAACACAAAGTGAAACCCATTGCTTCAAGCATTGCTTTAAATAAAGTTTGCCACTGATAGCTCTTCACATATTTCTTAAACAACTATGCAAATCTGATTAGTAAATCACATTACTTTACAACTCAACACAGCATTTTACAACTGTAGTACCCTAGAAGCCATGATAACTTTTCCAGTGCAAAACTGTTGAAGAATATAGGAACCGGAAGCTGTACAATAATGCCTTTTTCTTTCCCATTCACTTTGCTGTTTCTTCCCCAGTTGGAATGTTGAAGAAATCCATAAAAGGTTCAAATGATTTTGGATTTCTATGAATCTGACCTATGAATTCCACAGAGAACTCTCTTTTTCTGAGCCAGTTTCTTTTTTTTGGGGGGGGGGGGGTTGCAAATATGTGTTAGAATTAAAACAAGAATTAAAGTCACATACATAAAATCTGATTCTATTAGTTAGCAGTGAAACAAAAGCTGCCTGATGATCCACAAAACAGAGACAGAATGGATTTAATAAAACCAGTACATCCCTAACTCTGAACTTCTGTTTTAATTTCTCTCTCTTGTCCTAACTCCTCTGCTTTGCTTAGCCCAGCTCCACGACCAGCTAAGCATGGGACAATGACTGTCCTATCTAGTCTTAATCTTTGTACATGTAACTTTAGTCAGAGAAACATAGGGAGCTGCTTTACGGGGGTCAGACCACTAGTCCATATAGAGCATGGGTCCTCAAACTACAGCCCAGGGGCTGGATCTGGCCCACCATGCCCATTTATCTGGCCTGCAATGCCCATTTAGACCCACATGCACGCGCGCCACCGTCCACCTTGCCCCGCTGCGCAGGGACGCGGCAGTTTGCTCGCTTGGCGAAAACAATCCCCAAGCAAGCAAGCCGCTGCCTCATGTGCCTGCCTCGTGGCACGTGCCTACAGGCACCACCCTGGCCCGCACACACCACCCGCACCACCTTCCTGGCCCGCGCTCAGCACTGGTAGCTTTCAACTGGCCCCCTGATGGAAAAGTTTGAGGACCCCTGATCTAGCCCATGGATCCTCAGACTATGGCCCACCATGCTCATCTATCTGGCTCGGCTCAGAGCTTTTGGACTCACTTGGAAAAAACGATCTCCAAGCGAGTCCAAAAGCTCTGAGTCAGCACAGGCATACTCAGTGGGGAGATGGCCGCGGTCATGGGCGTGTTTGTGCAGGGAAAGACGGGCGTGATCGCGGTCACACTTGCTGGGGAGATGGCCGTGATCGCACCTGCCTTCCCTGCACGATCGTGCTGGCGGGGAGGGGAGGAGATGGCCACAATTGTGCCTGCCTTCCCTGCACGAATGTGCCTGCAATTGCACCCGCCTTCCCTGCATGATCATGCTGGGCGGGGGGGGGGGGGGGGGGGGGGGGGGGGGGGGCGGGGAGATGTCCGTAATCATGGTTGCAGTTGTGCAGGGAAGACGGGTGCGATCGCGGTCATGCTTGGGAGGTGAGATGGCCGCGGTTGTGCAGGGGAGGGGGAGATGGCCGCAATAGCACCCACCTTGCCTGCACAAGTGCAATCACATCCATCTCCCTCTACGCCCCCCCGCCCCTCGGAGCATGATTTTGGACATTGTAGCTATGTCCCTTGAATATGGACATGCTCTCCCCACCTCATCTTGGGCTTCTGCTTCAGCCTGAGGGAGCGGAGCAAACATTTTTAAATTATTATTTACAATTTTAATTAATGTTTAATTAATTTTAATTTTAATTATTTTTAATGTGCAGTGTGCATAGGAATTCGTTCATATTTTTTTCAAACTATAGTCCGACCCTCCAACAGTCTGAGGGACAGTGAACTGGCCCCCTTTTTAAAAAGTTTGAGAACCCCTGATATAGAGCAACCTTGTTGACACTGATTGGCAGTAGTTCTCCAGGGTTTCAAGAAGGATTCTTTCCTAGTTTAATCTGGAATTTCTGGAAAATGCATTTGCAAGCAAGTGCTCTACCAAGAAGTTATGGGAAAGTCCAAATCTTTTGTAAAAGCAAGAACTGAAAGTTAAGCTGGAACAATTTTTATGAGAGAAAAACAGAAATGTATGCCCATATTTAATTGCTAAACATTGGAGGGAACAATTTCATGCGTGGCCCTGACAACTGAAGTGCCTGTTCTCTTCCTGCTCACAGCTGGTGCACAAAGAACAGCACAGATGCTCTCCAATTCTGGAAAAACAATCTTGGAGAAAGGGAATAGGGGGAACTTGTGGAGTGGAGGAGGCTGGAGAAGATAGGACAGGTATTCAGAAGCTGTTGTCTCCTGTGTCCCTCCTGCTCTGGGATACTGCTGTTAGATGCTGTTAGCCATCTAGCAGAAATGCAGAGCGAGAAGGCAAAGACTGCCTCCACCACTGCTCATGCTCTGCCATGAATGAGTGAAAGCCTATGTGTTCAGAGGCTCGCACTGATCTCCACAGCCCTGCACCTTTAACGTGACTGTGGCAGAACTATTCATTCATTTTTATGAGGCCGTATATGCAGAATTAGCATATTTTCATTAGATTTAATTGGAACTACATTGTTCTTAAACTTTAAAAATTACCAATGATTTTAAAAATCTTGTTTAACCTTGTTAAAATATAGTTTTTTAAAAAAGTAGCTTTTCATCCTTTCTGAAATAGAGTTCAAGGTATGAGGTATGCATTTATGTCACCAAGGAAAGTATCCATAATGCTCTGCTCTCCATGAAGAACTTAAAACACGTTAAATTATGCCTTAGCTACTGCAACATTGTCAAGCTAGTACAGCCTTTCCTAGGCTATACTTGAAATTGCAGATGAAAATTACAGGTTTTGAACGTGTGTCAACTTCATTAAAACCTCCCAGTCTCTGGAAAGCTAGCATATTGGTTGAATTAATGGTTGTAGCCTTCCCTTTTCTTAAACGTGCCTGATTTCCATGTCTGATTTTTTTTTTCACTTGTATTATTCCCTTACAGAAGCAGGAGTGCAATTAGGCAACTTTGGACTTAATGTTTAGAAACCCTCTAGTTGGTCAGGAGTATTACTGCAGTTGTGAAGCACACAAGTAACATTTATCTTTGGCCTTCCCTGCCATTCCATATTTCACAACTGGTTTTACATCCCTGATATGTCAAAGCAAATCCTCCAAGAATACCAGAACATGTTTGCCAATCCTGATTAGAAACAATGAACATATACAGTTCTTTAAGCCATAGCATTATAATGACTTCAAGAATACAACAGTCTCCTTTTGCTGCCCTGATCATAAGTACCCATCAGGTCTACTGGAGGCCATCCTCACAAAGGCTCCTCCTCCCTCAGTTGTTGCTACCAGCACCCATTGCAGCAGGCTGTGCTGAGGGAGATGGGGTGGGCAGGTATGAAGCAATTATTTGGAAATAATTATTTGAAATAATTATTTGGAAGCCCCACCTATGGAATGTGCTCCCCAGAGAGGTCTGCCTGGCACCGTCATTATTTGCTTTTTGGCACCAGGTGAAGACCTTTTTATTTAAAAGTTATTTTAACTGTTAATTTATTATTATTGTATTTATAGATTTTAATATATATAGCCAAGATGGTACCAGTTTTTAAATTATTAATTGTATTTTTTATGAATGTTGTGAGCCGCCCCGAGGCTTAGTTGCGATGGGGCAGCATAGAAATGTTTTAAATAAACAAACAAATAAATAAATTTCTCCCTTCTTTCCTCTTTACCCCGTTTTCCTTGCATGTCACATCTTTTTAGGTTCTAAGTCTGCAGACAGGAGCTGTCATGCTATGTCATATCATGATTATATGTCATATCATGCTAACCACTCTGAGAAACTTCTGGGCCAAGGAGTGGGATAAAAATATTTATTTTGTTTATTTATTTAAAACATTTTTATCCCATCCTTTCCGATAACAGCTCAGGATGACTTACAATGATAAAATAATACTATAATAATACAATAATATAGTAATTAAAACAATAAATAATAGACAAACATAAAACAAATACTTTCATAAAACTAAAGAAAAGAAATGAAGGAAGAAAAAGAAAAGAAAGTGTGACTGTGAACAGATCTTAAAACATCTAAAATCTTTAATTATTAAAATGATGGCTGAATAAAAAGGTCTTTACCTGCCACCAAAAAGAGTATAAGGTCGGTGCCAGGCAACCTCTCTGGGAAGCGCATTTCATAGTCTGGGTGCCACCACAGAGAAGGCCCTCCTCTGGGTAGATACCCTCTGTACCTCCTTCAAAGAGTTCCTGAGCAAGGCCTCTCCTGCCAATCTTAAAGGACGTGAGGGCATGTAGGGAAGGAGACGTTCCTTCAGGTATCCTGGTCCCAAGCCATTTAGGGTATTATAGGTTAAAACCAGCACCTTGAATTGGGCCTGGACTTTGTTTTTAATCAGCCAGTGTAGCTGATAGAGGACCGGGATTATATGAAAATAATGGCCGGCCCCCGTCAACAACCTGACAGCTCTATTTTGTACCAACTGAAGTATCCAGACCGTTTTCAAGGGGAGCCCCATGTAGATCACGTTACAATAACCCAACCAGGAAGTTACTAGAGCATGTGTCACTGTTGCTAGGCAGTTCCAGTCCAGGTAAGGACGCAGCTGATGGATCAGTCAACGCTGAAGGAAAGTGCTCCTTGCCACTGCCATCACCTGGGCCTCCAGGGACAGCTCTGGGTCGAGGAGCACTCCTAGGCTGTGGATCCTGTCCTTTAGAGGGAATGCAACCCCATCCAGGACAGGACCAAAATCACTTACCTGAAAACCTGAACCGCCTACCAAAAGGACCTCCATCTTATCTGGATTGAGTCTCAGTTTGTTGGCCCTCATCAGCCCATTACCTTGGCCAGGCACCGGTTCAGGACAGCCACTGCCTCACTTGGATTAGATGTAAACGAGAGGTAGAGCTGGGTGTCATCAGCGTACTGATGACTCCACAGCCCAAACCTCCTGATGACCTCTCCCAGCAATTTCATGTAGATGTTAAAAAGCATGGGGGAAGGAATAGAGCCCTGCGGTACTCCATGGCAAAGTTGTCATGGTGCAGAGCTATAGTCCCCCAGCACCACCTTCTGGAATCAACTGGCCAGATAGGAGTAGAACCACTGCCATGCAGAGCCTCTTACTCCTAACCAGGCCAGCCAATCCAGAAGGATACCATGGTCAATGGTATCGAAAGCCACTGCGAGCTCCAGGAGAACCAACAGGGATGCACTCCCCGTCCCTCTCTCGGCATAGGTCATTGTACAGGGCAACCAAGGCAGATTTAGTACCATAACCAGGTTTGAAGCTGGACTGAAATGGGTCCAGATAATCCGTTTCATCCAAGAATGCTTGGAGTTGTCCCGCCACCACCTGCTCCAACACCTTGCCCAAAAACAGGATGTTGGCCACCAGTCTATAGTTGGCAGCCACCTCTGGTTCCAGGGACGCCTTCTTCAGGATGGGTCTAATCACCGCCTCCTTTAAAGGGGTGGGGACCCGGCCCTCCCTCAGTGAGGCATTAATAACCTCCTGGACCCAGGGACCAATCCCGCGGCTGGCTCTTGTAAGATGCCAAAAAGGGCAAGGGTCAAGTAAACAAGTGGTTTGACGTACCAATCAAATACTTCAAGCAGACAATACATTTACTTGCAAACAAGCCCTGTTTTTTTCTAGAAAGGGGCAGAGGAAAATAATACGAGTGTTTGTAACCATGTATATGTCCAGTTTGCTGTTACTTAACTCTAAAATGTTTAAAAGTTAGCATCAGCTCCCACAGAGGAGTACTCAAACATACAGTCTCCTGCCTATAGCTTCCAATGATGCAATCCAAGAAGACTGTACCGTGCAATACTTTTGGACATATAGTTTGGCTCTAGCATAACCATTCATTTAAAGGGAAGGTGTGGTTCCCTGTGTCTTAGAATGTGGTATCTGACTGTGGTATTATTTATCCAGAGGGGGGATGCTATTAGCAACACATTTCATCTCCCGAAGGCTTACCTCTGTAAGCAGCACTCCTTCATTTTCATCCATGTCCTGAAGACATACCTTCGAATTCATTCCACCTCCTGTCCAGGTCTTGGCCAAAGAAGCTAAGTGTCTTGGTTCTCCAAGAATTACACTTCCCTTCAATGCATCCACCAGAAATTCATCTATAGAAAGCCTGTTTGAGGTGTTTTTTACAGACTGATGGCTACATTTGGAGAAGTTAGGCTCCAAGCTCTGGTCTGACAGGACACACTTGCCATCTGCACGTGAAAGGTCATCAAAGAGGTATGCCCCCAGAGGGACTGGTCTCAAGACAGGAAGCAGGTCCTCATAGCCATAGAAAGGAGGAGGGAATTTGCCACAAGGAAGAGGATGTAGAGTCTCTGACTGAGGAAAAAAGTTGTCCTGTGTGGGGGACCCTTGAACATGGCTCAGGCACTGAGCAGGGCTGATCAGCTTGTATAATTCTAGCTTGGTTTGGTTCTTCAGTAAGTGTACTTTGCCAGCTGGTAGAACTTGGCTGGGTTTCTCAAAAGAACTGAAATCCCAGCCCAACTCCTTACACGATGCAGAATGCCATGACATGCCAACATGGGAATCATTCTCCTGGAAGAAAAGGGAAAAAGTTAACGAAATTGCCCTGTTGACAGACCTAGACAATTATTTCAAACATTTCGGAACCAGCCCTAGATGGAGCTGAAAACACATTCAGTGTTGTTGGCATCTCCAGTGTGGGATTCCTTAGTACTGTACTGGGATGTGTGTTCCAGAAGCATTGAAGATGACCCACCTGTACTGGGATTGGAATACAGCTCTCCTGCTCTGGAGTCCTGGGCTTCTGAGTTGAGGAGTCTGCTCCTTTTGATGTCACAATGCGGGATCTTTTCTTTCGCCGTTTCTTCCGGGATTTGCCATGACGCACGGCCTTCCAATAGGCCGGAGCCATTTTGCCTTCAGTTGCATGGGCCACATTGTTGGGAATTTGATCGAGGCTGCTGGACCGGCTATCACAGAAAAGGGTATAGCAAAGCAGTTTTAACTTAATCCCATCCCCACCACATCAAGGTAAAAAAAGCCACCCACTTCTTTGGATTGTCTGGACTGAGCTTTAGTTTGTTAGCCTTCACTCAACCCAGTGTCACAGTCAATCTCTGATTTCATACATCCACAGCCTCACTTGCCAAAGATGAATAGGAGAAATAGAGCTGCATGTCATCAATATACTGATGGCAAGGCACTCCAAAATTCCAAATGAATCCACTAAGTGGTTTCATATAGGGGTTTAATGGCATGCAAAACAAAAAGAATCACATGCTGGAGGATCAACAAACACTAAGCAACATTCAAGCACCACCATCTACGCTGGTCATCCAAGAGAACAATCAGTGCAATGCAGTCTCCTCCAATTCCAGTCCAGAGAGCCATCCCTGAAGGATATTATGGTCATTGTATTAAAAGCCACTGAGTGGCCCAGAAGCACCTACAGGGTCACCCTCCCCTGCCTCGCTCCCAATACAGGGCTAGCCAAAGTTGTTTCAGTGCCAAAACTTGAACTGAACCACAACTGAGATGAAGCCAAGTACTCAGTCGCATTCAAGAGTGTCTGGAACTGACTGGCTAACACAGACTTAAGGACTTGTCCAGGAAAGGAACATTTGCAACTGGCCTAAAGTTGCTGTTGTGATCTTCTTGGTCCAGAGAAAGTTTCTTTAGGGGTGGTCTCACTGTAACTTCTTCCTAATGGCACAGAATCTGTCTCTTGCAAGGAGACATTAATCACCTCCCTGCCCCAGCTTTTTATAAGCCAAGAGGCTCAAGAATCCAGTACAGAAGTGATTGCATGAAACTGCCTAATCCACCTTGTCAATATCCTTGAATTGTACCAACTGAAACTCATCCAAGAAAACATGACCAGGCTGTGCTCTGGGTACTTCAATAGATTTGACTGCTTTGGCACTGGAGCCTAAGGCCTGGAGGATGTAAGAGCTTCTGTCCCGGAAGAGCCTAGCAAATGTTATAATGGGCCACAAATGGGTTTACACCGTCCTCAGAAATCACAGAATAGTAGCATTGGAAGGAGCCATAGTGCCTTCAAGTCACTGGAAC